AGCTGAGAATAGTCATGTTGATTTCCAGCCTGATGTTGACATGGTAGCAGATCAGGATGATGTTGAAATTGATTTGGTAGATTTTGCAGCCAATGGGAATCAAGATGACGCCATGCTTGTTGATCAGGTGACTCGTTTTGATGAATATGAATTGGAAAGCATCGAGAACAGACACGTGGGTTTCATGCAGAGTGTTTATCAGGTGAAAGGTAGTAAACCACGCCGTGAGAAAGCAGATCTGTGCGGAACACCCATCTATGTAGTTTTCCCTGGATATGTGATTTCTGATGCAACTGGCCAGTATCTTGACAACGAACTTGCTTTCAAAGGTATGTTTACTGAAGTCACCTCGATGACTTCGCAACACGTTGGGAAGCCAATTCCAGAGTCAGAAGCCAAAGTTCTTGCCAAGAAATGGGGAATTCCAATTATCAGTTGTCGTTGGGTGTGTGTTCAGAAGGACGACACAAATGTGCGAATGAGGCTGGTAGCCCGAGAAGTGGCTAAAGGTCAGGCATCCGCCAGAGACTTAATGGTCAGTTCCCCAACCAGTTCCATCGAATCACTTAGAATCATGCTTGCAACCGCCGGAGCAGATGATTTATATGTAATGGGTATAGACGTGAGTGCTGCGTTTATGGCATCACCCCTTGGAATGAAGCTTGGAAAGCCAATAAAAGTTTTACTGAAGTTTCCTCCTTTTTCCATGACCCTGATGGACGGTAGCCCGATCTGCTTGATTGCTGAAAAGGCCATCAATGGCCTGAGAACATCTGGTCTTGCCTGGGTTGAACACCTCTCACATTTGGTCCAAGAACTAGGTTTACACCCAAGCCCTATTGAGCCCACGGTTTTTGCTGGGTATTTAAAGGTAGGAAAAGGCAAAACAAACAAATTGGTTCAAATTATTGCCTATGTTGATGACTTATTAGTCTTTGCCAGTTCCAAGGAAGAAGCGATGATTGTGTTCAATCATCTCGCCAATCATCTTAGAATAAAGCAAACTGGTGAAATCAACAGTTCGGAACATGGAGGTGGGAGCCTTCGATTCCTGGGACGCACCATTGAGAGAAAGCCAAGCAGTCGGACCCTCACAGTGAAGTTGGATGATACGTATTTGGATAGTGTATTTGAATCGTATCAGATTTCTAATGCAGCCAGCAGGCCACCACCAGATCTGAGACCAATCCTCGATAACGAGAGTAAAGCAGATCCAATTTCGCAAGAAGCTGCTTTGAAATACCGAGCTGCACTCGGGAAACTCAGTTGGATGAGCCAAACCATGGTATTTCTGTGCATTTATTGCGCCTTGTTGGCCACAAGTATGGCCGAGCCGACCGATGCACATGAGCATGCTATGCGAGCTGTGTTGAGGTGGCTTCGTAGTTTAAAGAGCATGCAGCAATGTTTTCCATCACCAGAAGCAAAGCCATTCGACACTGATTCTCACAAACTCATCATGTATTGCGATGCTTCTTGGGCACCTCTCCGAATGCTGCGCAGGAGATCCATAAGTGGATGTGTGACTTTCTATCGAGGATCGGTGGTAAAGGGATTCTCTCGAATTCAACAGATCGTAGCTACCAGCAGTTGTGAAGCTGAATTGTCGGCACTTGCTGACTGCATGCAGGAAGCAATTGGACTAAGTAGAATTTCACAGCATTTCTTCTTTGACACCCATTCGCAGATCACATCTCTCCATGAAGGAGTTCAACATGCCGAAGCTATCCATCGACTAATCAATTTTTTGTTTGCGACTGAACATATCACGGAAGAGAGGCCAAAGGTCGAGATTGAGTGCAGATGTGATTCACAAGCAGCTATCAGAGTTTTGTCGGCTTCAGGACTGCAGCGGAGATCTCGCCACGTGGAATTGCGAATTTGTTTTTGCCAGGACCTTGTAAAGAAGCGATATATCGTATTGACTTGGGTTGAAGGCGAAGAACAAATAGCTGATCTCTTTACCAAAACTCTAGGACTGCGACTGTTTATGAAACATCTTGTGGCCATGGGATTCCACGAGGCCCCAGAAATGCCTGAAGTAATGCCTGAGAAGATTTCGTCCAAAGCCCAATCAGCCAAGAAGCCAAAGGGGGAGAACAAAATCCAACAGCAAGCAGTTTCGTCCACCGAGAAAGATGTCGCAAAGGAACGCGACAGAATCCTCATGCCTGCTGTAGTCTTTTCATATTTTTCCAAGGAGTGTGTCCTCATTGAAGCGTGTGAGATTTCAAATGTTTCTTGCCATGATTTTGCGTATTTAGTGCTGGAAATTGGCTGTGAGAGTAGCTCACATCTGACCAAAACAGCATTCAAAGACTTGAAGCGTGGGACCCTCATTGTCTGTTGTACTGAACCTTCACACCTGGAAGAATATTGGAAAGATATTAAGATATGCTTACAGGATTTCAAGAAAGCGATGAAACCATCATACATGCATATTTCGTTGCCTTGCACTGGAGGTAGTAGCCTCCAACGCCTATCAAAGAATGAGGATTTGAAGGCAGAAAGCATGCAGGAATTTCTGAGGTTGATTGGATTTTGTTTTGAACTGATACCGCATGTCCTCCTTTGGTCATTTGAACTTCCCAAGCGAAATCAATACTGGACCAGAACTGAGTTGCAGGAGCTGTTGAAATGTAGTAAACAACCTCTTTATAGCCAGTTTGTCCAATATTGTCAACTTGACGCAGAACCGATCAGCAAGATTCTTCAATTTGTCAGCAACCATCCTTTGATTGTGCAGTCCTTGGCATGCTTTTCAGTTTGCTCTTGCGATGATGGACGTCATAAGCATTTTAATGAGATCAACTGGACAAACACTGAAAGGTATCCCTGGAAATTGTGTGGGTGCCTCATCGCCTCTGTGAAAAGCATTTTCGAGAAAGAGCTTTATGATTTCCGACCGCATGGGCCAGACAACGCCTATCTGATGTGGGACCCGAAACAACCTGAGGATTTTCGATTTTCACGAAAGAGATTGGCTGAATTTCCTATCTCGGCAGCCTGAAACTTAGTGAGCTTCGGGTTTATATGAGGTGACAGGTTTTCAGCAAAGTATTCCAACCTTTGAATTATATAGCCATGGGACATGTTGGATATGAGAAGATTTGAGAAGCAGTGGCGAGCGAAGGCAAAAGATGTCAATTTTTCCTTTAGTCTCATCATTGCAGATCTTTTAAGACTCATGCAATCCCATGTGACTTCCAGCCTTTTGACACTTGCAATCATTTGCACTTCAGTACATCGAATTTTCCCTTGTGTGCAGATCCTCCGCCATGACACGAAAGGGGGTGTGAATATAATGCACCATCTGGGACAGAGGTGCATGTTAACAATCGTGTCAGCGCTTCAGATCCAAAATCTCAGCCGCTTAGGCTTAAATTCATGAAGCATATGCCGTTTGGTGCTCAACACCAATTGAAATGATTTTCTTGATCAAAAACGCCAAAGCACAGTTGATTTTTGGTGCAGAACACACGAAATTTTCTCCTGAGAAAGAGTATTGATTTTTTGGACAGTGATAAGCCAAGTTTTGCACAATTCCTGCCGGAATTGTGAATCCAAAGGTGCAGTGCAAAGAGTGAGGATCTCATTCCATAGAGATTTAGTTTGATAATGTCTGTGCATCTTTGATGCATCCGTCGGTAGACATAAACTTAGTGCAGCAGATGTCACGAGAGCTTGAACTAAATTTCTTGGGAGTGCATGCTCCACTGCGACAGTCAGAAATATCTTCAGATGGGAAAGCTGCTCAAAACTGAGAACAGTTGTGGAAAATGTGAGAGAAACCGATTCCAACACTCTAGACTTTATGCCATTTGCTTGTCTTCAGAAGCCATCGGCAACCACATGTAACTACAAGCATCCGAGCATTGACCTATAGTGCTTAGCGCAGTGCGATTTATTTGGATTGTGCCCGTGCACTCAGTTCAGAGAGTCTCGCAGTTGTGATCTCGGATTTAATTTGCGAAGCCATAATCAGTTGCACATATTTCTCCTTTTTTTTGGTTTTGTGCAATCTTCACATTTGGTGGAACCAAATGTTTGCTTGAATGTTCTGAACTGCAGAAAGAGCCACTTGAGAAGTGGTGGAAACGTAGTGATAGCAGGAAAGTAGACAAGCCAAGTGTCTGAGCGAATGACCATCTCAGCCAAGAACAGTGAGACATAGTTTCAGAATTTGTCACTTAGATCCACTTTAAATTTGGACTGATTTGCAAATTTCGTTCACTGCTGTTCACTCATTGTTTTGCATGTGACACAGAAGAAGTTGCTTGACACCGACTTTTGCACCATAGAAGGTGCTAATTAGGTCAACGTTTGGGTCGACAAGAATTTCCAAGTGAGTAGGCTGTAAGAGAACAGAACTGAAGGACTTGGATCTAACCCAAACTGATGCAAAGAAAACAGTTTTTCATCCTGCCAAAGGCTGGATGTGCTGTCCATGGAATAATGAATTCCATCCCGGAATCTGGCTCAAGGCCACACCGCGATTATGGAAAAGATCAGAACAGAGACTTCACTGGGAGTGACATCATAAGAACTCACATTTTAAGATCTTGAAAGGTATCTGGTTGACAACCTACTGTTTATCCCCTGGGGCTGTTAAATTCCGCAGATGATGATGATGATGATGATGATGATGCATATGGTTGCAGATGGTTGCAGATGGTTGCAGATGGTTGCAGATGGTTGCAGATGGTTGCAGCAAATGGCATTCAAGATAGATGATGATGACTTTACTACCCATCTGCATAGTAGGGATGCAGATAGTAGGGATGCAGATGCTTTCACAGGTGAATTTTCCCGGAAACGCACAGAGCAGATGTGTCTTTTTCCGAGGACTAGGAAGACCAGAGAGGCCCTGAACATCCTAATATTGTAGGTTTATATAGAATGGTTCGGACATGTTTAGACAATTTTGGGACATCTAGGCATATCTTGAAAATCATTTTTCATCCATTCCCATTGCTTTCAACCAGCACGTTTTGGATGAGGAATGAGATCTCCGATGAATGAGATCATTTGCAGTGCTGCCATCAGCAGTTGTGAGACCCTCTGCCGCAGCGCTGCTGGTTGAAACAAAGCCAGCGCCAATCGTTTCCAACATATCTGAGGTCCAAACCCGCAATCCACCAATTAGAGTTTGTTTCATTGCCGTTTACATTTGAGTTTGTGTGTTGGTATATGGAATATATTGCCTGTATGAAAGTCAGTTGTAGGGGCATGTGGATGTTGGATGATGTTGGTGCATTGGCATCACCAGGCCATCACCAGGTGCTTGAACGTAATGAATCATTACCACATCAAAGAATGGAAAAGTGATAATTAGTTTAGCAAACATGTAAACATGTTGAAGGACGTCAATTGAAGAATGTCTTGCGCATAAAGAATTACTTAAACGGTTCCCATGCAGGAGGGTGATTTTGAACAGTTGTTTTTTTAAAGCGGAATGATGCGTTGGCTCCAGGTTTGTTGGCGGATTCGATTCCCATGTACGGATATATATATATAATTAATTATAATCATATATATATACATTTATATATTTATATAATTATATTTGATCATATATACATATATCATTATTATACATATATTGATAGTGGAACTCTCACTATCCATGATTGACATCCCTAGTAATTGTCTATAATTGTCTCCTACAATAAGCTGCCCGCGTCTGATTTTTATTCGCCAGATTTCTCACAATGAGTATCCATTAGTCGTACTTGGTGCAGTTCGGCTAAGAAGTGGGTTATTTAACCATAGTTGCAGGGGTTATATCCCAACTTATGAAGGCTAGAATCCCATAGTTGTACCATGTTATAGCCATGAACAAAAGAGCCCTGGCCTGCACCCCAAGATACCCCAAGTATTTGCTATCTCACTATATGGATCTTCACCATTGTCCCCAAGGAGATCCTCGCAATGGGAACAGGTGGAGTTCTTGGCTGCGGGGGTTGGGAACCTCCTGAAGCGAAGCCCCCGAAACTGGATATCAAAAAAACTCGTTTTGTCTATGTGTTTCTTGAATTTATCTGCTTGTTTTGGCTAGTTTTGGCGATGGAAAACTTCGGAAAAAATCTGATATTACCAAGAAATATCTGGAGAGATCGGATGGAAGGAACCATATAAATCATCCATTCTCGTTTAGATTCAGCCACTGGTCCAATGTTCCTGGATTCCATGCTCCATGGATGGATGGATTCCGGCATTTATGAAAAAAAACAACTGGAAGCAATTGAAATACCCTCTGGTATAAACGTTGACATAGCGAACTGGAAAATCACCATGTTTAATGGGTAAATCCATGTAAATCCACTATAAATGGTTCATTTTCCATAGTTATCTCAAATTACCAGAGGGTAATTTGTTGATTTTCCTCCCATTTTCCTCCTTGGTCTTTGTTTACCAATTGTTCACCAATTGTTCACCAATTGTTCACAGGCGATTTCCTTGTTGTCTTCAGCCGATGCTCTTCAATTGAACTTGGAGATCATCAGCCCTTTGGAGCAGCTGAGGGGGGAATCATTGGATTAGATATCAGCCGATTCTGAGGATTATCATTGGTTGAATTATTGAAGTGGTAGATATCATGATTATCACTAGGAATGGTTAGATAATTAGATATTATGATATTATTGGTTAGATTTCTGAGGATTCTCACTAGTCTCACTAGGCTTCACTGATCGGATGAATTTGAACATAACCCCAGGAATCCAAGCGAGAACATGGTGCTGGTATCATCTCTTAATCATTAAGGTATACTTTCCAAAGGCATCCACATGTCCATGTTTAATGGGAATAATAATGGTTGGGAATAATAATGGTTTTAAAACATGGGAATTGGGGGTACCCTATATTTCTAGACAACCCTAGGACCCTATGTGATAAAAAGATATTCAAAGGAAGTAGTTCTTCCTTTGCTCTTGGAGCCCCGGTTTTCACGGCTCTCCAGTTTCCAGAAAGACTGGTCAGGGTGGTCGATCGACTACGTTTCCTCACTAGGTTCATCTGAAACAGTACTGTATCGCCTAAGGCCGGCCCCAGGTTTTTCACTTGGAAAAATTAGCCCAGGACCTACAGCAATAGCGTGCAATAGCACCAGTAACGGGGCGTTTGTGGCCTGGTTCACAAGCTGGGGCACGGACACGGACTTTGTTTGAGAATCGCTTGCTGCGCACACCCCTTTAGCAGGCTACAATTTTGCGCTCAGCGCATGTGATAAGAGCATGAAGTGGCAACAAGCACTTCAAATTTTCTCTCTCTTGGAGTCCAAGTTGCTGCAAGCGAATTTGAGCCTTGGCCGCCTTGGCCGCCTTGGCCCCTGCACCAAGCGGCTTGGGAGGGATGAATTGATGCCAGAACATGTCAGAATTCAACATCACTATAGAATACTATAGATCTATAGGATCCATGGTGCTGGTAGAAAAATGCTAACATAAATGGGGTATATTGATGGGATCCATGGAGCACCATATATAGCAGCACCATGGAAACTATGTGTAGGTGAACATCAGTATCCCATCTTGATATCCCATGAGTGGTTTCCCGCATCACCTTCCCAGGATCACCCTGAACACCGTGATCAGCGCACTGGGTCGCTGGCATTGGCAAAAAGCCTTGCATGTCATGAGGCAGATGGAAGTGGAGCCAAGTGCGACGCTGAACTGAAACCTACAATTTTTAAGGGGATCGCAAGGTGGTGATTTTGGATCAGTTCCGAACGTTTTTCAACCAGCAAAGATTCACGGAAAGGCTACTGCTCTTCGTTTTTGGGTATTTTTACATGTAAAAAAAAAAAACATCACAGTTTTGGGGTATCTCCAAGTTGACGCATACCCTGCACATCCACGAAGATCCATAAAAATGTGTCGGACACTTCCCTATATGGGGCAGTCCTGGCAGAACATCACGAGGATATGCAGAGTTTTCCATGCGCCTCGGACATCCATGTTCATGTTTCATGTTTACCTGTTTCATTCATGCGTTACAATTATTATTGATTTTGTCATGTAGCAAATCCTGAAAAGAATAACATACTATAGCCATTATATGATGATATGATACTACATATTACCACATTTTGGCTGTCAATAGCCACCAATCACCCAGAATAGCCACAAATAACCATCAGTGGATCTTGTTGTTTCACCTGGCGGGTGGAACTTGATTCATCGACCCCAAAAAGATGCTGTTCAAAGTTTTCCAGGGAATGTCAATTTTCGGTTTAAAAAGGCGTTGTTTCCTCGATAATTTTCATTCAGGTTTGCTGCACTATATATACACACTTGGGCTTTGCAAACTGTTTGCAAACTGTGTGCAAACTGTTTGCTATCATGCTCGGACACCCGTTTGCAACATGTTTGACAAACCACGACATCATGGCATTCCAGCTACGGCAGCTACCGTTGATGATCCATCAGTGATAATGAAGTTCGAAATTTTGAATGATCCACCTGCTGAGATTCTTGGAACATGTCTTATCATTCATCAAATTGATCATCCACATGTTTTCATCCATGTTTCCATCTATTTCATCCATGCCCATGACGGATCCATGGTGCTGGTATATATGCTAACAGAAATGGGGTATATTGATGGGATCCATGGAGCACCATATATAGCAGCACCATGGATCCGTCATGGGATGTTTTCATCCATTTTTCCAGCCATTTTTCCACCCAAAAAACCCCGGGACCCCGGCCTCCCAGGATCACCAGAGCCTCCGTCACGGAATGTGCGTCTCGCGCAGCGCCGTGGCGGCTCTGTGTGGCCTTGGCGCCGCACACGCGCGACGTGATCGTGGAGGCCGTGTTGGTGAAAGCACGGCTGGGTGCAATTCGGCAACGATGGTGCCATGTGGTGCTGGATTTTTTTTTTAGAGATCTGCATGGCAATATCTATGAGAATATTAATATGGTTTAATCATGAATTGATGTTTGAATGGGATGAATGGGAGATTGATGGAAACATGGGATTTTAGAGGGATTTTATAGGACATATATGGGCCATTATATGGGTTTCATAGGAAATGCCATGGAATGGATGGCAAGGTGACCCAAAACCATGGGGCTACAGGCCAGGGCTTAAAAGAATGGGTATACCTCTGGGATATGTTGGGATATAACTCCCATGACGATGGTTATTGTATAGCACACTTATTGATGGAACCCCCAAGTAGAGATCTGGATTAGTTACTATATGAAATCATCCCAGAAACGGCCGTTTGTACCTCAAAAAAAGTAGGTAATAAATTATATATCTAACATTGAAATCTACCCATGACTTGGGATTTTCCTCCGTTTGAAAATGGGTACTTGGAGGGATTAAGTACATATAACCTGGATTGTGTGGATTTATATACTAATTATATCAATTGTAGTCAGAAGTTAGATGGTCATTATATGTTGATAAATTAATTCTCCAACATCCAATAAGTAACACGAGAACTATCAAAGGTAGACAGCGTTGCAGGGGTCCCACCAGCATCCGCAATTGAGAAGTGGATAAATCTACAGATGATCGGTGCCTCTAGGAGATTGAATGCTCGCATAACATCGGACTGTGGATACTTGTTGCAGAGGTCAAAACCTATATAATCAGCAAATAACTGTTGTTATTGAATAAAGTCATACAGTAGGCAATGAAATCATGCCAACGAAGTCTGTTCTGCGCTATTGCCATATCAACAGATCAATGTTCATATCAATACATATATCAATACATATATCACTAAAGTCACTAAAGAGTATGTGTACATACCTAGACCCTGCAAATATAGACAAATACCATCTAATCTAATGCCACCCAAACAATGGCAAAAGTACAAAAAAACATGGATATATTTGGTTTCTCACGGTAAAACACTATTTCTATGGCTACAAACGGAGGGTCTTGGTACAGCTACACAGCCCAGGCTGGGAACTTGGACGTGTCACTTCACCTTGCGGCCGTTGAGGACGTGACGTGCCGAACACTGGACGGAACGGAAAAAAAGTGCGGCCGTTCAGAAAGGGCGAGTTGGGAACTTTTGGAGTTGGATTTTGGTTTGGTATCTGGAAATGCTGACGAAACAAACAAAATCCAATGGTTGGTTCTCAGTTTCCATTGAAATTGCCGTAAAATAAGGTGTATCACGCTATCTCCATTTTTTGACAAGCGCATAAACATCATAAACTTGACTGATTTGGGCTCTATATACAATTTCACCCATGCTCAAGTGTGAATATAGCATTCACCATATTTGCCGGAGGGGTTCTAAAAAGGACCCCAAACCTCTGGAATGTGGCGGGATGTTGTTGATATTTGTTGATATTTAATGATAAATAGCCACTGTGTGGCTCTCACAACTTCACAAGGTGACTATCTTGTCATTTTCCCCACATTTTCCCCACATTTTCCCCAAAGTCCCCCATTTTTTCCCATAGTTTTTCCGGCACCACGGGCCAGGCGTCGCTGAAGGTCCTCTGGACCGCTGCCTGGCCGCGGCTCCACGCGGAGTCCACGGATGTGGCCAGTTGCGTCATGCTGCTGGACGCCTTGCTGCGTGGGGCGGAGGAGGAGCTGCTGATGACCACGGAGCTGAGAAGCGCCATGGATGAGCTCCTGGCGCTGAGATAGTGATTGAAACATGGGAATGTGGGATTTGAATGGGATTGGGGTTTGGGGGTTAAGAAGTTTGATGGGATTTAGGGTTGAATGGTGTTTTTAATGATGATTCATGGGATTTAATTGGTCTTTGATGTGTTTTTAGTGGACTTTGATGGGATTAAGGGGGGGTGTATTTGGGGGTTTAATGCATGAACGTGCAGGAATTCCATACAGTATGTTTTTTTTTTTTAATAGGGGTGTTATGTTTATGTTTTTTTTGATATGTTTTTGTTTTCCAGCCTGGCTTTGTGGCTTTTGTGGCTTTACCATGCTTTGCCTATCTATCTATCTATCTATCTAATCTAACCTAATCTAATCTAGCCTAATCTAATCTAACCTAATCTAATCTAATCTTATCCAATCTTATCTGATTTTATCTTATTTTTATCTTATCTTATATATCTCAAGTATCTATCTAAAGTATGCATCTAAAGTATCTATCTAAAGTATCTATCTAATTTATCTACCTACCTACCTACCTACCTACCTATCTATCTATGTATCTATCTATCTATGTATCTATCTATCTATCTGTCTGTCTGTCTATCTATCTATCTATCTATGTATGTATCTATCAATCTATCTAATCAAAGTTATATATATATATACATCAATCTATCTAATATTATCTATCTAATCTTATCTATCTAATCGTTTCTATCTAATCTTATCTATCTAATCTTATCTACCTAATCTTATCTATCTAATCGTTTCTATCTAATCTTATCTATCCAATCGTTTCTATCTAATCTTATCTATCTAATCGTTTTTATCTAATCTTATCTATCTAATCTTATCTATCTAATCTTATCTATCTAATCTTTTCTATCTAGTCTTATCTATCTAATCTTATCTATCTAATAGTTTCTATCTAATCTTATCTATTTAGTCTTATCTATCTAATTTTATCTATCTAATCTTATCTATCCAGTCTTATCTATCTAATATTATCTATCTAATCTTATCTAGTCTTATCTATCTAATATTATCTATCTAATCTTTTCTAAATCAAAATAAAATAGATAAAAGGTACGTGAAAGCAAAGAAAACCATTGAGAACCCCAGCCTTTCATCCTTTAGAGTTCCACAGAACGTTGCGATCCAAACGTGTCCAGCTCTTAAGGTTCGTGGTTCAACAGGTGGATATGGATTTGTCCGCCCTCGGTCACTTGACGTTGGATATGGATCTGCCTTCTGACAATGTGGGGCCCCTGAGTTATACCCAACGAGTACTATAGTGTATAAAGTTTATAAGTATCATAAACTATAGTTTATACGTATCATAAACCATAGTTATTGGACGACTTATAAACCAACTTAGCATTTTTTGGGTTGGTTTGAGATGGCTTGGATGGGCACTTTAATCCTTTTTTGCTATGAATGGGAAACAAGCATAACCAGCAATATATTATTTGTTTGTGGACTATCAAAGAAGATTGACAATAAGGCATCTCAGCCCCCAAATATAGTCATTTGACATGGCTAGCCGAACTAGATGGACGATTTTTCATTGGAACTGGAACATTATCTGTAGATGTGGTAAGTTCATACCCCCCATATGACCGGGATGCATAAATCCAAGGGTTTTCATTGGGGTATTTGATATACAGTTTAATATTATGAGGAATGGATTGATTGGCATGGATTCAAGCAATGAAACTGGAGAAGTCACGAAGTGGATGACACGGGGATGTGACGAACTCATATGTTTCAAGATGGTTATTGCACCACCAACCATATATATATATATCAAATATGGTTTCATCAGTTATAACAACAACATTTCTAGAGATATGTTAACCAACATTTCTATGTTTACCAACCAATAATATATATATATATATGTAACCATCATTAACCATCATTAACCATTATTTAACCACTATTAACCATGAAAATCCCATTAAACTCCCCATGATGTGACGAAGTCCATCGGAAGTTTCAAGTGTTTCACAGCGTTACCAGCGGTACCCTTAACCCACCTCCCTCGGATCATTGCGGTAGATTTCACGCAGGTCACATTGGCGTGTGACGCGGAAACAAAAAGACGAGCCGAGCGAACTGGGTCAAGCTGTGGCTGACGAAACAGCTGGGTCACTGGCTGACTAAACAGCCATGATTTTTTAGTTAATTTTGTATGTTTATATAATATCAAGGCCTGATGAATGCAAGTTTGCTCCTGAATTGGAAGGTACGTGTAGATGAAAGTGGAATTAAGCCAACTAAAAACCATTATTTCGGACGCGCTTTCCATGTGCTTGGGTTAACCAGCCATGGTTTTGAAGATGTTTACTCCAAACACATGTTAAAAACTAAGTTTCACGATCAGATCAACCCCAGACTAAATGTGTTTTGCTCCAGGTCCAGGGTTAGCAACAGTGCATGATATAATGATATACTATATATATACATACTTAACAAAACTAGCATTGCGTACTATGAACAACAATAGTTAACATGTGCATACAGCATACATGCGTATGATCTGAGGAAGAATGATGGTTTTTGCCACTGCTATACCCATACTTGTACACTCCATGTATGGAATTCCACTTTTGGGTTATTTTAGGTGTAAATGAACGTGAAAATTCCATACATAGATCATTGGGGACGGATACGGTACCCATTATGATGTTGAAGCAACCCCCAAAAAGATCGAAAAGTCAGATCCGAAATCTAAAATAGTGGTAAATTTCTTGTCTATCTTTTTTGGGGATTGCTATGCCTTTGTTTTTCATGGTATTTTTCCAGGCTCACTCTGAAAAATGCGACAGGCGACTCTTTTCCCGACTGGGCCGCGCAGCGGCAGACCAGTCCCCGTGAGATTCCCCGGAACGATTCAACAGGCCACGGGGGGGGGGGGGCACGATCTGGAAGTTTCTTGAGTCATCGGTGATCCCCAGTCGTCACCATGGATTTTAATCCTAAAATGGTCAACTGGATGAGAACTGGGGTAGTCCCATGACCTCGCAAACCTCAGATTTCAGGTATGGTATGATGCAAATCTTCCTCGAATATCGATTTGCAATACCCTCTGGTAATCCAACATGTCTATGGAAAATGACCGTTTTCAATAGTAAATTATCTATAAATCATAAATGGTCCATCTTCCATAGCTATGTTAAATTATCAGAGGGCACTAAATCCCAAAAGCTGGGTTGAGATTTTGGCTTCCGGCATCAACCTTTGTCAAATTAATATTGCTGTGCTAATGTATCTCGTCCAATGAATGTTGGGGGATTTTATGATATGGTATTACTTCAGCCTTTATAAATGATATGTTGATAAATTACCATCTGATTCTACTTTAATGTGGGTCAAACAACAATAAACCATCCCCCAAATCACCATAAGTAGGTGAGAAAAAATCATTCCCAAATAAGGGTGGTTTATGATTGTTTTTCCTACATTATTAGATTTGTGTTAGATGTTGTTTCCTACATTATTGTTGTTTTCCTACATAAATGTTGCGAAATATCGCCTGAGTCGCTGCCGCTGCCACAGTGTACAGCGGCGTTGAACTAGGCTTGGATATTTCAGCATCCTGGGTACTGTTACCATCCCGAATTGATTGATGATGTTTTTTTTTTTTTCCATCGAATCTATGTACTGTAAACTACCTATATATATATATGTGTGTGTATGTAGTATATATATATTATTTTAGTATTGTATTATATTATATAACATCACTCTATATATATATATGATTATGTATCCATCTATAGTGTGGCGATGCAAATAAATGAATAACATTCTCTGGGGTGAATGGTGTTTAGTACCCCAAATGGTCAAAAATCGGTGACTTGGCCGGGCAATTGCAGGCCCGTGGTCGGCGCAAAGACAGACGAGCAGCAGAACTAATTCAAAAGGCCCTGGTGGGTGAAGCTGGAAGAATCGATGGGGTGGGTCCATGGGGACTCAAGGTATATCCAACTCAAATTTGCTGGATTATATCCGGTTGGTGGTTTGGAACGTTTTTTTTTATTTTTCCATATACATTGGGAATAATAATCCCAACTGACAAATATTTTTCAGAGGGGTTGTAACCACCAACCAGATATGTATAATATATATAATATATATATATATATTGAATTATACTCTAGAAAATGGGGAATCTAATTGACAATTGATGATCGATATTTTTAGATGTGTCTTTTGCTGTCATGAACTTATGTGGATTTGCTGAATTTTCTTTGGTTCATTTTCCAATATGGGTCAAGACAAGATGTCCAAAAAACCGACATCTTGGGTTGTCTTTGACATTCTTCCAGAATATTGTGACACGGTACTTGGATGTTCCCAAACTTGGAATTTGTATCAACAAAGGCGTCCGTCAATTTGTTACCCGGCCTGGTAAACTAACAGTTTGCTATTGAACATGGCCATAAATTTGTAGTTGATTTACGCATTAAAAATTGTGATTTTCCATAGTTCGGACCATAGTTGAGGGTAAATTTCTGGGTCCCTTTAAGTTGGGACCTGCTGTGTGAGATGGGCAAAAAAATTCCACAAGAGCCATCTGCGTTTTATCCCTTTGGCTTGTCAAAGGATGGACATATAATATAGATTTCTTTGATTCTTGGTTGTCTCACAATGTACTCACGAACTCACGACTTCGAAAGGTTTTACAAACTCACAGGTACAACTTAGCAGGGATGAGCAAACTCAACAGTTTGGATTTACTTTGGTCAATGTGAATTTAACATAATTTAGCCCGTTGGTCATGTAATCGCCACATTTTGCATGGCTATGCCCCTTTGTTTCAAGTGGTTGCGGCTGGTACTGGTATCGTTTGGTTGTCCCATGTTTTCTCCCCGAATTGTGCTTCCGGGATCCGGCCAGGCAGAGATGTTTGGGGCCCAGCGGTGAGAGCCTACAAGTAGCCAATACTTCCCCAGTGGGTCCACACTGTTTGGGGTTCTTACGGTGTTAAGGCCGGGGTTAGATCAGGGTACGCCATCTGTCCGGCATTTTTCCTCTAAATTCTCGCATAAAAAATTGCTCTTGTGACATGTCCATGTGCGTTTCGACTGCGCAGGCTTGCACAAACTGTGCGTCCCGATCTTGGTGCGCGGATTTTTTCCTGTAAATTCGCGCATAAAATGCTTCTTCTGACATTCGCATACATGGGCTCTTAAGGAAATCCTGCTCAATTCCTGTCCAAGAGGTCCTTGCATGATCATGCACAGGTCCTCAACAGGAGATCTTTTGAGATCCTTTCTATGAGCCCCTGGTACGAGGAGCTTGCAAACGCCATGTCTTAGAGTCTTAGAGGTGCTTGTGTGAAAGCTCTTGTCGGAGGCTCTTGGGAGGTTCTTGTATCAAGATCTTGTAAGATCCGCTCCAGCAGCAGCAGCAGGTCCTTTTGTGACCATTTTATGAAATTCTCTTACCGGTCCTGGCATGAAGATCTTGCTACAAGTCCTTGTGAGAAGCTCTTGACTTGAAAAGGTCCTGGTGAAATCCCCCCGGTGTCCTTACATGATATGGCACACGGCCTTGTGTGGAGATCCTGTTGAAATCCTCCTCAAGAGGTCCTTGCATTAAGATCTTGAAGATCCTCTGCGTTGGTGCTTGTATGAACATTTTTCTGGGTTGCTCACAGGAAATTCTTGTCTGAAGATCTTCTGAGCTCCTCTGAATGGATCTACATAGAAGGTCCTTCTGCTGCAGTTGCGATAATGTCTAACCTCATCTGTTACTGTTCCATAGCTACTGCTGCTTGTAACTGGTACATTGACTTCCTGCCCCCCACACTGTACGTAGAGATTTGATAAATTCCACACAGCGATCGCTTGTGCTTTTTGATGGTGATCCAGGAAACCATGTTTTCTCTACAAAAAGATGTTGGTTTGTGGCTGAGACATTAGAAATTCCAATTGATTCAACCACTTAAAGACGGATTTACCGGGTCTCCGGGGAAGGATCTGAAGTTCTTGGTCATGTTTCCCACTTGTTGGTTCGTTGTATGATCATAACACCAGAATAATCCGGTCAAACCATAGGGTTATTTTTCAAGACTATCAATGATATGCCAGGTTTTCAAATTTAGATGAGAAAAAAAACGACCATCCATTCAAAACATGGTTTGAAATCCTTGTTGCTGCCCCAGAATCAACTGGTGAAGTCTCCATAAAATCAACATGTGGCCTTCGGTTAGGTCAATGCAGAAGCCAAGCACAAGATGTCCTGGTTTGCTGCGGGAGACAGGCGCAGATGGATGTAAGATGTGGAGAATGGGCCAAAATCAGATTTTAGGACAGGAGATGTTTAGTATTAACCATCCATTTGTTGGGGTACCCAATTTTGACCCATACCCCACAATGTGAGTATGCCCCAAAATCTGGATGTTCCACACCAAACATGATTGTACTCCCCCAAGTTCACGTGACGACCCTGAAAGATTGGGAGTTGGAAAATTATTTTCCAAGAATTGGTCCATGTTAATTTGGTGGAGGGTAATTTTCTGGGCGCACTGAAGTCCATTGGTGCCCTTTCTTTGACCCATACCCATGTGGCCTGCTTTCTTTGTGTTTAAAGTGGATGTAAGCACACACACACACCACATGTTCATCCAACTTACCCTTCTGGTGTCATCAAACACCGTTTGCTGCGAAATTCTCCAAATTATAGATTATATTCCTAGCTACGCACCTCCATTCCGTTTGCGATTTTCCAGCTAGCCATGTTAATCGGAGGGTTCATAGTATGTTTGCCCATGTTAATCTGTATTCTGATGGTCAAGGTACCCGAAAATTCAGGATGCTGGTTGATAGTCCTTGAAACGGCCATTTCTATGGTAGCATGGCATAAACTGTTGTGTTTAAAAAATGGTTAACTATCAAGAAGTGGGATTGAGCATAGCAATATTGAAATGGGATAATGAGGGGATATTATGTCACAAGAACAATAGATACTTGATGATACTTGATGATACTTGATGATACTTGATGATACTTGGGTGTCTCTGAAACTTGGGGGTTGACATGGATTCACTCCCAATCTATCACATGTTCAATAGGGAATTGCGATTGACCTCAGTGGATCTTCTCCGGTCCCATGCCCCGTTCACTTATTTGATGATCCTTGCTGAAAAATCATGTTCAATCATGAAAAATCACGTCTCTATTGTTTAAATCCAATGAAAAACCTCTTGTTTTGATCACTGGTTTATTGTAGGTAAATTGAAGTTCACCAACTTTCACCCAGCCAAGTCGTCTCGCAGGGAGCGACAAGCCCTCCTAGCCGCGATCGAAAGGTGGGCGCGCATCACCAAGCGGTTTTTCATGGGGAGTTGTAGGGATACCAACCAGCAAGTCATCGGGTATCTAGGGATTTCATGTGCTTAAATATTCTGGGAATTCAATGGGATTTCATGCAGTTATAATGGATAATTATGGAATTTTCAGGGGGGTTCATGGGGCTTTAATGGTGACTTCATGGGGATTTACGCTCAATCAAACATGGCAGGCAATTCCAAACCCTTCAACAAATGGAAATTTTCAACAGAATATCAACTATAAATGTACAATTCCAGAATTTCTTTGGGACGGTCTGTAGATGTATCTGGATAGACTTGGTGACTACCTCCCTGTGACATTTGAAATGATGGTTGGGGTGGGGCTAGCGATCCCAAAAGGGTCTTAATCATGAATTATTCTAATTGACCCCAGCGCATTGCAGCAGCATTGTGCCCTGGCAACTGCAGCTGGTGACCCAGCTGCAGCTGGCTTGCTGAAGGATGCTTGCTTTTATACAATGTGGAGAAGGGCACTTGGCAGATACCCTGGTGAGCATGGCCCTTTGACAGCCATTGGCATAGGTAATGCTGGTGGTGTTCTGCCACCCCTTGGCACATATTTGGCAACTGCCACCCTCAACTTTTGTGGCAGGTGTGAGACAATACAATGTCAACAGGCACCTACAGGAGTAAAACATTGTTTGCCTGCTCCATGCTTGAATAACACAGATGGTCAGTCTAACAAATTCAGCATATATATTCCTTTGAGTAGTAACCATGCTTGGGGTCACAGCCTGCTACCCAAGATGCTTGAACACTTTGCCCAGGCTTGGCCCTGGGCAGCCTGACATGGGATGATCTTTGTGCAGCTTCTTGAGGCATGTGGCTTTTTACCATGGAACTGTCCTGTCAGTAAAATGCTGCAACCCTTTTGCAAAACACCAAATGATATTGTCTTGGCACTTGACTTGAAAGGGCAGCCCCAGCCAACCGCAATTTGAACAGCTATGCTTGGGAAGCACAGCACCAAAAACCCAATAACTGCACCACCAACCCTGAATCCTTTATATAACCCAAACCAAACTAGCCCCAAACCACAACCCCACACAGCTTTCCCACTGACCCTAACGAACCAAACCATACCCTCCTGCCCCCCTGCTGCTAAGGTCTTGCAGGTCCTCCACCAGGCTTGGCCCTGAGCAGCCTGGCATGGGATGATCTTTGTGCAGCCTCTTGAGGCATGTGGCTTTTCTTTACAGTGGAACTGTCCTATCAATAAAATGTTGCAAATGATATTGTCTTGGCACTCAACTTGAAAGGGAAACCCCAGCCACCCACAAACTGAACAGCTATGCGTCGAAAGCAAAGCCCTTAAAAATCTATAACTTCACCACCAACCCTGAATCGTTTAACCCCAACTAGCCCCAAAACACAGCCCTACACAGCCTACCCACTGACCCTATGCAACCCCTGCTGCCAAGGTCTGGCAGGCCTTGGACACCAGATGCTCTCCATTGCCATGGGACAGGAGTTGCCCAATGCCTCTGTTTGTGTGTGTGTGTCAGCACTGTTGATATTCATATACCTATACGTATACCAATTCTAAAATTCCAGTAGTACCGCACAAGGCGGTGGCGGAAGTTTCGAAAATAGGAAACCTATAGAAGAGGTTGGTTGTTGTGAATCAGGGATGGCAGATCGAAGCCACTGATGGACCGAAAGGTGCTTGAGGTCTCCTCTCTTTCTCTCTTTCTCTGACTACCTACCTACCTATCTATCTATCTACCTATCTATCTATCTATCCTATCCTATCCTATCCTACCCTATCCTATCCTATCCTAACCTATCCTAACCTATCCTATCCTATCCTATCCCATCCTATCCTATTCTATCTATCTATCTATCTATCTATCTATCTATTGATCTCTCTCTCTCTCTCTCTCTCTCCCTCCTTCATCTAATGACCTATCAATCCATCTATCCATCTATCTATCTATCTGCCTGTCTATCTATCTATCTACCTATCTACCTATCTACCTATCTACCTATCTACCTATCTACCTATCTACCTATCTACCTATCTACCTATCTATCTATCTATCTATCTATCTATCTCTCTATCTATCTATCTCTCTATCTCTCTATCTCTCTATCTCTCTATCTCTCTATCTCTCTATCTCTCTCTCTCTTTCATCTGTCTATCTGTCTAGCTGTCTACCTGTCTATCTGTTTATCTATCTATCGATCTGTCTGTCTGTCTGTCTATCTGTCTACCTGTCGATCTGTGGTGCAGTGTCATTCAGTGTAATGCAGTGTAGTGCAATGTTGTGTAGTGTAATGTAGTGTAGTGTAATGTAGTGTAGTGTAGTGAAATTTAGCGTAGTGGAGTGTAATTCAGTGTGGTGGAGTGTAGTGGAGTGTAGTTGTGTAGTTTTAGTTGTAGTTTTGTGGAGTGTAGTGTAGTGTAGCGAAGTCTAGTGGAAGGTAGTGTAGTGTAGTGTAATGTAGTGTAGTGGAGTGTAGTGTAGTGTAATGTAGTGTAGTACAGTGTAATTTAGTGTAGTGGAGTGTAATTTAGTGTAGTGGAGTGTAGTTGTAGTTGTAGCTATAGTGTAGTGGAGTGTAGTGTAGTGTAATGTAGTGAAGTGTAGTGGAAGGTAGTGTAGTTTATTGGAATGCAGTGTAGTGGAGTGTAGTGTAGTGTAATGTAGTGTAGTGTAGTGTAATTTGGTGTAGTGGAGTGTAGTGGAGTGTAGTGGACTGTAGTGGAGTGTAGTTGTAGTGTTGTGGAGTGTAGTGTAGTGTAATGTAGTGAAGTGTAGTGGAAGGTAGTGTAGTGGAAGGTAGCGTAGTGTAGTGGAGTGTAGTGCAATGTAGTGTAGTGTAGTTTAATTGAGTGTAATTGAGTGCAGTGTAGGGTAGTGGAGTTTAGTGTAGTGGAATGTAGTGAAGGTGTAGTTGTAGTGTAGTGTAGTGTATTGGAGTGTAGTGTGGTGTAGTGGTGGTTGTAGTTGAAAATGCTACAAAACCTTCATGTTTGCTCACTTTTGACAAGGTGCACAATCCCTTGCCCCTGCCACGCGAAGCGACATCTGAACCTCCAAAAGTGGTCCGAACCCCTGGTGTTTTCAACATGTTGACTTCGACATGTGCTTCGCGCCACAACGGCTTGCATTTTTTCGACATCTGAACTTCCAAAAGTGGTGCGACAATAGTGTGTTTTGTACATTTTGACTTCGACATGTGGTTCGCGCCACAACGGCGTGCACTTTTTCGACATAGGAAATTCCAAAAGTGGTCCGAGCATGGTATGTTTTGTACATTTGACTTCGAAACGTGCTTCGCGCCACAACGGCGTGGAATTTTTCATCTCTCATCTGGCCAGATGGCTCCGCACCCGCCGCTTTAGCGAGCCTACTTTTCGACCCTCCGGAGCCTCAAATCATTGGAAAAACACAGTGTTTCGCGACTTTCCTACCTTTTCGCGAATCTGCATCTTCTTTCTTCTGACTCTTTCTCTTCTACTCTTCTCTCTTCTAATCTTTTCCCTTCTCTCTGCCTCTGCCCTGCTCTGCTTTTCATCTGTCCATATTGTTGGAAGTTTGACTTCTAAACTTCGTTCGATAATGTGCATTTGTGTAAATATATATATTTTATTTATTTATTTATTTATTTACAACCTTGCAGGTGCACCATGAAGAATACCATGGTGAAAGCTGGTCAATGCCATTGGATTCTGCTTAGAACCCAGGCAAGCTGCGATGTATGGACCAATTGCAAGAGTGAGTGATAGTGACACATGTTTTACAAACTTTGCTCGACAAAGTTACCTTGAAGTGCCTTTGGCCCAAACTTGTAAGCTGGCAGCCAGAAGCCAAAGATATCAAGCTTGCCAGAATGGTGGAGGCAAGGTTGAATGAAGTGGCTTTTCACTGCACATGTACATGTGCCTTTTTCTTTTGCAAACATGTGCATCACAACATCACAACCAATGTAAGCTTTGTGCTGTGGCTGTTTTCACTCATAGCTGGCCTGCTTCTTTTCAGCTACACAGGCAGCATTGGGGGCCCCTTTCACTGATGCAATTAGCTTCACAGTGAGCAAGCGCATCCCCAACACCCTCCAATGGTGGTTTGGCCAATATTGGATTTCAAAATGGGCGAGTTGGACTTTGAGGCCTGGAACTGGAACTGCACTTTTTTGTGTGCTTGATAAGCAGCATCATTATTGAAGCCTGTCCGGCAGCAGCCCTGGCAGGGATTATGGCAACCCCATGGGCAGCCACCCATGGTCTGTGGGAAGCCATGAGCAGCTGCAATCTTTTGCGTGCCACATGGGCTTTTGGGCCCTCAACACTGATGTCCACAAGCTCAGGAGCAATGCTTGGATGGAGTGCTTGGTTCCACATCCTTCACCGCAGGTGTTTGGCAAAATGGATGTGATGCCTGATGGGTGGGAGTTGCGGCACATGGAATCTTTGGCTGTTACCATCTCTGCTTACATGTCAAAACCTGTGTTTGCTGTTTGGTGCATCTTGTGTTTGGAAGTTGTGTGGAGTATGAAAGCTGCCTAGGATATGGAGATCTACCCAAGAATTTTATGCACGGAGCAACACCCAAAAAGAGTCCGAAAAGCTGGAAGCCATTGGAAACCCATAGAAATTATGGGGAAAACATCATCGGATTACCATCCTGGAAATCGTTTCTATTTGTCGATTCTTTTTTGGGGTTACTATACTACAGATTATTACAGTGTTTTTAACCAGCAAATTTTGGGATTTTAAAACCAAGCTCCAGATTTCAAATTTGGTGACGCCCCCGACATCCCAAATCCTCCTACTTGATTCTACTCGTGTTTGGTAAACAGTCATCATTGTTGGAACTTCACAAAAATACCATGTGGACATACAAAGAGGGAACGCCACAAAAAAAAATGTGTGTCCGCGTCAATGTGAGCCTTTTCGCAAGTATCGAAACATGCAATGCTTCGGGTTGAAACGGACCTGATCCGGCACAGGGGTCGCATTTGGCCCTACCTCATGTGGGGTCGCACTTGCCCGTATACTGACGGTGGAGGTAGGGGTGCAGCTGACCCTAGGGTAGGGGCGAATGTGACTCGACCTCGTTTTGCGTGGCAGGCGCAATAGTTTCAGAGGTGGGAAAGGATCATTTTCCAATTGTGACAGTCAGCCCTAACATCCTTTTCAAGCAACTTCCAAGACGTTCTGCAGGCTACGCTGTGAACTTCCACAACGCTCTGGATGTTACTTTGTAACATGCATTTCAAGTGTCTTCCAAGACGTTCTGCATGCTACATTGCAACAACCATTTCAAGCAACTTCCAAAACGTTGTGCATGCTATGTTGTAACATCCGTGCCAAGCATCTTCCAAGACGTTCTGGATGCTACGTTGCAACACCCGTTTCCAGTAACTTCAAATACGTTCTGGATGCTATGGTGTAACATCCCCTGCAAGTAACTTCCGCTACGCTCTGAATGCTACTTTGTAACATGCAATTCAAGGATCTTTCAACCTAATATAGAAAGGTGAATGCCCCGAGTGCCCCCTAACCAATGTCCGCAAGTCCCTTGAGCCTTGTCCCCAGATTAAACCCTAAAAGGTTGAATGGCGTAGTAGACAGGGAAGTGACCCTGGTCCCCCCTAACCAATGCCCCCAAGTCCCCCCTAATTGATTGTCCCTTGTCCCCAGTTTAAAACCCTAAAACGTTGAATGAATTATTAAGCAGAAAGGTAATTGAGGTAGGGGCGAATGTGACCCCTGTCCCACCTGATCCTCAAATTCCCTTCAAAGTTCAGGGACTATGCCCCTGAGTGGGGGAGCTCAGTGCCAACCGTCACACTGCCCAAATGAGGCCAAGTGAGGATGAACGAAAAAATAAGAAAAAATGCATTGACTGATTAGATTTAATTTTGCAATCTGGATTCTGGATGATTCTGGATGTTTGCCAATTCTTGGAAGTTATTCAATGTTTTTCACACCAAATCAGCATGCAGTCGCTTGTTGTGTGTTTTAAATCAACGTGCAGTTTGTGCGCAATGACGACCATTGCAGACCTGGATGATCGTTTTTGATGATCATTTTTTTGACTGAAAATGGGCGGTTCCCTCAATCCCAGTGGCATTTACAGTACCATGATCTGCAGTATCCACTTTTATTTGTGTATCATATGAGCACCATCATCTACAGTCAGTGTATCATATGCATCCAATTGGATGGGTATCATGATTTGAATGGTTTGTCATTGGTGAGGTTTGAACATTGTTATTTAAACGGTATCATCATATTTCTATTAAGATTGCCATTTGGCGATGTAACTGACCCACATGTCATACATCTGCAAGCCATCTGGCGAAAAAACAATGCCAACAAGAAGATGGTCTCACAGTGACTTGCGACATGAACATGGGGTTGTACCTGGTCATTTTAGGTTGATTTCCAGCTGGATGACTGGATGTATTCCGATCCGAACCACCCTATACTCATCTATATGTTGAAACTCAGTGCAAACCGCTTCAAAAATGGATCTTAGGGAGGGGGTATTATATATATATATGCATATTCATATACAATGGGCTTTGGTTTCAGTGAATTTCATTTCATAGATAGGGCACTTGCGCCCCAGTTGACGAAATTGTTTTGTTGTCTTATTAGTTTACTTGGTTAACTACAGTCTATCGGTATATGCAATATGTTCATTGGGTTACAAACCAACAGTTCACGTGTTGTGAATTCTACAATCTTAATGGGGATATATCATGAGATAAGTATAGTATAAACCATATTCTGATTCAACTACAATGTGAGGCCCCCCAGTTATGCAGTAAGTTGGTTTATAATCCCCAGTAACTATAGTATAAGTACCATAGACCATAGTTATTGGAGTTATTTGCACCAACTTAACTATCTTGGGGGCCTCACATTGTAGTAAACCATTTATACATGAGACAGCACGGGGGTTGGGACTTACTCACCAGGGTTCGGCCCCGCCACTTAGCGCCGAGATTGCGACGAATCTCCCACGACTGGGTCCTGAGTAGAGCCTGGAGGGCTCAGCGACGATTCTCACCGAAACCCACCGAAAACGTCGAAAAAAACGTGGCAGATACCCTCCGGTAATTGAACATAGCTATTGAAGATGGCTCAATTTTAGTTGATTTACCTATAAAAGATTGTGATTTTCCATAGCTATGTTACTTTACCAGAGAGTACCCCCTGCTAATTAAAAATTGTGGTTTGCAGTGGCTATTTTAAATTACCAGAGATGATATAAACAAACAAAGGATAAATTTAACTATCAGAATTTGGGTTTGTCTGAAAATAATTGGAAACCCCCCGATTCTACGTGCTGGTCGTCAGCAAGTAAAAAGAACAAAATCCCCCTTGATTGAAGCTCTATGGAATGGAAGAACCCACCATTAAATAAACCAGATGTCTATGAAATGGTGGGGTAAGGGTACCTACCATTCACATCCATTAGCCAACGGGGATCATTTAAAAAAAGTGATTGCTTCCTTAGGGGGGCACACCCCTTTTCAGACAGACCCATTTGAGATTCAGCATGATTTATCCTGTCAGTATTTTTTTCACATATTTGCTCGGGTGCTAACCAAAAGAAATCGGGATTTACCTGCAAATAAAGTGATTTCCTGGTTTTTACCACCCAAAAAAAGAGGATGTCACTCACAAGGTTGGGCATTTTAAATCCTCTAAGCACTCTTGACTTGGAACACAGCCAGTATATTCCATGGTGTTTCAAGTACTTGTTATTCTTCATTCCCAAGGATTCCCAGAAATGCAATGATGGTTCTCATTGGTTTTCCGATTTTCGGTGTCAAAAAGCAGCCAGGCGCTGGCATCAAATATGGAATGCTGGATGCACGGTTGAGTTTGGAGATAATTTCGCAGATATAGAGGTAAATATATGTATAGCCACGGATTAATCTGGGGATTCAGCTTATCCCATGATAAAGCAACCAGCATCAACCGATTTTCAGGGTGATCGTCCTAGCTGGATGAAACTCCAACAGGGATGCTGGTGACGGTCCCAGTGGGCGTGTTTTGATGGGACAGGTTGCCAAGTCTTTGGCGCCCGAGCCATGTTGGATTTGTCCTTTGCCATGTCAAATCCTCTGATGTTGGCAAGCCAGCCATAAAGCTACCATTTTGTTCTCCATTTAAAGTGATGGTTATTTTGCACCCATATTTATGTCGATGACTTGGGGATTCTGTAAGGCATTGAGTAAACTACACTCTAATAATATTATGAATATCTATTAACATCTATTAATATCTGTAAATATCTATATTAATATCTATTAATATATATATATATATATATTCATATCTATTATATATTAACATCTATTAATATCTATTAGTCTCTATTAATATCTATTAATATCTATTCGTATCAATACTCTACTACATGTCCATATCTCCGATGATGCATAGATCGTAAAACGATTCTTGACGCCCACCTGGTTGAGCGGCCAAGGGCTGTAAACTCCAGGCAGAGGTGTGCGAGGGTGGTGTTGGTGGTGGTCTTTATTTAATGTTGGCTTACCACATTAAGATTGACTGGGTCGAAATTCATCATAACATTGATTTGTTTATCTATAGAATATATATATTATATATGTGTGTGTGTATAGTATAATTACCTAATAATACAAAATTAAGTTCTCTTTCTTCATATTTAAATACACAAAATACATCAAAATACACCAACAATCCGTATACCAATACTACGGGGTCTAGCCTACCAATACCACAGGGGGTATGCCCTATTCCGAAGGCTATGCGGGTATGCCCCATGAGTCTTAGTAGTTTTCTTTTGAGGCCAACCATGCACAAGCCAACGAAAACATGGAGAATCGTGGAGATGTTTTCTGACCGATAGCGAACTGATTCGGACCACAACTCAGCTCCAAATGAGGAAAATTGAATTGAGGGTAGATATTCGGCTTACTTTCCCAACTGTTTTATTCCATGACATATACACATTACACATGGTACATTTGCTACATATGTATACTTGTTTCCCAGTAATTATAGTCAACTTATGTATATAATGGTTAACCATAAACGTGTAGATATTAGTGTGGGTAATGGTTTATAATGAACTTATATGCTTACATACTTGACTTATTACATGACACATATGTAGACAGAAAAAAATAAATAAACATTAATGTAAAGTTGGGTAAGCATAGTGATTATAGTTACTACTATAATACTGTTGTAGTTACTAGTACTCTCTGGTACTCAAACACGGCTTCCTGGAAAATCCTCCATTTCGCTGGGGGATTCCCATGGCGCCATGTTTGATTACGGGAGGGTAACCACCAAAAACACGACTTGACATAGTCGTAGAGTCGTAAACCAACGATGGTTAGGTACGTATAGTAATGATGCGATGATACTTACATATACTTACTATTCTGGTAATATGTTAGTTACTATTATGTAGATATATATATATATATATCTATACATATGTATGTGCATATCCCAACTATAGTAGCTATAGTAACTACAATGTACTCTAATAGTTATGTATGATAATTTAGAACTATATATAGTATGTGTTTAACTACATATCAATATAATGATTCTAGTTACTATAGTTACCCTATATATATAGATTTAGATATAGATATGTTAGTAAAAACTATATTTGTAACTAGAAACTATCAAAGATAGATATATTTTATATAGTATATATCAGTAACTATCAAACAAACCATCATTGGAACTATATAATATAGATTTCATAGTATATTGTATATTAGTAACAATATTAGATAATTAATACTATTAGTATGTAGATTAATCATAATTGCTACAGTTACACTGATCCTTTCGCATTGTGCTGACAGCGCCAGTCGAAGAACGACGACTCCGATCTGGCGCCGCCCTTGCCGCGCTACCTGGATCTTTCCGAGGTGCCAATGGTGTTTTTGTTCGTAGAAAAATGGTGGTTGATGTATCTTTCTGTGATGTAAACACCATGAAACATGCTGTTTTTTTGTATGTGAATTTGTATGTTAAAAGATGATGCTTAACTTGGTGGATTCAAACATTTCCGTTGAGCAAGGTGCTGGGAATGCATGAGCCTCAGATGGTGCTGGAGTTTTGGTGGGATTTGAGCTGAGATTTCTGGAAACAGCTATGGAAATTCACATTTTTTTGATAGGTAAACTGGTTGGTGGTTGGTGATTTACCCATTGAAAATGATGATTTACCCATTGAAAATGGTGATTTTATATACTTGTTGGTGGTTTGGAACATGAATTTCATGACTTTCCATTCAGTTGGGAATGTCATAATCCCAACTGACGAAGTCATATTTTTCAGAGGGTTTGAAACCTCCAACCAGTATAAATGACCAATGTTCCCTGGCTATATTACATAGTTTGTTAGAGTAGTTTGATTGAACCAAAACGACATCGAACTCTATGGGGGCATTAGTAAGGATATTTTGTATTGGGAAATAGCTAGCTATAATATTTATTATGATATATAACATTGATTGGCTGTATCTGATATCATACTATTTGGGTCTATAAATAGCTAGCCAATCAATTTGTATGGGATATTGGGATATTATAGTTTTTGGCTGTATCTGATAATTGTTAGCATACGCTGCAAGTGTTCGGCTGTGTATATCAGGAAAATGATGACCAACCAATGGATACATTGGGGTGGCCTATTTTTCATTGATTACCCTCTCGTAATTTAACATAGCTATTGAACATGGCACATTTATAGTTGATATTATACCTATTAAAACTGAATATTTTCCATAGCTATGTTAGTTTACCAGAGGGTGAGTTATGAATTGTCCACAATGTACCCATACAGTCTCCGTTTCCGTAATCCCTGGAAGTTGTCTTGAAGCCAGGTTTTGCGCAAGGTCCATTTTTGAAGCCTGAAGTTGAAACAATGGCTCGGTGAAATTCGACATTATATAGCATTGGTGATCTCCAAAACAGCTAGAAAGGTCAATCATCATCAGACTTAGTATAATTACGGCTATAGTTACTTTTACCATATTTGTCATGTTCCGAACCTTTTTTTTTTGTTCTTTCGGGGAGCGCTACAAACAAATCAAAGAAGTTGGCTTGTCAGACATGGGAAACCGACGCCCAGACCCAACGTCATGCTGAGCGCCATGCTCGCAGCCAAGTGTCACCTGGCTGCAGTGGAGGTCAGATGTTTGGTTCGTTACCCTCCAGGAAAAACGTGGCAATGAGAAATTTTCATAAAATGAACAACGAAAAAACAAAAACATCTATAAATGGGAGATGTTCCACTAGCATGTTTGATTACCAGAATGTCTATATGTATAGTTGGATGGGTTTAACCCAACTTAAAACTGGGGGTCCACCAGCTTGTAGCTACATGGCATGGAGCTGAGCATGATCCAGCTGCCGAATCTGCGGTCGGATTGCATGCAACAATACTATCCCCAAAAAGGATAGCAACGTTGGAAACCTGGAAATATGTATTTGGAGTACTCGTATTAAACATCATGTAACCGCCTGGAAACACATTTCTATTCTTTTTGGGGGTGGCTATAATGTTGAATTTAATTTCCCTGATTTGGCGCACCCAGAATGTGTCATTGTGATTCATTGTGAATATTCTGGCTGGCAGGAAAATCACATTTCCGGATAGAAACATCCCTGGACCCTGCAAAAAGCGTCTGTAGCTCGAACGTTACTTAGGACTTAGGACCCTTGATGATCTTGATGACCACGTGAAAAACCATTCCGTTGCACACATATGCTTATGTGCAAACCACACTCAGTTGTGCTTTTGACATGGTTTTTTCTGAGCTCTATATCCATGCAACCAAAGTAAAGGCCATCACAATGTCAATTAAATCAGAGGATCTCCCTTTCATGGATCTAGGGTTGATCGGTGATCCTTCCCACAAAGCGTCTGGAAACAGTTTGATGGTCCAGTTTCAATGAGCCCCCAAAAGTCGGCCACGATTCTGGTGGGGAAATTTTCATTTTTTGCTGGTGGGAAAACATGTCTGTCAGCGTCCCTTGTGTTTGGATCCGGTTTTTTGGCGCTTTAAACTCCCAAGTGGTTGTTGTGGACACATAGATGCATACATAATATATATATATATATCATAGCGCACACACACATATATTTATACGTATATATATATATACATATACATTTGTCCATCATGCATTTTTTCCCTTGGGTGGAACCTCCCCAACTGTGCGCCATGTTTCTCCGCGCAGCCATAGGTCGAGACCAAAACATCTTAGCGACGAAGGAACGCCAGCAGCGCTTCGCTGAATACGCCTGGGGCCACAGGGCGTGTCTGGAACTGAGGTGTTGATAAAATTGGTTTCTCTGAAAACAGGCTACCCCAAAAATCCAATCATCATTTTTCCTATGGTCATCATTTGTGGGATATATCTCCATCTTCAGACATTCCCATATAGAATTTAACGGTAATGTTGCTTTTTTCCTGGTAGTCACACTTTTGAGAGGGACCTTCTGATGATAGAACAGTCCAGTGTGGAGATAACCATGTGGGATCTGCTTGCTGGTTGATCTTCGTTTGTTTTGCCATTGGATTTCACTGTTAATGTCAACCCTGGATTAATAAATCATGGTTTATTGATTAGAAGGGTACTTCCCAAATTGTGATAATCTGATGCTTACATGCTAGCCCAATTAAACAGCCTATAGGGTCTAGTATGGTCTAGTAATCCAGGGTTGACATTACATAAAATACTGGTATTGTATATTTAATGGAAGAGTACTGGAGGGGAACATTATTACATTTGATTTCATGTTGTTGGAATGTATACATACATATTTTATATCCAAATATTCGGCTGGATTCTGAATGGAATACATGGAATACTCTTCCCCTCCATGGCCCTTGAAGAAAAACTTGTGGAAGCTTGGTATCCCCCCACTTTTGTGCAATGATAACTCATGTTCAATAAGCCCTTGGTTGGTTTAATTGGTTTAATGGACTAGCGTTTCCTAGTTTTTATCAGGGGTTTCTACAAATGGGCGTGCCCCAATAGCTGGATGGTTTATTTCATGGAAACTCCCAATCAACGGATGATTTTATGGTACCCCCATGGATTGGACCCTCAGATGCGGGTAAAACACCGTAATGTGGGTAAAGCACTGCCATAAACCATCCACAAAATCACCATATTTTTATGGCTTGTATAAACCATTCCCAGTCCTGGGTGGTTTATGACATTGTTTCCCCCACATTAGAACTATCTATAAATACGCCATGTTCATCCATTTTCATCCATTTTCATCAATTTTCCATATAGCAAACTGTTACAGTCGTGCTTTGATAGTCACTGTAGTGTCTCACCTTGGCAGGTCTTTGCAAATTGTGCCGAGAACTCGCGCGGCACCTGAAACGGAACCTCTGGGGCTGGGGCTGGGGCTGGCTATGAAATGATACTAACGTCTACAAATACACAGACTGACAGAGAACTCATATACCCTCTGGTTATGTCAAAATAGCTATGGAAAATGGCCATAGAAATAGTGGATTTACCCATTAATAGCATGGTGATTTTCCATAGTTATGTTAAATTACCGGAGGGTAGAAATCACACACTGACCGGTAAAAAAATCATATCTTCCAACCCCTGGCAGGGTCTATCTTTATTTCCTTCACATGTTTCCTGCTTCGGCAATTTACCTATGTTAATTGACTGGCTGTTTTTGGCATCTTCAGCATTTTTCCTTACGGCCCGACATCGCCCAGCGCTGAAGGTTCAAGATGAAGGAGTTGCACCTGGGACCGGACTTCGCCAAGGCCTGACACTACCAACAGCCGTTTGTGTGATGGCTCAAACAGCCCCCATATATAAGATGTGCTAGATGTTGTCGTAAGTCTCTTATTAAACCATGGTGATTTATTTGTTCATGGTCAGTTTTAGGTTATAAGTTATAAGTTGTAAATCAGTTTTTAGTGCATTTATGGAATGATAACCCATCATTTATGGAATGATAACCCTATTAGCATAACCATTTATTACTGGTTTTTAGGGCTTGAAAACTGTGTATTATTTCACGGTCCCACAGATGTGCTGTTTTTCATACGATTCCCTTGTTAGTCACCAATGGTGACTCCGGGGGTGGTGTTACATATGAATGGGGGGATGGCATTGGATTTACCATCTGGTTATGACTAACAGTCTGCCATGGAAAGATATCACCATGCTATTAATAGGTAAACCACCTATACATAGGCCATCTATCCCATGGCTATGTTAGTCATAACCAGAGGGTAATTTTCAGGATCCAGTACATGATTTAACTCCAAGAGACGTCATGTCTGAAAAACAGTACACGCAAACAAAGAAGGATTTACCAAAGAGAGATGAGGAGTTACCATGATTTACCAACCATCCGTCATACTATCCAACAGACAGTGGGGTTTACCATAGTCTACCATTACAAAAGTGATCCGCCGGAAATGGAGTTTGCAAATAAAATGTTGGTGTTGGTTTTACCAAATGAATTCAGGTTAAATGGGGGGCTGAAGCATGGACTTGACCATGATTTCACAAGTAGAACACGAGGTGAAGCACGGAAACACGAGGTGAACCACGGAAACATTAGGGGTTAACCAATGAATTGCATGGGTGAGTCATGTTTGCCAAAACATGTTTTGGTGAAAATGCAAAATGATAAGAATTCACACCCTCCCAGTAACCCTTGTGGAATGCGGTGTAATTGTTTGATTGTGATGTCCCATGCAGTGGGAGATTCAAAGAATGAATGGTGATGGGTGATGGGATTAAATATGATTAAATGCATGGATGGGAATATGAATATAAAACAAAGAATGATCGTTTCCGTCTTATGAAAGCGTATTATTCCATCATTTCAGGATGGACATGAGCCAGCAGGGGTTCCAAGACTCTTTCGGAAAGTTTCGGGATGACGAAAAAACGACTTGCACAATTCTTTTCAGCAGCAAGACCATCCTTTTTAAATGTCAAACAACCCGTTCACAGTCTTTTTGAATTCCCTTCGAGAGTGGTCAAACACCACTTTTTTCCCTCCGTGATCAATCCACCAGCTACAGTTTGATGATTTTCCCAGCTAGCAACAACTTCCATTGTGTTGACGGATTTTCCCAGCCACATTTGATTCCCAAGTTGGGTAAATCCCCCATTGAAACCCCTGAAATCGCATCAAAATCCCATGAAAATGAGGGAATTCTTCAGCTGGATGGCAGGCTGTGGCTTTGACCTTGTCATTTTGCAGCAGGTGGTTTTGCCGTTGCTGAAAGCGGGTCCTGAGCTCATGGCATCTATGATTTAATGGGATATGTATGGACAAACATATGAAGAAATTGTGATTTCATGGTGATTGAAAAAATCATGGTATATCAATGGACAAAAAAGTGATTTAATGGAATTTGTCCATTGTTCATTGTTCTGTCGAATTCCAGGAGGGTATATTATGTAACATCTACCCATCTACCCCTTAAAAAATGTTCAAATGCGTTCAAATGTGGGTTGATATACCATAGATAGAGTACATAGGGGTTCGAGCAGGTGAAATGTGTGATGTTCACGCCAAGTAAGACATGGCTAAACCTTCCACATATCCGCAAAAAACATGTAAAACAATAGTAAAAGTACGGCCAAACGCCTCGTCTGACCCGCGCCTGTTGGCCCACCTTCTTCGTATGAGCTGAAAACGTGGTAAAAAAAATGATATTTTAGCATTATGGTTAACTTGATGTTCTAGATCAGAACGCGCAGCAGAGGGACCTGTGCGGGTTTGTTCCACCACATCATCATCATCATCATCATCATCATCATCATCATCATCATCATCATCATCATCGGCATCATCATCATCATCATCATCATCATCATCATCATCGCCATCATCATTATCATCACCATCACCATCATGATCATCATCATCATCATCACCATCATGATCCTCATCATCATCATCATCATCATCATCATCAATGAATATCTTCAACAAATATCGAAGTTTAACCCCGGTGGGAAAATTAACCCTTATTGAAGATCTTCAATGAATGTAGAAGTTTAACGGGGGTGGAAGAATTAAACCCTCATTGAAGATCTTCAATGAATGTAGAAGTTGAACGGGGGTGGGAGGATTAAACCCTCATTGAAGGTCTTCAATGAGAAGCTTAACGGGGGTGGGAGAATTAAACCCTTATTGAAGATCCTCAATGAATGTAGAGGTTTAACGCGGATGGGAGAATTGAACCTTTATTGAAGATCTTCAATGAATGTAGAAGTTTAACGGGGATGGGAGAATTAAACCCTCATTGAAGGTCTTCAATGAGAAGCTTAACGGGGGTGGGAGAATTAAACCCTCATTGAAGGTCTTCAATGAGAAGCTTAACGGGGGTGGGAGAATTAAACCCTTATTGAAGATCTTCAATGAATGTAGAAGTTTAGCGGGGGTGGGAGAATTAAACTCTTATTGAAGATCTTCAATGAATGTAAAATGAATGTAAAGTTTGACGGGGGTGAGACTTTTATATTCCCTAATACCTTTGTTGATCTTCCCAAGACAAGAAGAGTGTGGGCGAAACGGGGTGTTTGCGCGTAAAAGTACTAAGACTATTGAGTAGGATGTGTGGCTTAGTTCACCCCAGTGACGGCTGGACATTACCCGTTCCATCCCATGAAATCCCAGAGAATCACCAGTTTCCCAGCAATTTTATATTTTGGAATTAGTGGTGATAATGGGAAAATCGATGAAAAAGGTGATTCTATGGGATCTATATGGGTTTTTACTTTTTTTTTAACTGGATGATTTGTTCCCTACAAGTTCTCTGGGAAAAACCCAGCTGAACAGTTCATGAATCCCTTAGCTTCCTGCAGTTTTCCGCAGGTATACCGAGCTGAACCTGTCTGGAAATGCTTTGGGCGACCAAGGACGGGTGCCTTGCTGGGGTTTGAAAACTGGGTGGAGCTATGGTAACAAAGCGGGAATGTGTGAATATCATGGGTGTTTAGTGGGTATAGCTAATACATGCCAATAACTATAAAATTAATGATGGTTTTTCGAAAATACTGGGCTCATAACAGTAATGGTGAGAAGTATGGTAACCCTCAACAGTTGGGATATCACCCCTATAACGTAGATTGTCCTCAGGAGATTGGGATGCCCCACGTCGATGCGAAATGACATGCGCCACAAATTGTAGCGGAGACAACTCTGCCGCGATATGGCCAATACTTCAGGATTTTGAATATATTTTCTATATACATATATATATATATATAAATCTGGTTGGTGGTTTGGAACATTTTGTATTTTCCCATATATTTGTAATAATCATCCCAACCGACTAATATTTTTCAGAGGGATAGGTATACCACCAACTAGATATATATATATATATGTATACTTGTAGTAGATGCTTCGACTTTAATAGCTTATAACTGTTTGGCTTGCTTTTGGGATTCAGAGATACTCATACGGTCCGGCAAGAAAGCATCCCCAAATTTGCCATCCGAAGCTGCAGGATTATTGCTGGGTTTACACATTTAAATTGTGTCATATTATACTATATTATATATATACATATTTTTTTTAATATATTATATTGTATTATATCATATTGTATTTTATTATTTTATATCATATTATATTATGTTGTATTTTATGTTATTATATTAGATTATTCTATGTTAGTTTATTATATGTTATGAATTGTACAATATGATCTGATATGATGTGATATGATATGATATGATATGTTTTTTTAGTAGAACCCACAAAGACGATTGTTTGCGCAAAAAAACATAGCCAGTGCCCAGTTACCTCCGTTGTGTTTGATGACTAGTTGTTGGTTACACCGTTGTACTATGTATGCCAACAACTAGTCATGATGTAACCAGTTCATCATACTAGTTGTTGTTAAGACTGATGACTAGTTTATATAGTGATTGAGTGGGGATGATGAACTATGATCATCCCCATTCGAGCGGGTACGACATGGTAAACATTCGTGGAGATTTCCCATCTCCGCAGACATTCTCGGCTCAGCATTTTCCATGTCGCGTTCGGGGGACGCGGTCAAGCAGCTCACGTCGAAGATCAGTCATTGTGCCTGGAGAAGCGGTTTGGAGAATGCTTAAGGGAGGTATAATGGGGAAGACAATGGGCTGACATGGTGATTTAATGGGATATGAGTGGATATCAATGGATTATTATATATAGTGGATATTGAATGATATTGAACTAGTAGATTTTATAGATATTTGGATGGAGATTAACCCCAAATATATTAGGCCATTCAGTGGAAATAATGAAGACTGATCAGAGGATGGATTGGGGATTGCCCTATTCTCAAACAAGCACAGATTGGACAATGCTCGCGCTTACAAGATCAATGATGGTATTTTCAGATGATGTTTCAAACATAGTGATGTTCAAGCATTTGAATACCTAAGGGTACGTAGGTCATGTTAGGTTCACCAAGAAACATATCAAGAGTAAGTCAGGGGGATTTATGTACCCAGAAAACTTGTGAGCCCACCATAAACGATTGGCAATTTTAAATGACTTGGTATGTAGCCAAGAAGACGGGTCTGGTTGGTTAAACCTAGAGAAATCAGAAATATGATGTGGTCTACAATACATGCGTATCAAGTTGATCAACCATAGATTAGTTCATTGGAAGCCAGCAATCTCGGCTCCTGTAAATCCCGTTGGGTTTTCAAATTGGGATTCTTCAGCAAAAACAAGAGGTGGAAAGCTCGGAGAGACATCATTGGTCCTCTCACGTAGGCTAACATCGCAATGGAAATACACGGCTTTCCCGTTCGAACATGATCTACATTCATGTTGGATTTTCCATATCTTTCCTGGTTTACGAAAAAAAACTGAAGAAATTTCTGTAAGACTAGAAAGAATCTGGAAAGATTCCCTAGTCAAATTTGAAACCTCTAAAAATATTGGTGACTAGTATTTTTGTTAAAGTTGTAGCTAGTTAAACTTAGTTAAACTTAATTAATAGGTTTGTAGGGACCTCCTGACTTGGCAGGGTCCCTTTGCTGAGGCGGCACCCTTGATTCCTGGCAAAGTGGCCTGCAATTGCTGGATGGGGCGGAAGAGAAGAAGCTGGAGCTGGATGTGGTTCCTTTTCCAGAAATGTCCATTAAAAATGGACGTTTCCATAGGTTACCTAAGTCATGGGGGTACCCCAAAATCATCCAAGTTAGTAAACCTCCAAATGCTTTTGGGTAGATATTTACATACCGTACTCGTATATTTACCTTGGGGTAATCATACAAAAGCTGCTTGGTGGTTTCAAACATTTTTCATTTTCCATCATATTGGGAATTATCCATCCAAACTGACTAATATAGTGGTTTGGAACATGGAATTTTATGACTTTCCATTAATATTGGGAATGGAATTATCATCCAAACTGACTTTCGCATCATTTTTCAGAGGGGTAGGGCTCAACCACCAGAGATATTGACCTTTGGGGATCTGCGACTGGAGTTCCGGATCCGCAAATCCAGGAAAATAGGGATTTCCCAATCTAAAGCAACCATGAATATATAATTATGTATATTTATATCAAATTATTATAGATATAATATGTACAGTAATATATATATAATAGGGATATAGTGGGTATATATCAGCCAATAGGGATAACCAAGTAATTCATTCACTGTTTAACCATCTAAACTAGGGATATTAAAAAAATTGGGCGTTCTTCCCAATGATCAATGCATCTGGATCAATGTTACCCCAAACCCACCATGTTTTTCTTTTTAAGCCGAAATTGCGTAAGGTTGGAATATATCGCGTTTTTTTCTCAAAAGAGATACGAAAGGAATGTATTGGACGATTAATGTCCTGGGAATACTACCCAATATTAGAGTAGGATGTGTTTCTTAAACGGAAAATCAACAGAATATATTGGAATGTGAATCTAACGGGATATACGATATATAGTAGCCAATATTATATATTAGAGAAATTTATAGCTTGATATGAATGTTGACAGTATATACTCGAGCAGCTTGACATAACATACTCATGGAATATGTGCTACACATGATAAATCCATGGGTCAATGCGTAGATTATACAGCTATTGATGGCCCATCAATGAATTTCTCATATATATTGTTTTCTCTAAACCAATGATCTAGCCTCTGGTAAACTAACAGTTTGCTATTGATCATTTGCCCATTTATACTTGATTTATCTGAAAAAAACTATTAAAAGTGTGGATGTTCGATAAAACTGCCATAGCTATTAAACCCATGATCCAGCCTCTATGAAACTTTGCCAGTTTGCTATTTTATCTATATTGAACATATCAACATATAGTCATGTGAATGTACCAGAGACTAATATGGTTATTGATGAAGGTCCCCATATGAACCACGCGCAGGCTGCCTTTTTGCGACAACTGGTGAATCATGGGATTCGGTCGGATGATGGAATCCACGATCGGAAGCCATATCAACATAAATTAATTAATATCGTAAACATAAATATAAACTATATAAGTATAATTAAACAAATAGATAAATAAGTATATAATATATATATATAGTGATACCGTAGAATCAACCACTCAGTTCCAGGACTCTATGTACATACATAAACCTAGAGCCTCCAAATACAAAAAGCAAATGGAAAAAGTCCTAGAACGGTGAGGTCAAACCCCGGTTTTGTTGGTGTATTTGGAGGGTCTAGGTACATGAATATATATATATATATCTCCCATAGGATCCATGTATGCTATATATGGTAACATTTACCATCAATATACCCCCAATGTTGTAGATGTATAGAGATAATCCCATCCCCCTAATCCTGTAAAGACCCCGATTCTACGGTCCCAAATATGTGATTTCATCCGCAACAAAAAACATGGTTTCTTGGTGTTTAATATGAACCGGAGAAAGATGAAACAGCATCTTATAGATGTCGAAAGACCGAGAGATCAAACAAATATATAATTATATGATTATAGATATTAATTATATACATTATATAATAATATATAATGTGTATTACGTATATAGATCTTACATACATATCATTCAGGAGTTTCTCCACTCCACCGAGCAGGTTGCATACAATGCTGCCATGACGGCCTGCGAAAGGGCATCCCAGTGGCAGGCGCCGAAGTTGGAATGCATCGCTTGTAGTGTTTGGGAGGAAGGAACCAACACAGACATGCGGAAAGACCATGGTTTACTGCATGTTGGTGATATTTAGGTGTTAAAAAACCTGGATTATTAGTTATTGGTGAACACTATGATGTTTAAAGTAATGTACATGTTTTAATGGTAAAACATGGAGAAAAAATCATGGTTTACTGTATATGTTAGTGACATTTAGTGTTAAAAGACCTGGTTTAATGGCAACAAACAGGGAAATACTGTACATGGTTGGTAAAACATCGGAAAGACCATGGTTCACTGTATATGTTAGTGATATTTAGTGTTAAAAGACCTGGTTTAATGGCAACAAACAGGGACATACTGTACATGGTTGGTAAAACATAGGAAATAAACATTTTCAACTGTATATGGTAGTGCTAAAAGACCTGATTTGATTTTAACAAACTGGGAAATACTGTACTGTACATGTTTGAGTGGAAAAAATGAGAAAAATGGTTTACTGTATGTTTTAGTGATGTTTAGTGCTAAAAATCATGGTTAAAATTATTAGTAAATGGCAAACGCTATGATGTTTAAAATATGTAGATGTTTTAATCGTAAGACATGGGAACGATCATGGTTTACTGTATATGTTGGTGATGTTTAGTGGTAGAAAACACGGTTTACTGTGATTTTTTTTGTTAATACTGCACGTGGCTTAATGGTAAAACATAGGAAAAACCATGGTTTACTGTATATGTTAGTGATATTTGGCGCTGAACGACCTGGTTTAATATGGGTTTTTACCAACGGAAAGCCTGTAGATGTTCCATTAAGAAAGCATGGTCTGAATGCAGATGGTTTGCAGAGATGGTCAACCACTGCGTCCAGCTTTGGACAATGAGGGGCACATCCGTTTTTAGTTTTGAATCTGTCATGTTTGTTGAAAATTGACCCAACTCGTCACATTGCAGAAGGGTTGTGGAACCAGGTGGAACCAGTATCCATGGGCGCGGCCACTTTGATCCAGGTGACCTTGGCCTTCTTGCAGAAGATTCACCTGAAACATCTGCGACCAAGTCAAATCACCTATGGCACCTGATCTTTTTGGAGGTTGAGCCATTGAAAAAAGTGCCAGCTGCAAGACATGTCAGACATGACTGCAGATATCTGCGGATCAGCGACATATTCTCTGTGTTTGGGGCCTGCCTTGACCGCCACAAGCTGGTGGTCAGGATTTCCACTTTGAACCGGATCGTGTATTGGGATGTATGAAAAAACATATTGCTATGGATTTACAGAACGTACAGAACGTACTACCCCATATGTTTGGGGAGATGAACCATTTCCCCAGTTACTGTTTCAGTTTTTGTTGAACAAAAGGATAAACCATGCTGAAATGACCAGTCCTTTCCCCAAAGAATTCAGTGTTCCAATCGATCGCAACCCCCCCCAAAAAAAAAATAGCGAAAAGTGTAAAGCTCCAAAATAGTCATAACCAGATTATTATGTTCTTTCCTTTTCCTTTTGGAGGTTCCTATCTTGTTCACAACATCACCGGTCGCCATTCCCGAATGCGACGGCTGAGGCATTCTGCTGAGTGCCTGTGGCAAGTCCAGAGATTGGGAATCGGCCCTCAACTTTCTCACAGCCACCAGGGAGCACTTTGGCCTTTAACCGATGGAGCTGGACCTTCCGTTACCCTGTGGTTATGTCAAAATAGCTATTGAAAATGACCATAGAAATAGTGGATTTTCCCATTAAAAATGGTGATTTTCCATAGCTATGTTAGTTTACCAGAGGGTACCCGCAAAAGTCGTTAATTTTACCTCATGTCATTGAAAGTACTTGTCCTTTTTTTGCTGGGTATCTTGGAGGTATCTTGGGTATCTGGTCACGGTCATGGCTACGGTGAGATTCCTGAATGGTCAGGGAAGGCAGCGATGTCGATGTGAAGACCTACAACGTGGCCATGACCGCCTGCGAGCTGGCCTCGCAGTGGCAACGCGGCCTGATGCTAATGAAGGACAGGGCGCAGGCTGTGACGTGGAAACTGAAACTGCCAAACAAAGCATGGGATTTTGCCATGGGACATGTAGATTTGTTCAATGATCTATAAGCATGACAAAATGGAGATGTATACCTTTCAAACATGGAATTACAACAGGAATGGTAATATAGCCACGGCAGAGGGCATATATACAAATTATGTAGTCATGGTATGTCATGGTGATGTGATCGTTGTGAAATGTGAATGAGCTCAAATGGGATTGCAAATAGATGACATTAATGCGGATTGAACATATCACTGAAGATGTGAATCGTAGCAACAACGACAACCACAGGACTTTGTGTAAATTGTAGACATCCTAGACTTGAAGCTGTTCAGTTGTTGATTATACGCAACTTCACTATCCAGTGGTGAACGGAGGAAGGGCTTCTTTTTGCCAAAAAACACACGGTGGGGGAACCAGTTGGATCCCCAATATGGGATGGAGAACCAGAAACCTTTAAAACATATCGTTGGTTGCAGTTATCCCTGATATTCCCGATAGATCCCCTAAATATATGTCCTACTGTAAATTATTGTTGGGAAACACCATGAACCATAAACCATCATAAACCATGAATATACACATTAATCATGGTTTATCATGGTTTAAGCTATCATATTCCCATTAGATACCCATGAAATATATCCTTCATCACCCCATGTTTGACGCCGCCACGCTGGGTATCTCCGCGACTTGCTGCAGGAGATTCCCTGGCAGCAACGAAGCATCGTGACCTACGGCGCAGCGATCAAGGCCTGTAGAGCACAGTGGATCGTGGCCTTGCAGCTACTCGAGGAGGGAACGGGGGAATTCAGCAACAGAAAGAGGTGAGTTCACAGAAACGGTCCTTTCATCAACTAAGATGTTTTTTTCGAATGTCTGATGATATTTGATTATACCGTGATTTCATCAACAATCATGCTATAATCAAATATCATTAACATGCGAATGGTAGTATAGTGACATGTCATGAGAACGTTAAATTGCCATTACAAATATTACAATGGGCAGTTAGCATCCGATAAGGACCGATGTTTTTTCCGCCTTCACCTGGCAGAGGTTAACCTATGGTGACGACGTTTTTTTTGGACCCCCATGACGTTAGGGGGAAAGCTCCAAAATGGCTTTTGACTAAAAACAAATCAACTTGGTGCATCAACAAGATCAGACACACTTTGTGGAGTTTCTGTTCGAGTTTGGATTTCCAAAGGTGGTTTCGTAGCGAAAAGCCGTCGAAATCGGGAAGTCTGGTCAGTGGAAAACGGCCATATGGCTAGTCTTTGGGAGCAGCTTTGACAAAGTCATCAATGGTCAAAGCTTTGGTAAAAGCCTTTGTCTTAGTCTTTGGTGATGTGGGAATGTCCATTCATGAAGGGGCCATACCCTCTAGCAATCAAACATGGCAATAGGAAAATCCCCATAGTTAAATGGGAATTGTCATAGGAAAATCTACAAATGGTGGATTTTTCATGGCAATTACCGGAGGATTCTGGAAACCCTTGGGAGTTTGTTGGGCAACTAATTGGCAGGAGGATGTTGTGCTGCCATTGTCCTGAAGATGTATGTTTGTCAGCATTGTCGACATACCATCAATGCCAATTTGCCTTTTCCAACGCAGTTTTGTTTGGTAAATCTAGAGTCTAGCTTACATGATATAGATCATATTATACATACGTACTATCATTGTATATACATGTATATGCTGTATACATTGTTTTTCTGTGTATGTAATATAATATATAATAATATATATATAATATATAATATATATATGTAATATATATATATATATAAAATCATATAAATACACATGTATAAATCTGATTCAAGAGCATCCATCAAAAAACGTATCAAAAAACATGTGAGCAATCTGATTCCCCCCTTGGAGCCGTCAGGAGCTCAAGTTCCAACGCTTGGAGCTGAACGTCATCGTCGTCAATGGCGCCATCAGTATTTGCGCGGAGTCTGAGCAGTGGCAGCAGGCGTGGTGAAGGGAAAAACATGGCAAAAGAATTAGAAAATGGATGGGTGACCATCAAAATCTCCGAAATTCATGGGAACTTAACCCGATTGTTTCCATCAAAATCTCTATTTAAATGTGTTTTTTACTCCAGTAAATTAACATAGACCCTGAAAATCACCAATTTTTAATGGAAACTAGTCTTCCAACCCCTATCTGCCAGGGTCTATGTTAATTTACCAGAGGGTAATTGCCACCTTTAATTTCCGGAGGGTACATTGAATCTTGCTCATTTGATGGATGCATTCTTTGTTGGCTACATGTTGCTCCGGTCAAACCTGCAGTTATGGCCCTTTACCAGTTATAAGTACTTATAACCCCATTTATAGAATGTATAATCCCATTTATAATCAGTTATAACTAATAAATGGCCATAACTGTGACTTCGTGACCAGGCCTTGGTTCTACTGGAAGACATGGAACTGCAACAGCTACGGCCCACAGTGGTATCCTTCAGTTCAGCCATCACTGCCGTTGGGAACTCTGGATGAATCCTCTACTTTTACCCGGCCTGGTAAACATTTACAAAAAACGATGGAAAATCACCATTGTTAATGGGAAAACCATGGGAAAACCATGGGAAAATGGTGATTTATATGGAACATCACCATGCTATCAATGGGTAAATCCACTATTTCTATGGACCATTTTCAAGTTCGCAAACTGTTGACATAACCAGAGGTATTTCCCATAAAAAAAATCCCCCATTGTTCTTGGTTCAATACCTTTTTTACGCACCATAAAATATCATTTTTTATCACTTTCCAATGGCAAACTGTAACAAGTCATTTCTATTTGGGGGTTGGCTGTGTTTGCGGACATCCACCAGGGGACAACCTCCTGGGCTCTGAGGACCAGCTCCTTGTGGCCTGTGGCACTACATTTGCTCCACAGGGCGCGGCGAGTGGCCAATGTGGTCACCTACAACGCAGCCATCACCGCGTGCGGCAAGGGGAGACGATGGCAGATCGCCTTGCAACTGCTACAGGAGCCTGGGAAGATGGAGATTCTTCCCGTAGATATGGTTAATATGAATTAATAATCTATTAGATAAATTTAGATCATGGGTAATGTATGTTAATGGGTAATGTATATACATATATGTTAATGTCCATTAGTATTAGTAGTGTTGATTGTTGGATTGTTCAAACACGGTTTGTCGGAAAATCCACCATTTACTTCGATGATTTTTCCATTAAAAGCACTAAATTATAGAGGTGATTTTCCATTTATAGATGTTTTTGTTTCCCATATTTCCGATACCTAGACCAGCCAAATACCCTTCAAAAAATGGGAAAGTATAAAACATATGGGCTTAAAACATCATTTTTATGGCTACTTGGAGGGTCTAGGTAAATAATCATTGATTCGTGTTTGTATCTGTTTGTGATGTTTGCTTTGCGACACCAAACATGAAGTAAGTCAGCCACCATGATGTTTGTCATTTACCATACTCTAGCATCCATCTAAGTATGTATCGATCTATCTATTTATCTATCTGTTGTCTGTCTGTCTGTCTATCTGTCTATGTGTCTATCTTTCCATCTATCAATCCAGCTATCTATTGTTCAAATGCATCTTTATTTTATCCTTGGGGACGTCTTATATAGAGTAACCCCAAAAAAGATAGACAAGAAAAATCCTGCTAAACTATTGATGACAAATTTTCTTCTTGAGGGTTCCTATTATATTATGTGTGTATATGATTATATCTATCTCTCTCTCTCTCTTTTTGAACACTTGGGTGTTGTGGCATCCTTTGTTCAGGCAACTCCAATCCGTCGAGCGCCATTCGCTGGTAAAGCCCCGTTGCACCAGGATTTACCATCGGAACTTCCCTCAGAAGTGACCTTTGCAGCTGCCGTCAGCGCTTGTACTGAGGTGACGCATGACATGGAGTACTTGGGGGTGCAGTTGGGGTCACCTTTATCGATATAGCCTAGCTATGGTTACCATCTGGTTATTTAACATAGCCATGGAAAATCAGCATTTTCAATACGTAAACCATCTATAAATGGGCCATTTTCCATGCCTATGTTAAATTACCAGAGGGTATAAACCAAATACTGTAATGGGATATGACCCCTATAACTATGCTTTTATATATATATATATATTCACTTATATTTGGAACTGCACCCCCAAGCATTTTACCAGCACAAGTGGCACAACAGAGATATGATGGTCAATGATGGTGATTTGAAAAATAAAGATATTTGAGGGTGCCTGAAAGTCGAAGATTTACGCCCGGTCGGGCCAAGAACATATTCACGATTGGAACAAATAGCTGGTTGGTGCTTTGGAACATGTTTTATACTTTTCCATATGACATAAACCATCATAAACCCTCTACTAGAACCATGTTTGAATCATTCTTGTGACAATTCCTCCATAAATTCCATCACAAATCCTCTATCAATGGGGTCGCGATGTGACATTTCCACCGGTTGGTATCGCCTCGCAGGCGGCCGAGTGGCCGCATAGCCTGAAACTCTTAGAGCTCATGGAAGATGCCAACTGTAGCTGTCAGGTGCACTGTCAGGGATGTGGTGAAATATTTTGGGGATAACTTGATAACAATCATATAAAATCATGTAATAACTTGTATTTGTTGAACATGAATGTTGTTTTTTATTTGTTTTTGTTCGTTGATTTTCCCATTTGATATGTGAACGTAACATCCACCAGAAATGTGGCAGATTTGTTGGGAATATGTGTTGTTTGTTATGGTTTCCTTAAGCAAATCCAAGATGATATATGGTATGTGTAATTACATAAGTTTGGGGCAAAGATAGATATCACAGAACATAAACACACGGTGAGGAGTTGAAAGAGTTGGGACAACAAAACAATGTACCTCTTAAAGTTGCCAAATGGCCTCAGGTCTTTAACTTTTGGCCCCGACTCCTCATATTTCCACAAGGAACTTCCTGGCTAGGGAAACTTAGTTTCAGTTGCAAGCAGCTCTTGCTGCTGGTCTAGTTGTTTGTCGTCGACTTTTCCAGCTTGCAAGGCTTCCAAGGCGCATTGCAGTGCTTGTTTTCTTCCCAAATATCTGGAGAATCATCGATGGGATCGGAAACTGAGCATCTCCTGCTGTCCATAGGTGGCCTACAACAGCGCCATCAGCGCATGTGAAAAAGCCGGGCTCTGGCGAATGGCTTTGCTTCTGCTGGAGACCTTGTTGGCTTCGGGCATGGCTGACTCTCGGTCGAGGTAGGTGTCATCACGGCAGGGAGCTCCGGGAAATTGGTTGAAAAGGGAATATCCATCGGTTCACTATTTCTGGTAGAGTATCTTGATGTCCCAATGACAAGATTGGGTGGATGTTTGCTGTCTCGTTTCACCTCTAGATTTCCGCAGATTTCTTTTTGCAAAGTTGGTTTCAGGGTTCAATATCCCATCATACGCCATTTATATCCATTATAGTAACATGAATATGAATGGAACATCAAATGATTAATCCCAACATTTAAACAAATCGTATCCATATCTTCAAAATGTATTATCCATCAAAATCCCTCTATATCCATGAACATCCCCCCAAAAAAAAATCATCGCCGCACGCCAAAAACGCCGAGGATGTGTTGAGTTTCAACTCGGCCATCAGTGCTTGCGAGAAGTCCATGGAGTGGCGTTGGGCCCTGGAGTTGTTGAAGGACGGGGCCGATTTCACTGAGAAAAACGTGGGAGAAAGCTGGGGAAAAGGTTGAAAAATGTGGCGTAAATGTTGGAGAAAGGATGGAAAGCCATGAGAGTTTAATGGGAAAAGCACATGGGGACAGTATCTTGGAGAAATGAGATGTGAGTATTATATGGAAAGCCAAATTATAGAATATGTTTCCAGTACAAGAGAATGGGAGGACATGTTCACAACAAGACATTTATGATAAACAATTTGAGTTGTCCAAACAACAAGTTGTATGGTTTTGAAACTTGAAACTGACTTGGGTTTTACAGCCCAAAGGATGGAACAGTAGGCTCTAATATGGTCAAAACATATGGTCAAAAGCCAATTTTTTATAGCCCATGACGGATCCATGGTGCTGCTTTTTTTTGGTAACATGGGTCCCATCAATATACCGCAATATACCCCAGTCATGTTAGCATAGAAAAACCAGCACCATGGATCCGTCATGGGTAGTAAAGTTCACGCGTGTTGTTGGCTGGTGATGATGGTGATGCATTGCTAACCAGGAGCTCTGCCTCCAGAGACTCCAAGCCAGCCACGTCACGGCCAGTGCCGTAATCAGCGCCTGTGCAAAGGTGGCGCAATGGGCGCGTGCCTTGCAGCTGCTGCCCAAGCAGGTGGAACTTGAGCTGGAAAGCACCGGTGAAAATGTCACGGTTTTTTTTTGGTGGGGCTCTAATCCTGGTTCTAGATTCTATATGATATTTATGTATAATATATATATATATATATATGGTTCTTAACATGGCACTTTTTATGTGGTTCTATATCATATGTTTTTTGGGGTTCTATGTTGAATCTCGATGAAGTTTTGGGTGTCATTGTTTTTCTTGGGCCGATCACTACAGACTACATCAGTAATTTTTGATCCATGCTTTACTGGATACATAATACTACTATTCCTGGTAAAACTTGGCTTGGTTCATCAATGTCTTAATGGGCTGATATTTAGCCACGTTCATGGAGAGGAATGATCAAAATTCCATGTTTTTCCTGTGTGTGACATCATTGTCAATATATTGATAATATACACATATAATATATCCCATAGGATCCATGTATGCTATATATGGATCCTATGGGTATTGTTAACATACAAAATTTCCATAAGTATTGTCAAATATACATCATGAATAGTGGTGGCAATCCTCCCTGTCCATAGGTAGATGAGATCGCCTGCAACGCAGCCATCAACGCTTGCGCGGGCGCATCGCAGTGGCAGCGGGTCAGCTCGGGGAAGTCGGGTTTGCAATCCTTGGATCGTTCCCACGGGAAAAACAAGCGCATGACGAGGACAAATCACCACTTTACGGCTACCCTCAGTAAACTAAAACAGTTTATAACAGTTTATAACAGTTTGTAACAGTTTACAACAGTTTACAACAGTTTATTACATATAGTTAATTACAGTTTATTACAGTTGATAACAGTTTACAACAGTTTGTAACAGTTTATAACATTTGATAAGAGTTTATAGCAGTTTGCTGTGGTATACATGGCCCATTTCTAGATGATTGGCCGATTGACCTGTAAAAAACATGATTTTCCATACAGGGTACCGGCTGTAAGTCGTGCAGGGTTGTTTTAAGTTGTCTCGTTTTGTGTGCCCAAGCGAATTCTGAATTCCAACTTGTGTGTATTGATGTATACCAGCACGTTCAAAGGGGTGCCTAATGAATTTCAAGAATTGAGATTCTTAAGGGGTGCCTAATGGACACCCCTTAGTGTTCATGGAGATGGCACACCAGAAAATGATGAGTTCCAACCCAAAATCTTCCAATCCCACCCGCGTTGCATCTGTGGTGCACCCGACTTCATTTTTGGCGAGAGGAAATGCATGCGTTTCTTTTCGCGTCGGATGTAAAATATTCCCAAATTTCAAGAAAACTAGTCAAAATCGACACGAATTGACACGCGCAGGGGTTTTTCAAAAAGCACCCGACACGTTTCTAAGGGGTGCTTATTAGACACCCGTTTGCCTAAGGGGTGCTTATTGAACACCCCCTACCGACCGACACGACACGGCAGTGACACGCAATGAGACGCATGTTTTTCTTGATTTCTCAAAAAAAACTCGTGACCACTTATGACCGACACGACACGGCAATGACACAAAATGACACGCATTTCTGGAAGCAAACGTGGGGAAATCGAAGAAAAATGCACATATTACTATGAATACCTCATTATCTGTTAGTTTGGAACCTTAAAAATTAAGGGGTGCCCAATGGTTACCCCCCTTATCAAAAGTCTGCATTAGGGTTTTCTACCTTCTCAATGGTATGTGCCTGTCTCAACCCACCTCCCTGTATCAAAGGTGCTTTCTTTTTCCCCTCCTCAAAAAGGTCCTGGTTTCCCAGCCGTATTCCTGGAAAACTTTCCCATATTCGAAGGATTTCTCAGGGCCAAGTGTTTTCCCACAGTGAAGGCTCCCGCTCAAGGCTGCAAAAATAAAAATAAATAAAATAAAATCCCGGAGACAAACCCATACCCCGGGGAAGAACACTTGCAACCGAACATTGCAAATATGCATAAAACATGCTATGTGTTTTTCTCAATGGTATCTGCCCGTCTTAATTTTTTATTTTATGTTATTTTATTTTTTTCTCCCCGGAGGTCCCGGAGAGGAACCCTTGGAATTTCTTCCCCCGGAGGTCCCGTAGAGGAACCCTTGAAACCCTTTTGCTCGTTTCTTTCTCTTCGTCGTCTTTCGTCGTCCGTCGTGTTTCAATGGGGATCCTTGAGACAGACACTTGACCTGAGCAAGACCACAAACGAGAAAGTACCTTGGCGCAGACCTTCGATTAACTTAAGGGGTGCCTAATTGAGACCCGTTTGTACATCCTGGTATATATATATGTTTCATAAGATTCATTGACTGGTGGCTTCAAATCCCATATAGTAATATTCCCACAAAAGATCGTTAAAAGTATATTATATCAAGTCCTACTAAACTACACCAGAGAATCGATCAATGAATTACTAAAACCATCTACAACCATCAACACCCAAGCATGGATATTAAGTAACTTCCAGAAAAATAGATAGATCCGATATGATCCGATGGTAACTTGCATTCAGCGGTTGAAATCCAGAGGCTTTAGCCCTGCTGCAGTTGTTGCCGTCGTCCATCGGATACAGCAGCAGCATCGATGCATGTCACAGGTGGGAGCTGAGGATTTCACCCTGAAAAATCCCATCGAAACTGCTGGCTGCGTGTTTGGCTGTCTTTTCCAGCACTGTTTGGACGTTGGTTAAAGAGGTGGCCCTCTTTGCGAAAAATTGAGTTGGTTTGAGTTTAGATGTAGCTTAACTAGGTAACTAGGGGTTGTGGTAGATCTGCAATTGAGTGGATAAATAAAAACATAGAACCAACATGAACCAACCGACATGAGATTTTTCAAGAACGGCTGATTTCACCAGGGCGAAATCTAGAGACTTCACCAAACCCAGCTTCCAGCGATATGAAAAGATCCATTTCACCAATCCTGTGGGGTGTCGAGCCACCATTGCAATGGGGATCACAATATACCCTCTGGTAGTTGTCAAAATAGCGAACTTGAAAATGACACAGTCGAAATAGTGGTTATTTACCCATTGATAGCATGGTGGATCTTTCCATAGTTTTTTGTATGTTTACCAGAGGGTAATCCATTGGAACTTTGTGGGTCTCTATTCTCAGCAAAAGGCATTTTTCTCGGTGTTTTACGAATCTTCCCTTTGTGGCATGCAATCTATCCCCTTCAAGATGCCGCAGCACCACAGTTTGGACCACTTTTTCCTGGTCATTTCTTAGATGCTCTTCATCTGTCTCCTCAAGATGCCCAAAGTAGACGGACAGCAGTCTGTTCATGTTTTTTCGAGGATGTCATGATGATTTCATCGGAGTTCCCCATGATTTTGGGGATTTTTTGGTGACCTTCCTGACCTCAAAAACAACAAAACCACTGACTTCGCCATGGGATTTTCCCATGGGATCTTCCCCACGTCTCCATGGGGCAGGTCGGGAGAGTGGCAACAGGCCCTGCAGTTGTTGTGGCAAGCAGAGGAGCTGAGCCTCCAGAGCCTTGGCTTGTAGGGCATTTTACCATGGTGATATATATATATATATATATATGTATATAATATATAATATATATAATATAATACATAATATATATAATATAATATAATATATACATATATATATATATATATATATCTATCTGCCGTGGTCAAAACATGCTTTGTTTTCTCATAGAAGGGGATGGTCATACACCCATCAATAGGGTTTAATATACCCATTGTAATGATTCCCAATATAGGATGGATGACCATAGCCCATATACCATGTATTGACGATGGCACATATGTTATTCGTTGTATTACCCTGAAACGCTTACAGTATTGATATGTATCTGGTGGGTGGTTTCACGGTTTCACCCATGAAGAAATCTGGCTTTGAACCGTGATTTTTGTGCTGTGTTTCTCGTGTTTTTTTTGTTGTTTGACCATGAAGAATCCAGAATTGTGTTTTTTCAATAGCCATTTGCCCTCTGGTTATTTAACATAGCCATGGAAAATCACCATTTTCAATGGGTAAATCCACGGTTATTCAACATTGCCATGGAAAATGGCCTTTTTTAATAGGTCAATCACCAGAAAACATCTATAAATGGGCCATGTTCCATGGCTATGTAACAAATTACCAGAGGGTAAATGGGATGTTAGAGAATATTAGTGAGGTTCCCACAATTTACTCCAACGCCCCCAGATACGTTTGAAAGGGATTGCCAGATGAAGCGGTAGAAACACCAATGTTTGACCCGTGCAACCCTAATACAACTTGAATAGGGAAAAGTCGTTTGTAAACCATGAACGTTGCGTTTTTACCATAATTTTCAGACAAACCCATATGCGTGCGTAGCAAACCAGCGAATCAGATTGACTATTGGATAAATATCAAGAACTATATGGAATGATAGAACGAATGAATATGGATATGCAACCGAGAGGAAGCACATACACACGAATAATGTATAATTACGTGTATATTGATGTTCATCTGAGTGAATTCTGGAAGTGTAGGAGAAAAGGCCACATCCTGCAAAGTGGGGACCCCAATCGATAGCTAAGTTGTTGAACATAACTCGAATCACTGTGCTTCATTTGTATTTCTATTTGTTAAAATATACTTATAACTATTTGGTTGGTGGTTTGGACTATGTTTTATTTTTCCATATATTGGGAATACTCATCCCAAGTGACGAACTCATATTTTTCATTGGGGTAGGGCTCAACCACCAACCAGCAGTAACACTGTACAGTTATGGCCATTTATCAGTTATAACTGGTTATAAGTGGGATTATACATTCCATAAATGGGTTTATAAGTACTTATAACTGGTATTTCGGGCCATAACTGTGTAGTAACACTGTAGTACTCAATGGTTTTTGGTTACCTCAGGGGCCTTACATCCAACGCCCAGGCCTGATGCGACTAGCTGCGGCCTGGTCGTCAGTTCTGCTTTCCAAGCTGCGACAAGCACGAGCCGTTCGTCGAGCCTGGTGGCCGTGGAAGTCTTGGCCAAGACCCGCCGTGATTTCTTTCATTTGGGTATGGGTCAAAATTAGGTACCCCAAAAATTGGACGGTTAATACTAAATTGGACATTCACAGCTGTGGTCCCACATCGCTTTTCCATTTTGACCCACATCCATTTCGTCTGGATTCGGGTGATCCCCTGAGTTGTTTGAGGCCGCCTCATAGGCCTGATCCCTGATTTTTCAATGTCCGAAACGTCCAAAACATGGCATCAAAACATGGTAGATATGGGATGATATGGGTAGTATTCACTGATTCAAGCACCTAAACTGGGAGATATTTCCATGGGTATTTTTCACCAATGATCTGAATGATCTGATTGGTTTCATCTCTTGTTTTCACCAAGCGGGAGACCAGAAGAAATGGACACGTCAACCACCAACCAGATGGGATTCGGAAGGACCAAAAAGATGTTGTTGTTCCACCCGAAAGAGTTCCAACCAGATGGGATTCTGTGACCTGAAACTCTCCAGAGACCTAGAGATATCTTGAGATCCTGATGATTTTGGGCTGGAGCCACAGTCCTTTCGTGCAACCGTGGAAAAACTGGCCCTTTCTGGGTAGAACATTTGCCAGTCAGTGGGGGTGTGAGCCCAGCCTCAAGATGCCTCAATGCTGCCGGCATCACGCCAGTTTTGTGCATGATGAATTGGCCGTATTTTGTCGCCCAGAACACAGGCAGCTGCAGAAAAGGCTCCAGCTTTGGGTGTGTTAGAAGTTCGCAGGTGGGTGGAGACCACTTACAGAAGGTTGCAGAGCATTTAAAGATTGAAATCTCAAAAACATATGGATCATGCAATCGCATCCCCCTCATGTTACCACCCCATAAACTATGGTTTAATAGGGGGTCTACACATATTTGGGACCGTTTAGGGGATGTCTGATATTAGGGGGACGGGATTGGAAATCGCATTTTTCAGTCAACATCCAGGTTTTGTCCTTTGATGTGCATGTCGGTGCATAATCATGATTGTACACCGTTTCCTTTTTTCTGGAAGCTATAGGACCCAAGAGATTTCATGCTACCATTTGGCAATTTAACAAATCTATGTTATAGATGGCTGGTTTATCCCATTATTTATAGGGTTTCAACTATCCTTTTGGTGATGCAGGATTTCGCAACCATCCAGGGTATCAAAATGATGGATTTTAGTATCCACCAAGCTCCTGCCGCAAGATTTCCAGCTCTGTGCCGCGATCTCCCATTTCTAGCGCGAATCGAGCTCAGAGAGTTGTGCCGCTTGGCCATGGCTATGGGGAGGAACAATTTGGATATGGCTATAGATATAACATGATACAACTACCTCTAGACCCTCCAGTCGTACCCATCAAAAATCATCAAAACGCTGTCTTACACCGTCTTACACCATAAATTTACATAAATTTACTACTGCTACCAGCTTTTGATGTTTCTTGGGGGTTGTTGGAGAGTCTAGGTATCCCTATGTCGGAATGGATTTCTGAAGGCCCGTGCTCCAGGTGCTGTCCACGATAGCTATGGGATGCCGGCTGAGTTTTTTCATCACCACATAGATCCATTAATACCCTCTGGTAAACATACAAAAAACTATTGAGAATGGCTATAACAATAGTGGATTTACCCATTCAAAATGGGAATTGTCAATAGCTATCTTAAATTACCAGAGGGTACCTTCATTCACATATGTTGACATAGATGAGTATACCAACTTAGATACCCTCTGGTTATTTAACATAGCCGTGGAAGCCATGGCCCATTTATAGATGATTTTCCCAGCTAGAAACCTCCATTTATAAGGGATTTGACCCATGGCTATGTTAAATAACCAGATGGTAAGTATGGGGCACCACCAAGCCCACTTTGGGAATGACTCTGGTTGCCACTTCCTTTGCGATGCTTCTCCAATATGATGACCATTGCGAGTTGCCATGCGTTATTCTGTTTACTCCGCACAGTCGATACCACGTATGTATGACTTGTATTGATTTAAGTACATGTCAACATTGTATATTATTGTATATCATATATATACACATAATATTATATATATATCATATTATATATATATAAACATACTTTCTGCATGTATATAAATATATGCAGACATTTGGTAGCCCGTTTTGTAGTCCTCCGAGTCCGGGTAGCCCTTCCCGCACGGTCTCCTGGGATGAATCGAAAAATCGGCCCATCCCTCGGTAGATGATTGATCCCACTATCATCCCATTATTTAAACATATTTTAACTAGTGTTTAAATACTGGGATGATAGTGGGATGATAGTTTCATAAAAAAACAAACAAAATCACTAGTGTTTAATATTAATATGATTTAAACAATGTTTCACTAGTTCCCCCTTCAAACTCATCAACTGCAAGATTTCTTTCTCTGATCTCCTTCTGGCGGACGGCGGACTGCCTTTTAGGTGGCCGTCCAAAGAGGGAGATGATCGTTGTGGCCCAACATTTCAGGTGAGTGAAAAACTATGGAAAACCATGGAAATTCACAATTTTTAATGGGAAAATCCACTATAAATGCTCATTAAAATAGTGGATTTACCCATTAATAGCATGGTGATTTTTCATAGTTATGTGAAATTACCAGAGGGTAATGGATGACTAATGATGAATTTTCATGTGGGTACAATTTCATTCTTACCACCCATGACTGGGAATAGTAAGTAAACATACCACCTATAAACATGGTGATGACTGGGGGATGGTAAAAATGATTGTTTTACCCACTACTATCATTTATCCAGATAAATCACAGCTATGTTTGTGGTTCACCGCAGGTTCCCAGGGTGACATGAGTTCCGCCAAAGCTGAGGTGATCAAGATGGCTCGTACCAAGATGACAGCACAGATGCTTGGTGAAGCTAAAGGTTGGCGGAAAGTCGCTTTTCAATGGGGGATTTAATGGTGATTTAACAGGATTTCATGGGATTTTTCATGGTGAATTCCATATAGTTTATGGGGGATACAACGATACAAGAAATATGTCACTTGGGGGCCGGGCCTTACGGGCCTTACGGGCCTCACCCTTGTAGGTATATAATTAGACGCGCACCACTTTGCGCCTATGTGGTCATGTTTTTAGAAACTTTGTTTTGAATGACTCCGCAACTTCTATTATTGTAGATATTATTATATATTAGTACTACTATTATTGTTATTATTATAATTCTTGTTATTATTACTATTATGATTACTATTATTTTTACTATCATTATTCTATATATATATATATATTGGAAGTATCTATAACTTAATCTATCAGTTTGGTATAGCATATAACAATTGTACCCCCACAGTTTGGATCTGTGTCAAAGTTCAAGATCAGACCATGATTTCCGGAGAGTTTTTATCTGGGCATGGCGCACTCTTGATCCGTGCGGCCCGTGCGATCATTTCCAGACCTGATTAGTGGTTTCAACTATATATCTGGGTAAATTATAACGACCTCACTGCGACCTCACTGGAATTCATGGTTAATAAGGGAAATCATTCCCAAATGGCCTTAATTCAGGTTAGTGAAATATTATAATTTACCCAGATATATGTATATAATATGATTCGTCCCTGAAATTTGGATGATAATCCCCAATGACATCACCATATCATATTTGTCAAGGTGGCAACACCAGCTAGAAGCAAAATATTTGTTTTCCTGAAAGCATATAAATCGCAACCCCAAACACATCGACAAAGTAGAATCCATGTCAAAAATAGTGATGATTTATATGCTGCTATATTTTTGAGAGGTTACTTAGTATAAATCCAAGACAACAACAGAGTTTCCCCAGTTTCAAGCTGTGGCTGTTCCATCGCTCAGGAAGTCTGCTGGCGGCAACAAACAGCGTGAAGACTTAGCTGCCAAGGCTGCGCGCAAACAGGCGCGGGGGTTATGTCCATGGGATTTTCTGGGGGCCAAACTGAGCAGAAGATAGGGATTCCAGCAACCAAATGGTGACTTAACCATACTTAACCATACTTAACCATACTTAACCAACAAAAAATGGGAATTTAAGCAATAAAAAGGAGGATTGAACAAAAAACGTTGGGATTTGAGCAACACACAATTGGATTTCACGAAGAAAAATATGGAGATTTCACCAAGAAACAACTGGCAAGTTGCCCTTCGCTGTCCTCAAACATGGCTAGTTGGGAAATTGTGAAATCCGTCAATAAATGGATGTTTCAATCTGTGTTGGTCGGAAAACTCATGGAACTTCACCTAAGTGGGGATTTTTTCAGCATGCCAGGATTGATTACCGGAGGGTAACCGTATTTAACCAATGAAGAATTGGGGACTGGAGAAGGAATAATGGTCGACCGTTTGCCTGGGTTGGTTTGGTTTGCCTCGTGTTTTGTTGCTGTACAAATCGGGATTCATACTAAGCGGCTAGGAATTTACTTCGTTGCAGGGTAGCTCAGGATTGGCCATGAAAATGGGATTTGAATTTGCAAAATCTCTGATTTAAGCCATATAGAAATGGGGATGGACGCCACAGAAATTGGAATTAAGCTGAAAAAAATGATTCAAGCCAGGACAAGCGGTATTTCAGCAATGAAAATGATAGATAGGTACGCACCAAAGATCATTTAACGACCGAAACTCAGCCCTTTGGGGAGAAAGAGCTATGAGTTTAGGCACATGATAGCGGGCTCACTAGCTGTCCAGCATGGCTATGAGTGGTTTGTGAGGACAATTTGCTCAGAATCATGGGGAGAACACAGAAGAAACTGTTTTGATGTCAGCTCGGTGTCGTTTCATGTTATTTCTGTCCCTGCTTTGGACCAGCCTGGGACTTAGGGACTTATAAGTCATGAAGTAAGTTCACTTATAAGTGGCTATGTGGCATGTCAAGTTAGTTATAATTCTCTAAGTGGTTCCTAGTGTGGGGTAGGTTAAGTGGCACTTACTATTGACTTAGGGTGAGATATAAGTTCTATAAGTTAAATGATCATGACTTAGAGATCACTTAGTGACCATTTAGCTTGGATTTTGAAATGTAAGTTTGTGCAAGGGTTTTGGGTTAGCTCTGAAATCACGATGGTTTTTGCAGCCATTTTGGCTGCAGGCATGTCGGTTGAAAAGCAATTGGAAGCTGCGCAGAAATTCCTAAGAGGAATTCGTTCGCTGACCTCCTACGAGGAGGTCAGGGATAAACAGGCGCTGCATGTGGGTGTGCAGAAAGCACTGGACAAAGTGCAGTGCTTCGCGGCAGCTCAAGCGGCTGCGTGGCTGGCACAGGTGCAGCCCGACTTCTGGGGTGACTTCCAAGCGGAGTCCTTCGGTGAGAATGTTGCTGTGAAAACGAGGCCTGTGGAAATCGATCAGACTCGTTGCTTGGACTCTACGGGAGCCTGGGCATGCGCAGAGGGAAGGGCTGCAGACAGCAAGGTCTTGAAACGCCTGAGAACCTTGTTGCTCTACGGGCAGTGGGGCGCTACACATCGGGATGTGCCTCCACATCCAATACTACATGGTTTCTCTTTGATTCCGGCTTCCTACGAGGAAGTGACGAATGCCTGGCGTGAACAATTGGGTTGGAATCAGATGTACCTGTCTGACGACTTGCATCTTGCTGGCAAATGGCTGGCGATCTTGGCATGGCACCTCTCTAGTCTCTAGGCGAGAAAATCGCATTAGGGAATTTCTCTGGTGTCGACGCTGTGCATGGCTTCTACGGCAAGCTCGACGCAGCCTACGGGCTGCAAAGGTGGAGGCAGAAACATCACCATAAGGATTCACCCAAAAAATTCGTTGTTTGTCCGTGTCTGCGGATGTCTGCGGATGTCTGCGGATGTCTGCGGATGTCTGCGGATGTCTGCGGACAGAAAGTATGAAACTGACATGTCTGCGGCACTTGTCTGCGGAGCGTGGAAAAGGTGCTTCCGAGTGGGTTTCCGTGTGTCTGCGGTGTCTGCCAAGAGGGAGAATCCTGCTGGGACACATGGGACATGTCTGCGAGATGTCTGCGGGATGTGCAACCGGCAGAATCATGTCTTCCTAAGGATGTCTGCGGGTTTTCTTTGAAAAAGTGAGAAAAAATCAAAGGTGCATGGGACATCGCCTACGGGGCGATAGCGGGGGCAAGACCCAAGTTTCACTATGCGCTCCATGTCCAAGAACAAATTCACAGATGGCGGCGAGACATTGATTGCTTTGCTGGGGAACGCAAGCGTCGTATATTTAAGTCCATTGTGGCTCGGCGCCTGACACGGCTGAATTGCTTCACCCGGAGCACGCTGCTGCAAATGACAGAAACGGAACTCACTACGAGTCACCTCGAAAGTGAGTACACTGGACAACTCATATGGAAGCCCACGCAAGACGTGGTGCTAGCAATGGAGCTCGGAATATCTCCTGAAAGCTTCTTTGCCAAAGGCATCCAAATCTATTGCGTCGAATACCTACGTGGTAGCTTCGTCCAAATGTCAGCTACGTGTTGCATAGAAATCTTACATGGTCTGTCAAATGCACATGGCTTCTACGTCGCGGTGCGAAAATTGCAATCCTTTCTTGCAAAGAATCATTATCAAATGGAAGCGCCTATCTGGCGCAAAGACAATCCTTGCAGCTTCTACTTTGATGCACGAGGAGCGTATGCGTTTGCGCCGCCAAGATCAAGACGGTCTTTGGCTTTTACGTTAATCCACGACATCAGGAAGCAGCCAAAAAAACAAATTTGACGGGCGGAGAACACCCCAAGACCATGTCAACATCCATGTTTTCAAAAATGATAAGCATTGCAAAAAATCCCTAGGAAACACTTAGCTCACTTAGCAGCCACTTAGCTCCCACTTAGAACACCATCAAACCTAAGTTTCCTAAGTGCCACCTAACGGCCAGCTAAGTTCCTAAGTGCCAAAGCGGCTCTATAGTGGGATATCCAGGGATGACTCACAATTCACCAATTAACATCAATTAACCAATGTTGGATAAGTTTTTCAAAGATCGCAGTTGTTTCGCGACCTAGTCCTAAACATGTCGGAGTCAAATGATGTTTGTCTCGCAAAATCTCAATCCTGCCGACAGTTTCTGGCTTCGTTAGTTGGTTTGCAATGCCATCTCGCTATAGGATAATCAGCACAAGCTCGTTTTACTAACGATAAGGGGGACATCTTGATGTCCATTCCTCAGTGATTCATCCCGTTGTTTGATCAAAATACCTCTCCATGTTTCACGGTTTGAAAAATCATATCAAACCCAATGTTCTTTTATGGTTAGACCACATATATATAATATATATATATATAGATATCATATATATATATATATATACATCATTACAAACCACATGTATTCCCTTGCTTAACCCTCCATTAAAGCTCCAAACATGATTCCCTTGTTCATGGTTTAATTCAAAGTGTTAAACGTTGGTCAAATCACCATGATGTTTGTGGGTGGAATCATCCTGTTTCTTGGCAAAAAATCCACGAAATTTCTTGGTCAAATCTGAAATTTCTTGGTTGAATCCGTTAAATCCAGCATTTTTACTGGTAAACCTGGTAAACAATGCCATTTTTTTTGGATTACCCTCTGGTAAACTAACAATTTGCCATGGAAAGATCCACCCATTTTTAACAGGTAAACCCAGGTAAACCATCTATTTCTATGGACCATGGCTTCCATGGCTATGTTAACAAATAACCAGAGGGTAAGTTTCTCCCCAAACAAAAGAGGCACCGGTGGTGGGCACCATGAAGAAAACTCATCGCTTTCGACCTGGGACTTTGGCACTTCGCCGCTCAGAATTCAGGGCAGCCCCTGTTCCTTGGGAGAAAATATGGGATTTCCATGGTAATTCAATGGGATTGAACCTACAGGAATTCTTACTTCACCAACAAAAATTGGGTTTAACCAGGAAAAATGGGGATTTAACCAACAACATTATGGATTTAATGGTAATCTTATGAGAAATTACTAAGGGCAAACATGGTTATTGATGGTGATTTTTCATGTGCGGTGGACATAGAAAAAGGTGGGAGTTCACATGTTCATCCCGATTTCCGCGTATCGGAAAATGAAAAAAAACCACGACCTCGGTGGAGATTCGTTGACCCAGAAACCTGCAATTTTCTCAGATATAATGTTTACATAATGATGTAATAATGACGAAATATATGCAATAATAGATATATCCGGGTAAATTATATATTGATTATACATCTGGGTAAATTATAACGAGCTCACTGCGACCTAACCCTGGAATCATGGCTAATAAGGGAAATCATCCCCAAATGGCCGCAAGATTCAGGTTAATGAAAAAATATAATTTACCTAGATATAATATGTGTATATATATATAATTATATATAATGGGAATGTAGTGGGGATGTTGATGGAATAATCCTGATAAGATCCAATAACAATATATAACAACTATATGATTGGAATTCATCAACCAAGCGATGGTTTTCCATTGGATGAAACTCCAGGGTTGATGTTAGAACTATAGTTACTATAGTTGATAGGCTTTTAAATCCACTTATAGCCGCGGGGGTCCCAGCTTATGGATGCTCTAAGCATCATTTTTACGCTGCAAGCGTACCGCAAACATTGGGATAGAACATTCGGATATGTGGAGGTAAAATTGGATTTACATCCAGCAATATACCCAAGATTACACACGATTACCCAAGATTAGATATCTACACATTTTTTGGACATATACCCTCTGGTTATTTAACATAGCCATGGAAAATGACCCATTTATAGATGGTTTACCCATTAAAAATGGTGGATCTTTCCATGGCTATGTTAAATAACCAGATGGTAGTTCAATTTCCCCATATCTAAAGGATCCAAGTCAGTAAGGGAAACATGTGTTGGAGCTATCTAGAGAGAAATTGAAGTGGATTTGCACAGGATCATTCCAATAGAGAGATAATGAACAATATATACCCGCAAAAACATAGTTATTATATGTTATTATTGTTGATCAACAATATTATTGAATATTATATGTTATAATATATTTTATAATATATGTTAATAATATCATGTGGTACTTGTATACCATTCATGTACGGCGTCGTATTTTTTGTATGGATAATCCTTTAGACTGATTATAAAGCAAGGGATTGAATGGGGTAGCCTACTTTCAAACCCAATTGGAGAGGACGGAACCATCTAGAAGGTGGGGAATTTCAATTCCAACCACCACTTGTGGTATCAAATCCCTCACCTTGAAACTTACCAGGAAAGCACAACGCGAAGACTGTTGGATGTGTTGGTACTTGTCATGATAGCATTGTGTGTTTTGAAGACTGCCAGATTTCCCAAAGAATTCTCAGATTCCTTGCCAGATTCCAAGAGAAAACTTCCATAGCGTCCCTCGGATTTTTTGCAGTGAACTAGTGGCCACCCCCATTTGCGCCACCTGGCCATTTGCAACGGCCGAATTTTCTTAGGAGAAATCCGAAAATATCAGAAGTCCACGGATCTGTTGCTGCGTGACTGGGTCCTGTGGGTCTTGAGGGTCGGTATGATCAAACCCCATGGGCGGGGTCCCAAATTTACGTTGTTGTTTTGTTTATAAATAGGTCCACTAGGGGTTATGGTAGATATACCCTCTGGAACATAGCCATGGAAAATGGCCCATTTATAGATGATTTTCCCAGCTAGAAACTTCCATTTATTCCTCCATTTATTGGGGATTTTCCAGTTCGCTATGTTAAATAACCTGATGGTATATCTATAAATGGGTTTATAATGGTTTGGAAACTAACTCAGAACAAAATTGGGAACGTACCACCTTGTAGGAACGTAGCAAAACATAAATTGGTCAATCAGCCCCGAAGAAAAGTACAAAAGTATCAAGCCCAAACTTAAAAACAATGGGTTGTTGTTCCCATCATAAACTTCAATAAAACTATGGTTTATGGTAGATATATCTATACTTAATGTGGTTTAATGTGGTTAATAAACCAACTTATCTGGTTGGTGGTGTCAAACATTTTAAACATGTTCCATTTCATGTATGGTATGTCATCCGAAACCCATTGACTTTCACTCCATCATTTTTCAAGATGGTTAAATTGCACCACCAACCAGCAACATACACACCATTTTTTTATATACTGTGATGATCCCAAATGTTGTAAACCAAATCTATTTACATATGTAAATTAAATTTGTAAATTTGGATACAATGTTCATATGTAAATCCATGATAATCCCAATTTTTTGTATACCATCACAGTTTTCCACAGTTTTCATCTGTAAATTCATGGTGTCCCAGGCCGCTTTCCACCACCAATTCAACCACAACGGCCATACATCCCCAAGCTTGGATGGGTAGAAATTGCATCGCAAGTGGCAAGTGGATTTGTGGATCAAAAACTTGACATGGATTTTATCACCAGTATATCCATGGTTATTCCATTCATCTAAGTCATCTAAGTGGAGGTATCACAGTGGGGATCTTCATGGATATTCAATTGCCCTCTGGTTATGACTAACAGTTTGCCATGGAAAGATCCACCATGCTATTAATAGGTAAACCATCTATTTCTATGGGCCATCTATACCATGGCTGTGTTAAAAAAATAACCAGAATTTATTTTAACTTATCCAGGGTAGTGGAGTCTGAGTTCATGACTGTAATAGCTATATAGCTATAGTAAGCCCCCTTGACTTCCAGGGCATCTGCTTCGCGCCCAGGTAAGCTGCCTTTCCAGCGTTTGGTCAAAGAGATCGCACAGGACGCAGTCCTTTCAAGGGCCCAAGAAAAGTATTACAATTGATTGCTTACTTTCATGGGTTGTACTACGTACCTACTTTCACGATATTGAGGATATGTTATGAAATATGGTGAAATTGAATTATATATATATATATTCTCTTTTTTTGTTGGGATACCGATTGACCAAGCAGAATGGGATTGGACAGCCATCCCAGGTACCGGGGTTACCTCAACCGTGCCATTGACCACAGTGATGCAGTTTTTGTTTTCCAAGAAAAACATCCTTGAAACATCTTCAAAGCAGTTGTTTTGCATTATTATGTGTTTTTAAATGAATTAGACCACACAACTGAGTTCAAAATTTAATTGTGGTCCAATTTCTGAATTATAAAACTTTTTAACCCAGAATTGGACCACAATCATGAACCAATTCTTTATGTTTTTTGGGGTTTTGAATCATCAAGCAAAGTTAGCAGCACAATTATCCTCACCAATCTTACAGAAATTACCATCTGCTTATTTAACAGTTCGCCATCTAAAATCACCATGTTTCATAGGTAAACCATCTATTTCTATGGGCCATTTCCCAATTTCCCATGGCTATGTTAGTCATAACCAGAGGGTAGCCATTGATATCGCCATTCCTGGCGCCGGCCCAGGAAGTGAAATCAGATCTGAGGTTTCAGTCGCAGGCCTTCACTTCGATGTGAAGCCATGACCTGGGAATTTCACCATGATGAACCTGGAAAATTTTGTGGTACCTAGTGTCAGACAAACCCTAGATACAGAGAGAGAGAGAGAGTTGTATGTAGTTTCTTTTTTTTAAAGCATGTTAGCATACATATATATATATTATATGATTTCATATTCCACTTGTCCCTGTTAAAATTGTCAATAGCTAGATACAGTTTTTTGGGGCAATGAAATATTTGCAGACACACACAAATGTTGGCTATGTTGGCTATGTTGGCTATGTTGGCTATGTTGGCTATGTTGGCTATGTTGGCTATTTATCTATATATAATATTATAATATACTATTTCTCTCAAATTTCATGAGATATATGAAGTTTATGTCCCATTCCTACTTCAAGCTCTCCAAAATCTGAGATCCCATCAGTCTAATCCCAGATGCTCATGGCATGTTGTTGAAAATCAGTTTGCTCATATCAAAGCCACCATGAAACTCATCATGTTTCATGGTAAAACCACCATTTTTTAAGCATAAAACCATATGTTCATCATGTGTCATGGTAAAACCACCATTTTTTAAGCAAACCATATAAAAAAAACACCATTTTTCAACATAAAAGGACAATTTGTCACCATAAACCACCATTTGTTCACCATAAATACCACCAATTTTCACCCTAAAACCACCATTGTTCCTGGTTCAAAACATGCCACCAGTCCTGGGGCGCTTTCTCGCAGGCGGTCCTGGCACTGCAGGAGGCGGCCGAAGCCTATCTGGTGGGTCTCTTCGAGGAATGGCGACGAGTGAAAATGACGGGATTATTAGTGATGAATAATGAATGGTATATCCCACAGGATCCATGGTGCGGCTATATATGGTAACATTTACCATCAATATACCCCCAATGTTAGCATTATACATCTGGGTAAATTTGCTGGGGGCCGTGTCCGACAGGCAACGGGGAAGAAGAAGAGGTCTTAATTCAGGTTGGTGAATTATTATAATTTACCCAGATGGTGAATAATGAATGGTAGATGAATTTCATGGTGATTAATGGGATAAGGAGTTAATGGAATATGAATGAGTTAATGGGATATGAGGAGCTGAGCCTCCAGAGCCTTGGCTTGTAGGGTTTTACCATGGTGAAATATATCTATATGTGCCGTGGTCAAAACATGCTTTGTTTTCTCATAGAAGGGGATGGTCATACACCCATCAATAGGGTTTAATATACCCATTGTAATAATTCCCAATATAGGATGGATGACCATAGCCCATATACCATGTTTTGACGATGGCACAGATGAAATTCATGGTCATTAATGGGATAATGAGTTAATGGAATATGAATGGAATATGCATGGAATATGAATGGAATATGAAAAGATGAATGGTGAATAAATGGTCAATCAATGGCTAAAAAATAGTGGAGCAATTTGGTTAAAGCAATCATAAACCACCCATGATTGGGAATGGTAAGCAGACCACCTATAAAAATGGTGAAATTGGGGATGGTTTATGTCATTGTTTCACCAACATTATTGTTAAAGTTTTGTGATGCCTCCGGGAATACTGAAATCCTCACAACCGATAGGGAAGACCCTAATTTGTGCATGGCATTGAATTTAACATATATTTTTGTTCGCAACTCATATAATCAATTATTGTTTTTTTAATAGTTCATAATGATGGTTAATCAATGGTTAATAATTGTTAATGATAGTGGAGTATTGGTTTATTGGTTAATAATGGTTTGCTTCATTGATCACTTCAAATGGCAATATCCCACTTAAATGGAGATTTAATGATTAAGCCAGATTAATTCATGGTGATAATTTGTTAAACCACAGTAAAAACCACACATATGTTCAAGGTAAAAAAACAACTATATATATTTTACTGCAATGGACTGGATTCAATGGGAATTCCAGGATCCTAAAATGGAGGTACTGTACCATATAAGGCGATATTTTGTGGGGATATTCCCTTACATAGGCCGTATATATGGTAGGTACCTCCAATGAATCGGTTCCTGAAATGGCCATTGATGGATCTTCCGAATTAATTGTCCATATGGAGTTTAATTTTAATGGGAACATGAATGGGGATATATTCCCAATTCTGGGCAAATGATAGCAAATGATAGTGACCTCACGTCGTAGTCTCACTGGAATCATGAGTAGTTATTTCAAGTGAGTGAAATAGTGTAATTTGCCCAGATAATATCATTAAACGGTTCCCATTATCTTCCATTAATCTGGGTAGAGTATAAGGACCTCACTGTTCTCCCGAGCCCTGGAATGGTGGTTTCAGATTAGTGACATAGTCTAATCCGGGCGCAGATTAATAGGATGATATGTGGATGGAAGAAATCCTGGACCAGTTGATAGGTGGCTTATCCCATGATTAATTTGGTGGTTCAACCATCCAAGGTGATGCAGGATTTCGCTACCATCCACTGTATCACAAAAATGATCATTTAGTGGATATCATCCTATGAAAATTATGGAAGTTAATGGGAACATGAATTGACAATTATATCATGACATATGAATGGAAACAAACAAATGGATGAATGGTGGATCAATGGTTAAACAATGGTTTTTTACAAAATAGAAGATTGGTGTTTTCCATCATTACTGTAAACTTAAATCATCAGTGGTTGTTTTCAGCACTGAGCCATGGAAGATGGGATGTGATCATGGTGAAATGCGAAGCAGAGCTCCAATGGGATTGCACAGAAAAATCACAACATAGCGCAGATTGAATGAACATGATTCATGATGTGAACCATAGCAACAATGACAACCACAGGACTTTGTGTGAACGCTTCACATTCTACTTGGTGGCTCATCCCACTTAGTAAGTGGGTTATAATCCCAGTGATTTACATGGGATAAGTAGGGTTAATCCACTCAAAAAACTGGGGTGAACTAACCCACTTACTAAGTGGGATGAGCCACCAAGTAGAATTGAAATCAATATTTTCAGGTATTGATTACACAACTCGAGCCGTTCGAAGCTCGAGTTGTCCGTATGTTCCCAGAAAACGTGGCGAGTTTCGGGACGATGTTGACGTATGCCAATTTTCCAAAGCCATGGGGATAGATAGTCGGAACACGATCTATTCATGTTTCCATTACCCGGCCTGGTAAGCATACAAAAAGCTATTGAAAATGGCCATTTATAGTTGATTTACCCATTGAAAATGGTGATTTTCCATAGTTATGAGTTATGTTAGTTTACCAGAGAGTAATACCCCAGTAATATCCCCATTTGATAAAACCTGCTGTTACTGCAACATCTTGCATAACAATTTGTTTGTTGCATTGTATCAAAATATGTAATTTTCTGGTTAAACAAATCATAAACCATCCCCCAAATCACCATATATAAACCAGTCCCAGATGGGTGGTTCATGGCATTGTTTTACCCACATTACTAGCGATCCAGCAACTGGATATCGTGGGATACAATCTTCCAAGCCGCAGGATACCAACCTTTGCGCCATTCATGCCAAGCGCGTCACCATCATGCCAAAGGACAGTCATTTTTTGTTTTGCTTGGGACAGATTTGTAGCTATGGCAGCTATGGGTTTGGATGCAAAGAACATGATGGGATCCATTGTTTCGAAGAATCTGAGATTGAGCAGCAAGTCTTACAATGGTGGTACCTCGTCTTTGTTTGGAAACGATTTGTATGTTTGTTTGGAACGCATATTCTAGCAATAAAATATATATGGACCTGTATGGAACGCCCTGTTCGAGTCATTCAAATTCAAAGGTGTTGCCTGGCCTTTTTTTTGGCATGTGTACCTCAAGAATCTGCATCTTTGGAGCAGAAAATATCGGCATTTCCTGCAATCCCTCCAATGGCAGGACGTACAGCTGGCGCGCCGCTTACGTGGTGAGCGCACATGAGGTGTGGTGAACCTGGTGAACTTCGTTCAAGCGCTGCCATGGTTGCGGCTGGGTGTCTGCTCAGTTCCAAAAGAATACCTCCCGGATCCCTCCAGTGTCGTACGATAGGAATAGCTTTTAGTTGACATTAATAATTCAATATAATTAATACCCTCTGGTAAACTAACATAGCTATTGAAAATGGTCCGTTTATAGTGGATTTACCCATAAAAAATGGTGGATCTTTCCATCGTTTTTTCTATGTTTACCAGGCCGGGTAACCATCGTTTGTAAGTCTGACTCAGTCATGATCCACCTTTCCTGAGTCTCCACATGTCTCCACTTCCCAGCGCAGACTCATCACATGGTCTCTGTTTATTCTTCGCCCCTTGTCGCAGCGCAGCGTCTTGACGCCTGTAGTTGTTGGGGTTTCAATCTTGGCCGCCTGTGGGGAGCGATGGATTCCGCCATTGCTCGATGCGGCCGATGTGGCGCCGTGTTCTGAACGGCGGCCTGAAGCGTGTCGTCTCCTGTGAGTTCGAAGCACGAGGGAAGGACGAATTATATGAAGCCTCTACTGCAAAGAATAGGTGTACAACTGTATTATACTTAATTATACTGTAATAGGTTCTATATTCTATATCCACATAGGATATGTACACATATGTGAACAGTCAAATGTAGCCTTTCAAGAAACTCGGCATGGATCCGAACATTGAATCGAGACGGTAGTGGCGTCACTGGGGATGTTGGCCCATTTGCCACAGAGGGATAAAGCATGAAACAGAACTAATCCACGGACAGCAGATACCCTCTGGCATTTTAACATAGCTATTGAAAATGGCACATTTATATACATCTATAGTTTAATAAATTAAATTACAAATGGTGATTTGCCATAGTTAGTTTACCAGAGGGTATTGTTCCTTTTTTTGTTCCCCTTGGTGCTCAGCGGGCGAGTAGAATCTGCGTCAATGACGGGCTCAAATTCTTAGTGATCACTGATCTTAGTAGATCAATAGATCCCCATGACATCCAGTCACTGTATTTCAGACTTCGAGGTTGATATCCCAATTTGTCCTGATATCTATATTTATATATAGTATGTATATATATATTGATATATATATATATATCAAATTTGACTTTTTGCAGGTCCCAAACTTGATATTAATTTAATTCACCAGTTCGGTTTGCTCACAAATTGTGTACCTATAACATTCAATGGTTATCATATTCCTTTATGTTCCCATGTTTCCTCAAAACTCTCATCTTCGGAGCATTCCATTCCGAAGTTAACCAAGATTCACATGGTGAAGTGAATGCAGACTGTGTCGTCACTCCCTCGACAAAAATTCAGACGTTCCCACCGGGACACAGACGGAGCCGACCTTGCATTGACTTGCTCCGCAGAAGAGGGCTGCGCCGGTGGCTGGTTGAGTTGGGTTGGGTGAAGTTAGGCTTACTGTAATTATTATGATCATATGTATATATATATATATACACATAATTATTATTAATAATTATTGTTGGAAGCCCAGAATTGTGTTTCTCTCACGGTTTTATTTAATGTTTTATGATCGCCAAGTATTGCCTTGGAGCGTTCTAAAGTCCCTATTGGTTCATCTTGGTTTTATCTCACTGTTTTGTTGGTGCTTGATCTTCTAAACAAAAAATGTCTCTGAAAAACGATGGTTAATAAGGGTTAATAATGGTTAATAATGGTTAATAATGGTTTATAATGGTTAATAATGGTTTATAATGGTTAATAATCCCATATGCTCCATGGTGCTGGTATATTTATCTACATTTGCCCGAACAAAATCACCCAGTTATGTAGGTAAATATACCAGCACCATGGAGCATATGGGAATAGATATATTCATGAATATGAATCATTAATCCACATGAGTATTAACACGATTGTGTCAAACATAAGCCGCAAGGATGCTTAAATATGCTTAACACGTCCACTGAAGATTTCTGGCTCAGTGCCGGGCTTCATCTCCACTCTTTACCTGTGCTTTCTGTGTTCAAAAGATCTGTGAGGGCCTGAGGGAGCTTGAGTGTTAGTTAATTAGGGACATACTGACATACTGGCATACTGTTTCCTATCAGCATTGCAATTTGATGCAATTTCTATTCTTCTTGATACTATGTTTGATTTGCATGATATGTCCAGACATTTTCTACATTAATCATCGATTTTATTCTCATATAACATATGTGTATTACAATGTCATAATGATGATTGGCCAAGGGCCCTAGGGTAATCTCATATATAATATAGATGTTGAAAACCCGCCGTAGTTTCTCTGGGAAAAAATATGCACATAGGGGGCTGTCCACATCTTTTCATATGTTTAGAGGAGGGTAAAAAAATGCAACATGCTGCATGATATGTCTGGAAAATTCTGGGAATAGTTGTAATGAGATATAACCCATAGGATCCACGTATGCTATATATGGTAACATTTACCATCAATATACCCCCAATGTTAGCATATATACCATACATGGATCCTATGGGTAAGCAGAATTCTAATTCATCAAACGCATCAACCAAACGATAGCAAGTTGTTGGATTAAGTCCATGATGCTGCGGACGAAAAATCCTGCACAAACCGCGGTAATTATTGGTAACCATGGAAATCCTGCAAATAGTGGTATAGTAATTGGATAAACCATATACCAAATGGTTCAGGATTTTGTCCATCCTCAGTACGTGTTCCATATACAGTATCATGTATCATTTGTCATGTGTCATGTATATATATATATATACGTAAAGAACAAATAGAAAGTTTCAGCTTGGCAAACTGGCCCTCAGCCTTTCTGTTCCTGAGGTCTAGCAAGATGGCGCGAACCAAGATGACAGCACAGAATCTCAGGTTATGGTGATAGGTTTCGGACGTTCCGTTTCTGTTCGGAATGGGGATCCATGGCAATCCAATCCGAACCATCGCGAAGATCTTTGAGGTAACAACGGGTAACAACTATTGTCAGAATCTATGCAACCCTTTGAAACAGTCGCATCACTGTATTATTATCCAACATGTTGTATTCATTACTAAGTTATTCCTCTTAAGAAGTATTATGTACACAGATGTTGTAAAGATCATATTGAATATTGTTTTTTCAGTTTCATCACCGTTTTGAAGTTGTTCGTTCCAGAATCCACAAGCTTGTAGTTTTACTTGTTTGTTCACCATGTTTATACTTAACTTGGAGTCCAATTATATAGACATGTCGTGAACATTTCTCATTCAACATACTTTCCTACATGTTTTCCCATGATTTCTACATGATTTCCACATGTTACCATTTCACCATCCTTCGCCCAGGAAGTCTGCTGGCAACAAAGGCCGTGGCGAATTGGCTGCCAAGGCTGCGCGTAAGCAGGCGAGCCAAGCAAGCGTCGGAACCGTCGGACGAAGTTGGTTTCGTTGATGAAAATTACCCCCTGGTAATTTGTTACATAGATATGGAAGCCATGGCCCTAGAAATAGTTGATTTAAGTTGATTTACCTATTAATAGCATGATGATTTTCCAGTTCGCTATGTTAAATTACCAGAGGGTATCCTTTGGAAATCAACCATGGCAATTGAAAATCCTCTAGTTGTTGAAGGTTTATAGCTGGGAAAATCATCTATAGATGATTATCTTTTGGAAAATCAACCATGTGGATGTATCAAAACCTATGTTTTTCTATGTTTTGTGGGATGAACAGCCATTTACCAGCTATGACTTAGCGTTCACTAGGGTACCAAGGTTTTCACACATACCCGCAGGGCAACGGAAAATCCTCTAGTTGTTGAAGGTTTAGTTCGCTGGGAAACTCATCGAAGTAAATTGAAGATTCGGCCATGATGTCCAGTATATACTCAGCATGGGAAAAACTATGGGGACATTGTGGGAAAATGGTAAACAAAGGTGAGTACATGGTAATTTACGGGCATATTCACGTGAATTGGGTAAATCAAATGTAATGAATGGTGATTACTCAAACAATGAGGATTTTTCGTGGGGGTATAGATGGATTTTCTGCATGAGTGATCGTGCTTTTATGTATGATTGAATATGATTGATTACCCTCTGGTAAACTAACATAACTATGGAAAATTACCATTTTTAATGGGAAAACTCACTATAAATGGCCATTTTCAATAGCTATGTTAAATTACCAGAGGGTAGGTCAGGTGATGATTGGTGAATTGATATAATTCTTCCAATGAGTGAATCAGTATGAATCAGTGAATAGTACAAGGTGGTGCCTTAGCTGCACTAGCTGTGCTCGGTGGTTTAGAACTCCAATAACTACACCATCATTTTACGATATCATTATTGAGTATCATAAGGTTGCACCATGTTTTTTGTTGGTATTACCTGGTATCAGCTGGTATCACCCGGTATCTTTTGTTCCTGGTTACCATTTTTTGAAATGCTAGGCTTTCTTGTGATTGTTGGTATAAAACTAACCTAAGTGTTTTGAATTGGCTAGGTGGTTGCCCCGGCAGTGGTTAAAACACCTACATTGATTCTCCCTTGTGAACGTTTTCTTCGTACAGTTTTTGTCAAAAACTTGCTGAAGCACGCTCATGGTTTCACCATATCCATTGAAAACCAACATGGAACCCTCCAAAAAAGACAAACAGTTGGATTTAGCTTTCCAGTTGTCCTTCGTTTTGCATCGTTTTCCACCGTTTTTCCATCGTTTTTTCATAGGTTTCCATAGTTCTCCATAGTTTTCCAACGTTTTTCATAGCTTTCCATAGTTCTCCATAGTTTTCCACCGTTTTTCATAGGTTTCCATAGTTTTCCACCGTTTTTTCCATCGTTTTTCCATCGTTTTTCTATGGTTTTTCCACTGGGCCAACGGCCAGTGAGTTTCACGGCAGGCTCCGGTGGTGGGCACCATGAAGAAAACGCATCGCTTTCGACCCGGCACTCTGGCCCTCCGCCGCTCGGTTCTGACGGGTTTGGAATGTGGATACCCTCTGGTAAACTAACATAACTATGGAAAATCACAATTTTTAATGGGTAAATCAACTATAAATAGCCATTTTCAATAGCTATGTTAAATTACCAGAGGGTAAACCTAATGATAGTAAATAGTGGTTTATAGTTAAATAGTGGTTAATATATAGTGGATATTGTTAATATATAGTGGGTATTGGTGGATAGTGGTTAATACTGAGTATATGACCCAATGAATATTTATAGTATATATATAGTGGATAGTGGTTAATACTGAGTATATGGCCCAATGAATATTCTGGATCAGTTATAGTGACCTCACGTTGTGACTCACTAGAATCACGGTTTATATCCGGTGAATCATCCCAAAATGGCCCAAAAATTCAGGTTAAGTGAACTATTATAACTTCTCCAGAATAATGTTTTTTACGGTTAATAATGGTGAATGATGCGTATATAACCAACATTCATAGTAGTTAAGAATGATTCATAGATATTCATAGTGTAATAATGTGGGCAACCTTGGCCATAAACACTTAAACACCTCCCACGATTCTGCTTGAAATCCCAGCCCTACAAATGGTGATGACTTGGGGATGGTTTTTATGGCCAGGGTGTACCACATGACTGGCTGGGCACCACGGATACCACGGCTTGGTCCCAATGTCTTGACGGTGTGATAATGGACGGTGTGATCAATGTACACCATGTGTATAGTAAATAAACAACACAATAACATCAATAACTGGTTGGTGGTTTGGAACTGTTTTCCATATATTGGGAATGTCATCATCCCAACTGACTAATATTTTTCAGAGGGTTTGAAACCACCAGCCAGACAATAAAAATCCACCTATTTGAGATGGTTGGAAATCATAGCTATTTCTGATAAGTCGTTTCAAGGTGGTTTATGTTTTTTTTGGGTTTGCCACAGGGACCTGTTGCTGAGGTGAAATCCGGAAGTACCAGAAGTCCACGGACCTGTTGCTTCGCGTCTTGGAAGAAATTCATGAATCGGTTTAGGATGACCGGTTGCTTCGCGTATCTTTGGAGAGTGACGTCCAAAACGAGATTAGGCCTTGAGGAATTAGGCCCTAGGCAACAAAGCGACGTGTCGCATAGGTTCGGAAGAAGACTTGCGAGTACAACCCTCAAGCCGTGTTTTTTTGGACATTTTGTGGGGGGGGGTTCCTCCAAGTCAGAATGACAGCGAAAGGCAAGTTGCCATTTCAACGTTTGGTGAAGGAGATTGCACAGGAGACCTTCCGGGTAGATCTGGATCACCAGGGATGGTAAGTGTTCAATGGATCCTGGCTTTAGTCTTCCCCTTGCGGGATGAGCGACTTAGCAGGGGACTTACCATTTACACGGCTGAGGATCCAAGTAGCCTATACCTAGTATCCTAGCAGTTATCAGTTTGTTTATAACCTCCTAAACTAGTTCGATATGTCTCTCATAAGACACAGGCAAGCTCGTTATAAACCAACTTAGCTAAGTATGGTACAGCAGCTTGTCGGGATTATGAATTGGAGGTACAGTAGCTCCTTTTTAGGGTCTTGTTAAACGCCATTGATGTTTTTAGACCATAAACAACCATACATATATGACCATAAATACCCATTAATAGGTATATTAATTAACCATTAATTACTAACCATTACTATAACCATTACTTTAACCTTCATTAACCACTATTAACCATCATTCACCACTATTAACATACTATTAACCACTGCTATGCCATAGACATCACCCCAGTCCTGCACCAACGCTGCCAAAGGAGGTGAAGTCGGATTTGAGGTTTCAGTCGCAGGTGGGGCACTGGGAAGTTGATGGTTTACAACGTATCGTTTACAAACTGAGGATATTTTACATAATCTATAATTATATATATATATACATATGTTGGTACTTAATAATGATATATATATATATATATATACATGGTTTATTGAAGACAACATGCATATACATCTGGATGCAGAACTGTGGCTAGTTGTGTATTGAGTGTTCCGTATACAGAACTGGGGCATTTTTCATATCTGGTGGGATCCCTATGTCCAGATCCGCAGATCCAGGATGAGATTTTCCCATGAAGAGCATGGTGGATCTTTCACTAGTTACACTGTATGTGGCAGTTTAGAGGGTATCTATTTATCTATATATGACCATTTATTTATCCACTTGTATCCACCGTTGCTCTCTAGTTGCTGTTCGATGGATCTCTCTCTCTCTCTCTCTCTCTCTTGTTCGAGAAGAGAGTTTTTTTGTGGCATCATCCCCGCATGGGATGTATTAGAAATTATCCGGATATTACACCATATGAAAAACCATGACTAACATATTTACCACCCCTGGTCATGGATATTAACCATATTTAACCATGACCTGGCCTTCATGATTATGATCCTATGATGTTTTTTTGTTATCCCCATCTCAGTTCCCCATGGCTGCATTATCCCCAGAAAATCCAGATTTACTAGAACTACTATCACCTTTTGTTATCAACTATTAAGATATTAGTTATCCCCAATATATTTAATATATATTGTGATGTGTACATATAAATATACACTTTGCTATCTATCTATCCATCCATCCATCCATCCATCCATCCATATATATATATATATGTATACACGTGTACTTACATATACAGTATACAGTATACATTAATACGTCTTATCCAGATAGACTTATATACCACCATTATTGTCCTTTTAGGAAACCATAAAGAGGCTGGTTTGATATACTATTTACTTTAGTAATAGTGTAATATCATCTACCTATTGGTTGGTTTTCATTGGGGATCCCTCTGCTTCTACTACTAAACCAACCAGTTGGGAATGGTCATCTTTATGGATCCAAGTACCTTAGTAGAACGCGGTTAGAACCTGTTTTGGGTACAATTTAGGACTTTAAGTACCTGCTAAGGAAGTGTTTGGATCCACATATCTAGATATACTTACCCTCATCCCTCCGGGTAAGCGTTTACAGTTCGATGAGTTTTTCCAGGGTTTTCCCCTGCCAGCCAGGCGGTGTTGGCTCTACAGGAAGCCGCTGAGGCGTATCTCGTTGGCCTCTTCGAGGACACCAACTTGTGTGCCATCCACGCCAAGCGCGTGACGATCATGCCCAAGGAGACTTTCAGGGGGGATGACGTGACCTGGTAGATCTGGTAGACCTGGTATGACCCGAAAGAAACCTGGCAGTCGGTGAAGTTCCGAGTCTTTCCGGAAGTCATCATGGGATCCCAAGAAAAATTGACATGTCGCGTAGGAACAACGAGGATCAACAGGAACCACGTGAGCAAAAATTGACTGTTCAGTAAGAGAAAACCACGGAAACACTCTGAAGCAAAGTCCAACAGAAACAAAGAAAAACAACAAGCCTTATCCTCAAAGTCGTGATGGTGGCGATATAGCATAAGGACCTCACCATAAACAACTCTTAGTAGAGGGAAATGTGACATTTTCCAGGTTTGTGATTTATAATTTATAATTGTTTGTCGTGGTTTGTGATTTATTATTGCCATTGTACCATGTTTCAGGTCATTATGTAAATCTGAAAACATGAAGACAGCTGATTTCAGTTTCAATGTTGCCATATGTTTGGGACACTTGTTGTTGAGGGGATCAGGTCTGCAAACCTCATCTGCACAGGGGTCATGTCCATTTCCGTGTTTGATTATCAGAGGGTACCAACAAAAAGGCCCCTGAGGTTTTTGTTTGATGGTTCTTTTATAAACCCTATTACCTATACATAGTTACATATATATATATATACATACCCGTATAATTAACCATATTTCTTAGAGATACGTTCACCAACTATCATAAATCAACCAACAAAAATCCCATGAACCCCATTTTGTGTTCGTTAAATCACCATGTTCCCATGGTTTTGTTCACCTTTTCCCCATCGATCTGGCCCCCAGGACGTGCAACTGGCACGTCGCTTGCGTGGCGAGCGCACCTGAGACATAGGGATGCGGCTGCGGCTGTGGATGGCGCCGGGTTCGGCACGGCACTTGAAATGGTTTATTTCATGGAAAATTAGCTAAGTTGGTGAACATAACTCCAGTAACTATGGTTTATGGCAGATATAACGAACTAGTCTTCATGGGGTTTATAAACCAACTTATAACTGGGGGGCACCATCCTGTGTTAAAATGGATGATTTAGGGGTATTACCATGGATTGGAAATTGCATTTAGTGGTTAGTCATGGATACGTTGATAAAAATGAAAAACCATTACAACCATAATGTATACATTCGTAGTGGTTAGTAATAATGGTTCTTACGGGTTATCAATGGCTATTAATGTTTGAATAATGGTTATTAATGGTTGTGAATGGTTGATTAATGGTTATGAATGGTTGAAAAATGGTTATTGATTGCTAGCAATGGTTATTGATAACCATCAAGAAGCATTACAACCATAATATACGTTGGTAATGGTTATAGTAATAACTTATTATAATGGTTAGTAATGATTAATGGTCATTCACGGTGCTAATATGGAGTTAACAAATTGTCATCATTGGTTTCTACCGGTTATTGGTGGTTGTGAATGGTTGAATAATGCCTATTGATGCTTAGTAATGTTTACTTGGATTTGCATCCAATCTGAATGTTCATCTCAGTTCGTAAGTCCTTGTTAACCAGTCACTAAACCTTCTGCTATTGTGGATACATAAAACTATAAAAAATTTCAACAACCAACATTAGCAGGATCTGAGTTTCGGTTTACTACATAAATAGAGAATGTTACACTAATGTTACATTAATGTTCACCTCTGATTTATAAACGTGGGGCCCATTGATAAATTAGTTACAGTTTGGTTTGCTTTATTCAGGGTGCATTGATAAATCGTAGGTCAACATTAATGTTACTATATGATGGTTCTTGGTTGGGAATTCCCATGGTGAAGAAGGGTCTTTTGTTGTTGTGCTCGCGGGGAGCATCCTTTGAATCTGCCGTGACACTGCTCCATCGCATCCGTGTCGTAGTAGTGTAGGGGGCGGCCGCATATTGGGGGAACGATGCGGAGCGAGTCACTCGTCTTGAGCCCACAGGTGACGCCAAGGGTCCCGGTCATCCATCGTAGAATGCTGCAGAGACTGGAATCTGCCCTGCATCGAAGATCTGGAATCTTTTGAGACATCAAGAGTTTGAACAGGCAATGTCATCTAGCAATGAACAATCATGGAGAATGTGGATTACCAAGCCAGTCAGTTTGATAACAAGGGGTATTTTCGAAGTGCCAGCTAGATGGTAGATGCTATAAACAGTCCCTCTACCCTGCAACAATCAAATATGGGCGGCTGGAAAATGTCCCATTCATAGATTATTCTCCCTGCTATACAGAAACCTCCATTTATGGTGGGTTTCCAGTTGCCATGATGGTACTTTAAAAGTATCCCAAAGCAGCGAAACCTTCTTGGAGATTGCATAGTCGTCTCATTTTTTGGATGGGATGTGTGTGTGTGTGTCCAACCGAAGACGTCGACTCTGTTCACTGCCCAATTTCGAAAATTCCAACCCGGTCCACACGGGGCCGTCGGGTTCGACACCGACGACATGCTGCGACTGAAAAAAAAATGGCTACAGCTGGAAGGGGCGGCAGTCCCAGATGTGCGGGGTAGCCCCGTTAGCTTCCATTGTTAAGACTCAAGACACTCTTCCCACCTGCCAGGTACATGCCTTTAGCTGTTCTTTTCAACATATTTTGTGTCCACTCGAGCAGATACTTGTCCTTTGAATCTGATCACGATCACTATTAAACAATGCGAATCGAGGTATCCTTCTTTGCTGAATAGTTTTTTGGGTCCAGTCATAAATGACTATTTTGTGCCGGAGGGTATCATGTTTGTTTAAGTCCACAGTTTCTTCCATTCAATGCAGAAATGATACACAATGTTCACCTTTGAACTCTGCCGAAATGGTCTTCCCACTCTTTCACCACAGTTTTAGTTCCCGCTGTTTCCATTATCAACATTTATCAACCACGTATTTTATTATCCATTATCCATATTATTCATCAAAATGTGTAGAGAAATCCTCAACTCAAAAACGATGTCCATCTATGTCCAAAATCTTGGGTTTTCGGTATCCATTCTCCATTATCAACATCTCTCAGCTCAACAAAAAACTAGATTCCTGCCGGGTCAGAGGTTCTAATTCATCTAAAAAACGGATGTCCATTACTGGTCCCTCTTCTTTGTTGATTTATATCATTGGTCGGGGGTTTGGAACATGTTTTATTTTTCCATATCCATATATTGGGAAGAATAATCCCAACTGACTTTCATATTTTTCAGAGGGGTTCAAAGTTCAAACCACCAACCAGATTATAATTGTTTCCCGGGTTTATCCATTATCCATTATCAACATTTATCAACATCATATTCAACATTAGATTCAACATTTATCAACATTTATCAACATCATATTCAACATTAGATTCAACATTTATCAACATTTATCAATTATGTCCCTACTCGTTGTTTCCCTCAAAAAAAACATATTTTTTTTGTTTCAGCCCAGGAGCTCAGACCATGGCCACGTTGCTCTTGAAGACGACCACTTTAACCTCGGTGGATTTGTCGGTTCCGCGACGTAGATTTCACCGGCGGTGGCGTTTGCGACGGGGTAATCGCTGGGGGATGGCATCACCAATGGTACAGATGTATAACTTGATAGATATTCATATTGTGATGATGATCATTAGTATAGTTTTCACCATCCATACAATGTATATATATATAATTAGATATATACACACATGCGTCATGATTAGTAGTATTTGCACATTATGGTGTATCATATGTAATTTCCCGGAGAAAACATAGAAACATGATATATTCCATCAAGAAAAGTGATGCAAAAGACCACCATAAAGCAGCAAATGGTCATCAATCTTTGCAGGTTTAAACTGCCAGCCTCACATGGTTTCAGCCAGCAGGAGCTGTATCAAATCCATGGGAGTGTTTGCTCCATGCGTGCCGATCATTTATCAGCCCCATATGCTCCATGTATGGTATATTTACCTACATTTGGGTGATTATTAGGGCAAATGTAGGTAAATATACCATACATGGAGCATATGGGAGCTTAATCCAACCCCTTAACTAATGACTAATGGAATTACACGTAAATGATAGTAACAGGGGGGAACACTTGGTCATTTCTTTACTTTATCTAGCCAATATTCCCTATGCACAGGCCAGTGCCATTGCCTAGGATGGAAAGTGATGGATAGCCTCTGGTAATCAGCTCGCTGGAAAATCAACCATTGATCATCTGCATTTACATGCTGAATTTCGTGGTGACTGGAACACAAGTTTCATGAATTTCCAGAAACAGTTGGGAATGTCATCATCCCAAGTGACGATCCGTCCATCATTTTTCAGAGGGGTAGGTGGCGAAAAACCACCAACCAGTTGATGGTTAAAATTCCCATAATGGTTAACCATAACCAGCATTATTAACCATCATTAACCATTATTAACCATTCCCATATGCTCCATGTATGGAATATTTACCAACATTTGCCCTAGAAATCACCCAAATGTAGGTAAATATACCATACATGGAGCATATGGGATTATTAACCATTATTAACCATTATTAACCATTATTAACCATTATTAACCATTATTAACCATTATTAACCCTTATTAACCATTATTAACCATTATTAACCATCGTTTTTCAGAGGCTCAACGTTTTGCACGGTCGCGACTGGGAGTTTTGTTGAGGCCAATGACATCAGCTGCAAAGGCGTGGGCCATTTTTTCGCGCCAAAACTGCTTGGTGCTTTAAGGAAAACCATAGGAAAACCATAGGAAAATGGTGGTTTAATGGGATTTTATGGGATGTACCATCTGGTTATGACTAACATAGCCATGGGTCAAATCCCCAAAATAAATGGAGGTTTCTAGCTGGGAAAATCATCTATAAATGGGCCATGGCTTCCATGGCTACGTTAAATAACCAGATGGTATATATATATATATACATATTAATAGTGGTTCATAGTGGTTAATAATGGTTAATAATGATAATCAATGATAATTATATACTGCTTGGTGGCGACTGGAACATGAATTTTATTTTCCATTTCATCTATGGCATGTCATCCTTCCCATTAACTCATATTTTTCAAGATGGTTATTGCAGGGGCTTCAATTCGTGGGCCACGAATTTCGTGACACAAACCCTCCAGCAGGTGAAGACTTTAGACGCGACTTCTGTCATTGCGTGGCCACGTGCAAAAAGATATACACATAACCAGCAATTGGCCTAACATATAAAACATAAAACTATGAAAAAGACCAGAAAACCGAGAAAAGGAGAATGATATCGTTGCTTCAAGAGTGCCAAATTCGGCGTGTTTTTTTTGACCACTCCAGAAGCATTTGCAATAGCCTATAGCGGTGGACTCCCACCATCTGAGTGGCTAAGTACCATGACTTGCTGGGGACAAGCTGGTTGTAGGTCTCACTTTGAAGCCATGTAATTGTGGTTTTCATCCCTAGTTTGTGGATGTTCAAACCCTGGGAGATAAGTGTTGATGCCTGGGAACACAAAAAACTGGATTCGATCAGAGGTCAATAACAATTATTGAGCCAAACAACACAGCATCAATGGTATATGATGGAACTTTATATGTACTATATATCCAAGGGTAAACATGCAAATAGATGTGGAAAACCCCTTTTTGGGAAATCCTAGGAACATGATCTACTTAAATGGTGTTGTTTTCAACATCTATTGCTGTCCGTCTACCTTCTGGCAATTTTCACTAAACGCTAACGTGCCAGGAATGAATTTCATCCTGCGGACCATGTTGATCAATAGCTTCTCGGCCATAAAGGGCGTTGGGACTCTGATGACGTGATGACGTGGTGGTTGAGTGATGGTTATGAGATTCAAATGGTTGCAATGGCAAGACATGGTAGGGGTTGAATATTTTTGGGATACAAAACATGTCTAATTAACATTGTGGAAAGGAAAACTAAATCATTGGAAGGGTAGGCTTATAACTTTGCCATCTCCATGCAACAAATATCACAAGGCGATCATGAGCTATCATGGGCTTGGTTGATGGTACTTGCGCACAATTTATTGGTGTTTCTATGATGCTTCTCAGAGATTCACGGGAAATGCTGAGTTTTCAAGGCGACCAGTTTTGTGTAGCCAAAGGAGACGGAACATGAAGAAAGACCTTCTGCAACAAAAAACATGATGGACTGGTGATTGCCAGTTGCCGACCAAATACATCTTAATAAAGTATAGTGTAATTAAATTAGTTGTGCTCTTCTTGAATGTTTTTCCGATGCGGTTTTGGAACATCTGAATAGAAGCAGTAGCGGATTCCACAAATAACCTCAACTTCATTTTGTAGTTAGGCAAGTTCATTTTGTGAATCGATGTTTAGGTTTTAACAAAACATCAATGTTGAAAAATAGGTTGCCCTTAAACGTTCGGAGTCGCCGTTTCATCAATGTTTGGTTGGTGTGCCCGAACATTTAACCACACAGAAACATGTTTTTTTTTTCGCTTGATTATCATGATCTCAGAACTTGCTCGTTATTTTTGAATTGCTGAACCCATTTCAAGAGCCTCAAGGAACGAAGTTGTGTTTTTTCTGGCCGGGTAGAAATAACAATAAAAAGGTGTGATCACAACTGATAGTTGTATGACTCATGAATATAGATGATGTGATAGTCAGAATTACTGAGTATGTAATCAATTATATATAGTAATCATTATATAAACAAGACAAACATAGAATCTTATATCATCAGTTATATCATAAACAATTCTAGTCTCAATTTTTCGTGTGTCACCATATGTCACCGGTTCGCTTTCGCAGGGAGCGTGAAAGCCTTGGATTTGTCCTCGAAGACGGGCTCCAACCGCAATCGCTTCTCCAAGCTCAATGCTGGTCCCTTGGAGGCGCAATAAAAATGTTGCGGCAACGATGGCGAAGTATGGTGATGTGGAAGTTTATCTATACACATAGATGTGGAGTTTTCCATGTTTTTTTTCCTTGGGAAATGATCCACAAACAGTGGGTTCTCCTCCTTGTCGGAGATTTTTCAGATCCAACATCCATGGATCCATGGTGCTGGTTTTTCTATGCTAACATAAAGGGGGTATATTGATGATAAATGTTACCATATTTAAGGGCTGCCGCCCCTGCCGCCGACCCCGGAAAAAAAACACTAACGTCGCTTTCTGAAGCTACTAGAAAACTAGTGGGCAAGCCCCCAAAGGCGCTGCGGAGGGTTTGAAGCCAGGCTACTGCCTAACGTCGCTTTCTGAAGCCACTAGAAAACTATACTGGACAAGACCCGACAGATGGCCAAAGTCGTCCGGAAAGCTGCCAAAAGCGCCGGCAAGGGCGCTGCGGAGGGTTTGAAGGCAGGCTACTGCCTAACGTCGCTTTCTGAAGCCACTAGAAAACTAGTGGGACAAGCCCCCAAAGGCGCTGCGGAGGTTTGAAGGCAGGCTACTGCCTAACGTCGCTTTCTGAAGCCACTAGAAAACTAGTGGACAAGCCCCCAAAGGCGCTGCGGAGGGTTTGAAGCCAGGCTACTGCCTAACGTCGCTTTCTGAAGCCACTAGAAAACTACTGGACAAGCCCCCGACAGATGGCCACAGACGTCCGGAAAGTTGCCAAAAGCGCCGGCAAGGGCGCTGCGGAGCGTTTGAAGGCAGGCTACTGCCTAACGTCGCTTTCTGAAGCCACTAGAAAACTAGTGGACAAGCCCCCAAAGGCGCTGCGGAGGGTTTGAAGCCAGGCTACTGCCTAACGTCGCTTTCTGAAGCCACTAGAAAACTACTGGACATGCCCCCGACAGATGGCCACAGACGTCCGGAAAGTTGCAAAAGCGCGGCAAAGGCGCTGCGGAGCGTTTGAAGGCAGGCTACTGCCTAACGTCGCTTTCTGAAGCCACTAGAAAACTAGTGGAGCCCCCAAAGGCGCTGCGGAGGGTTTGAAGCCAGGCTACTGCCTAACGTCGCTTTCTGAAGCCACTAAAAAACTACTGGACAAGCCTCCGACAGATGGCCACAGACGTCCGGAAAGTTGCCAAAAGCGCCGGCAAGGGCGCTGCGGAGCGTTTGAAGGCAGGCTACTGCCTAACGTCGCTTTCTGAAGCCACTAGAAAACTAGTGGACAAGCCCTCAAAGGCGCTGCGGAGGGTTTGAAGCCAGGCTACTGCCTAACGTCGCTTTCCGAAGCCACTAGAAAACTAGTGGACAAGCCCCCAAAGGCGCTGCGGAGGGTTTGAAGCCAGGCTACTGCCTAGAAAACTAGTGGACAAGCCCCCAAAGGCGCTGCGGAGGCTTTGAAGCCAGGCTAACTGCCTAACGTCGCTTTCCGAAGCCACTAGAAAACTAGTGGACAAGCCCCCAAAGGCGCGGCGGAGGGTTTGAAGCCAGGCTACTGCCTAACGTCGCTTTCTGAAGCCACTAGAAAACTACTGGACAAGCCCCCGACAGATGGCCACAGACGTCCGGAAAGCCGCCAAAAGCGCTGGCAAGGGCGCTGCGGAGTGTTTGAAGGCAGGCTACTGCCTAACGTCGCTTTCTGAAGCCACTAGAAAACTAGTGGACAAGCCCGAAAGGCGCTGCGGAGGGTTTGAAGCCAGGCTACTGCCTAACGTCGCTTTTTGAAACCACTAGAAAACTACTGGACAAGCTCCCGACAGATGGCCACAGACGTCCGGAAAGTTGCCAAAAGCGCCGGCAAGGGCGCTGCGGAGCGTTTGAAGGCAGGCTACTGCCTAACGTCGCTTTCTGAAGCCATTACTAGTGGACAAGCCCCCAAAGGCGCTGCGGAGGGTTTGAAGCCAGGCTACTGCCTAACGTCGCTTTCCGAAGCCACTAGAAAACTAGTGGACAAGCCTCCGACAGATGGCCACAGACGTCCGGAAAGTTGCCAAAAGCGCCGGCAAGAGCGCTGCGGAGCGTTTGAAGGCAGGCTACTGCCTAACGTCGATTTCTGAAGCCACTAGAAAACTAGTGGACAAGCCCCCAAAGGCGCTGCGGAGGCTTTGAAGCCAGGCTACTGCCTAGAAAACTAGTGGACAAGCCCCCAAAGGCGCTGCGGCGGGTTTGAAGCCAGGCTACTGCCCAACGTCGTTTTCTGAAACTAGAAAACTAGTGGACAAGCCCCCAAAGGCGCTGCGGAGGGTTTCAAGCCAGGCTACTGCCTAACGTCGCTTTCTGAAGCCACTAGAAAACTACTGGACAAGCCCCCGACAGATGGCCAAAGTCGTCCGGAAAGCTGCCAAAAGCGCCGGCTGCGGAGCGTTTGAAGGCAGGCTACTGCCTAACGTCGCTTTCTGAAGCCACTAGAAAACTAGTGGACAAGCCCCCAAAGGCGCTGCGGAGGGTTTGAAGCCAGGCTACTGCTTAACGTCGCCTTCTGAAGCCACTAGAAAACTACTGGACAAGCCCCCGACAGATGGCCACAGACGTCCGGAAAGTTGCCAAAAGCGCCGGCAAGGGCGCTGCGGAGCGTTTGAAGGCAGGCTACTGCCTAACGTCGCTCTGGGCCAGTGTCAAGCCAAGCGGCTGCCTAACGTTGCTTCGTGCTTAACGCCACTTTTCCTCGGGCGCGCTCCCCCTGCAGATGGCTGGGGTCGGCGGATATAGCAGCACCATGGATCCGTCATGGGACATAGTTTAGTACATCGAACCTTGATTTTTTCAGATGTTTTTTCTGTTTTCTGTTCCTGGAATCCCATATGTTTTCCTGATTTGGTCTGCTGGAATCCAAGGTTTTTTTTCCCACAATCAGAATCCCCAAATTGTTCGTTGGATCCCCATTATATTGAATCATTTCATGATATAAGAATCCCATTATATAACCATCTCCACGTGATGATGTAACATCATCCAATATCATCCATCAAATGCGGGGAAATCCTCCAATTTTCCAAATGGTCCCATGATTTTTTCCCTGATTCTTGCTTGTATCCCCATGATATGCCCATTTTCCAAGGGGGCCTTCCAGCTCCAGGACCTGTTGCTCCGCAACTCCACTTTGCAGCGCCTGAGTTTGAGCACCTGCACCCTTGGTGCGATTGGCGCGCAGGGCTTGAGTCGCGGATTAGCACCTCGCCGGGAGATTTATGGGAAATGATGGCAACATCTTTGGGATTTTTTGGCTTAAAAAAACAGCGTTTATGAATCGATTCCAGGCTTTTGGAGGTGATGTGGAAGATGCGCGTCAAGATTGTATGGCTGGGGAGTATTTTCCATGCGTGTCGAAATGCCAGTAAAGATGTCCAAATACGAACAATGCAGAGGCATCTTTAATATACATCCGATATATCTTTAGTTGTAGATCGTTCTCCCATCAAACATGTGGACGTCCCATTGTCGTGTTTGTTCTCAAGACAAGGCAACTGATATGGGTACCAGGGATGTACGGACATCCCTTGAGTCTGATCATGTTGTAAAAGTGGAAGATCACAGCGTGAAGTACCCTGGTAAACGTTAACGAAAAACTATGGAAAGCTCCACCATGTTTATAGTGGGTAAATCATGGTAAATCCACTATTTCGACTGGGCCATGTTCAAGTTCGCAAAGTGTTACACATAACCAGAGGGTACCCTTTTAGGGGATCCCAACTGGGTTCCGAGGTGGGAAATCAGAGCTTGAAATTCCTGGACCCGCGGCGTTTTTCGGCGACGCGTGGAACAGTGGAGCAGTGGAGACCGGAAGAATGGGGAAAACACTTTGGCGAGTCAACCCCGGGTTATATACCCTCTGGTTATGTCAAAATAGCTATTGAAAATGGCCATTTATAGTGGATTTTCCCATTCAAAATGGTGATTTTCTATAGCTATGTTAAATTACCAGAGGGTAATAAACCATGGTTTATGACAATTGGATGTGGGTCAAAATGGAAGACCGATGTGGGACCACAGATGTGAATGTCTAGTTTAGTATTAACCATCCAATTATTGGGGTACCTAATTTTGACCCATACCCAATTAGGGGGGTAGTCCCCAAATAGTCATTTCATCTGATACTTAAATGGTATCCCCCAATTAAACAACCTAGGGGTTTAGGGGTTTATGAATCCAGGGTTGACATCAATTATGATTGGACAAATATGAAGCATGTCATTCCAATATATTCCAAGACTATGTAATTCTCTAGGAAAAAATATGAACAATCAAATAGTTGACATAAATTAAGATAATTTTGGCTGTTTGTTTTTTGGATTATCCTGCAGTTTCACGGGCTTTCTGTATATTTTCTTTCCATGGAGGACATCTCCCAGAACGACCTGGGCGACAAGGGTGCCTGTTACATCGCTTCAGTCCTCAAGGCCCATGGGTTGGATTTCGGATTTTGGGGATTGCCAAGTTGACTTCTATGGTTCACTTGCTGAATTCTATGGTTTATGGAGTATAACCAGTATGACATAGTATAACATAGTATAACCATAGTATAACATAGTATAACATAGTATAACCATAGTATAACCATAGTATAACATAGTATAACATAGTATAACCATAGTATAACCATAGTTTTTTTTTTCCAACTTATAACTTCGGGGGGCTTTGCGGCTTCACCTTGTACTGTAGATCACAAGTAACTTGGATTGGGATTGCCACGGCCGGACTTTTCAGGTTACCCTCTGGTAAACCGACAAAAAACTATGGAAAGATCCACCATGCTCTTCATGGGAAAATCAACGGTTTCTACTATTTCTATGGCGATGTTCAATAGCAAACTGTTAGTTTACCAGTGTTTAATGGGTAAATCCACTATAAATGGTTCATTTTCCATAGCTATGTTAGTTTACCAGAGCGTATGTGGTTTTCCGATTGCTTCATAGGTTTCATATGCCGGGCATCTTTGGGGGGAATCTTTGGGGCGCGAGGTCATGGTCGGGGAAACTTAATTTAAATTCGGAGGCTGTCTTTTTCGCAAATGCATAAGAGATCTATTCAGTGGTAGAATAGCAATGATGTTGTTATTGCATATTTCTGGCGAATGGTTTCAACGTTGTTATATACCAACATGTTTCAGTCATATTTAGGATGATCATGATTGATTATAATTGGCATATGAAAACTAACCCAACCCCGCATTAACACTATAGTTACTATAGTTTAGTACCTGGGGCCGATTTGGCAAACCTTCACTAACTGCAACTTTCTGCTTGAGGCGAACTTGTCACCTCTAAATCGCTCTAAGCAATGTGTGTCCTTTGCCATTGCCAGCCTATTCCGACTGCGTATGTATTTTGGATGCTTCTCCTGATCCAGGTAGGCTCAACCGTTTCTAGCCTTATCTCTGGGTGCCAAGGCCAGAAATGAGGTCGACTTTTATTACCAGCTGCAAAAAAAAGAATCCACGTTATCATAACGTTGTTTTCCCCAAGAGTAAACCTCCAATTTCGGGATGATGTTAATATGTGCTTACGTGTATTATGTTTTCTTGAGAAAGTGGGCAGGTTTTTTGTGTTTTTTTTTGCGTGTGAAATCCACATTTTGACATCAGAACCAGGGATGCAGCCAATATCAGAGATATATCGCCAACAATGGCCAAACATCGAAGATATGAGTGGCTGTTGGTTGTTGCATCTGTTTTTGTTCAAACAAACCCCACTACCACAGGTTTTTTTTTTCAAAATTTCACCACCAAAGGGTCTTAAAGTTTGACCCACATGTTCTGTTGCTGAAGTGTTGTTGCCTAAAAAAAGTGTATTCTCAGAGTGGTATAAAAATAACATGAAGATTCTGAGTATCTTGTAAAATAGTATTATGAAATATCAGCAAGACTAAGTGGTGGTGCAGGTTGCAGTAGGTTAGTTTCAACATGGTTTGGTTGGTTCAAAATTAAAAAAAATACACATTAAAGATCATAAAAATACATTTTTCACAAGAAAAATACAAATAAAATAAATACATATACACAAAATACCGAGATAGAACTCAAATGATTTTACTTTATTCTATTTAATCTGTTCAGGCTGTGGCTTATCAAAACTGACTTTGTTTTGACAACGCTGGCCACGCACAAACAATCTCAGTTTTTTCCACAGCACATCGCACCAGAAACACCCTTGCAGCACGTTTGCGATGTCCTTTTTCTTTGAGAAAAAACATGTTTTTCTCAATTGTTTTTATTTACTTATTCTTGCCAAAAAGGAGCAAACAAGAGAAAAACAAAATAAACAAGAGGAACAAATCAGATTTGTTGATCTCAAGAGACATTTTTTTCAATTAAAAACTAAATGCAGGTTATCCCACTGTCGCGAAACCCAAGAGATACACAAAAAACTGAAAAAACACACTTTTTGTTTTTTATTTTTCATTTTTGTTTTATTTCTTGTCATTTCTTGTCATTTCTTTCATTTCCTGCATTTTCCTTCTCTTGAAAACAACATGACCAATCCAGACCACTTGCATGTCGACCCACTTAGTTTTGCGGATGTAGAGCAGTTGTTTCTATCCGATTTATGCTATCCTTGGTCCGGGCACAGGCTTGTTGTGGCTTTACTTGTTGGATCATCCCGCTAAGTAATTGGTTAGTAGCCATAGATATAACTTATAACTTATAACCCATATAATATCAATTATTATATATACTTATATATATATATACATATATATACATATATACTTATATATACTGGGAAGAAAAAACTTTTTGGTGGACTTACAATCACCAGGGTTTTTGACCACTTACTAAATGGAATGGGTTTTCCAAGTAGCATGTCTCCTGGGAACGAAGTTCTCAAGGGATCCAAAACACCAAGCTTCGCACATGGAATCTGAGCGATTTGCACTAATAAGTTTGGCCATTGATTCTTTCCATTTGTATATATATATATATATATTGAGATAGATAGATAGATAGATAGATAGATAAATAGATAAGTAGATAGATTGGATTGGATAGATAGATTGGATTAGATAGATAGATAGATTGGATTATATTTGATTACATTGGATTACATTACACTACCTTACATACACAACGTGACTGAGGAGATCACATGTACTTCAATCTGGCTTATCAACATGCATATCGATCCAATACGTACGTTTCGAGCACGTTAGATTCCAGAAACTGGTTGGTGCGTGATTCTAAGGAATCCATTCCTGTGCGAATTTCCTATGTAGAACTCGCTGAGTTTTCGCCTATGCAGCTGAATGAACCTGAATTCAAGAAGCCCTGAATTTGGAGGTAAAACCATGGTTGCTGGCATTTTTTGCCTTAAAACAACCCAGTGACACCAGTGTTTCCACGAGAATTTCTATCACGATCATCAATCCATGGACTGTTCAGGGAACGTATAGAAGTTGTTCAACTGGCTGGTGAAATAGCTAAGTATAGTATAGTCCATACTAGTTTTTTGTTCAGCTGGACTTTGGTATCTTATTCCTGGTATACTGTTAGCTATTCATGGTGGTGGTGCAACTAGGCAGTATAACCCCTATGACTTGGTATACAATCCGTGTTGACTTTTAAAAAAATGCTTATTTATATATTTATGTATGTATAATACGTGTATGTATATGTATATGTATATATATATGTTTATGTATATATATATATACATATATATATATACACATATATATATATGCTACCCCTCAAAGATCTATTTTTTTTTAGCTTTTTGTTGATGTCAAAGAGGGTTGGGAACCTTTTGCAAAAACAAAGTAAGTACACTATTACTTTCAAAAAAAGATGAGCACATACTCAGGTCAGAAAGCACATCATTTCTTGAAGGAAGCAATCTGTTTTAAATTGCAGCGTTCCTTTCCATGCTTGAAACAAATCACATTCATTCATAAACTGCAATTTTCCTTCCAAACAAAGTATAACTTCGTTCAGAATCAAGAAGTTCCCCCAGAATCTTGAATCTTGAATCTTGAATCCAGGAAAGTTTGCAAAGTTCGCATTTTTTTTGGGGAAGTGTCTGCGTGTGTGCATCTGTATGTGTTTGCTAGCTTTTGTTGATTCAACACATATGCCTATGTATATGCATATGTGTTTATTTGAATGTATATATATATATATATGGATGGTCCCCCCTTCACAATTAATTGCTCGATTATCATCCCAAACCACAAGACAGGTCAAAAATGGTGGATCTTTTGGGGGGGTACCATTTATATATATATATCCACTCAGTTCACTGGACCCTCACCCCCAAGTAGGGTTCCCCAGTTCTTTGTTCGGACTTGCGACTAGAGTATTGTTTGACACCCGTGGACATGTTCACTGATCTCCGGCATCCAACCCCAGATCAATTGAGGTTGAAGCAACGAAGTAACTGTACATGTAGACCGTTTGCTGCTTTGCAGGGTTGCTCTCCACTGTTGAGTGTTCAACCGGCTTGGGAAAAATAGAGTATGCCAAGTCATAAGTTTCACCTGGAATGGGGAACTGTCAGCCAACTCTTAGCTCGCAGTTTGCGGCGATACTTTCAAGGCAGGGCCCTTTAGATAGCTAAGTTTGTTGAGAACTAGCCTTTTTGTTTTTTTGCCAGATACTGGTTTCTTTTAACCACCTTGTTGAAAGCTTGAGAGCTGCTTAAAACGCATCGTTCAATCACCTAAGCCAACAGCCTGACCATCTATCCTGATGTAACCTATGATCAGATTTGCCGACCCCCAGGGGGTTCACAGCTATGCTTGGCCGTCCCTTGGGAGGCAAAATTCGGAGCAATTGGAGCATGACAGATGTTTTAATAGACACTTTTTCGCTTGAATTGCATTGTTCTTACATATACTTGCATTGGTTATACAATTTTTGCTTATTGAATATCTACAGGTGTACCAGGTATGTATGTTTCTCAATGCGCTACGCATACAGATTTGATTCTATATTATATATATATATGTGTGTGTGTGCTTTTACTTACGCGTACATTTTTACAAACATACATTTTGAATGCGGATGGTCAGAAGTGAAACATCGGGTCACAAGCAGAGGCAAGCGATTTGGGCACCCCTGATCAAAATGAGGCTTGTGACCTCTCCCTTGTGTTACTTGCCTTTCCATTTCTGTTGCTGACGCCATCTGCCCTAAATTTCGCCATGGTTTGATGCATGCGATGCCTGCTCTAGGAGTCCGCGCTGGAGGAACTCAATTTGGCAGACAACAACATATGTCCCTGGGTCGAACTTCACAACCAAACAGTCACCGTGTCTTGGGCCCTGATCCCCAAACACCCTGTGGATAGAATGTTTGAAAACATTGAAGATGGTGTTATAGCCTGCCAAAAATTATTTCTTGATAGTGTTTGATGCGGGGGTGTTGGGTCATCCGTTTTTTGATCAATATATCAATGTTATTTTGTAGTTGCTCACCTCCTTTGTGTACAATAATCCGGATCTTCCACGTGACATGGCTTGTGCACTTTGAAATGTTTAGAACCATGTCCAGGAACAAACATAATATAATAATAGATCCCCTGGTTTGTGTACGAAAACTCGACGCGGTTTGCATGTTTTTTGATTTGACCGGGATGCGCAGGGTTGTCCAACAAATGGATACAGATGTGATCCTTCAAACTAAAGGACACCATCAAGGACTGAATGAGTTGGCTGGGTCTGTAAGTTTTGAATCTGGCAAAAAAATGTCAGAGTTTTCTAGGTTCAGAATCGCATGACAATGCCCGGTGTGTTCGTTGAGGTTTGTAGCCACAAATTCTTAATCGAATTCGTTATCGAAGCGCGATTCACTTCCCAAGAAACATTGCTAGAAAATCTCACCATCATTTTTCTTCATGGAAACCATGGAAACCATGGGACAATGGGACCATCGAATCCGCTGCCATTCCGCCATGGCTCCGCCGAGGTGACGAGGGACTCATTAGCCTCGCATGTAGTTTGGGATCGCTGCCCAACAAGATGGACAGCAGTAGTCCGGTGTGCGGATGCTCAGCCTGGAGAAATTCTCCAAGTTGCGGAGGGCTCAAAGGGTTCTATAGTTGTTAAATGCTAACAATGCTAACCAGTGACTATCTGAGAAAATAAAGTGGAGAGGTACTGGCATGTACTTGCCAATGCACCCACAGCTAGTTGGTTAAATTTAGCAAGAAAATATCGAAATTAGGGCAAATGTTTCTGCAATGCAGCATTGGGTGTAAGTATATGTGTCACAGAAAGATTCCCTTTTCATCCATTTTTCCGTTGTTAACCTCGTTGAAAACTGATTCGGGGCCAGCTGTATATATACATATATAATATATACAGATATAGAACATTGTTTGGCCTTGTAAGTTTTGTATTGTGCGCTGTAGTAGGCAAACAGGGATCTGTTAAGCTTACACCTTCAATGACTTGCAGGTCCCCACGCGTCTTCAGGTTTTCAGGTCAGGTCAATGTTTCAATTCAGTTCCCCATGGCTGTTGATTGTTGTCTCATACTGGCTGATTTAACTCGTGAAGTTGGTTGTGTAATGAAATTTATGTGAACCCACACTTGTTCCTCAATCCCCTTTCATATTCCTGTGTTACGGGTGGTTGATCCTCCATATTGACTGGAGCCTTGCTCAGCATCATCTACCATGTGGTTGAGAAGCTCTTAGTAGCTCCTGGGCTCCCCATTGAGTAGGGAATATGAATACCCCTAGCTCCTTAACCCCTCCTAGCCACTGGATTTTTGGGCTTGATCACAGGTGAGACCTGTGAATGTGTGGCAATAGTATTCGTACGTCCTATATAACCACCGGATAGTCGCGCTGTTGTTTGAGCCGTATCAGTGTGGTCTATCCCAGTGTTCCTGATTTGAATTCCAAATCCCATGGTTGTTGGCTGGAGATCCACATGTTTCAGGTTAGCTGACAGTCGACCAGCCTTCTAACTCACATACATGTTCATGTGAATAGAACAATATATCTATGACATGTATGTCTATGTTTGCAAACATACATAATGATATAGCAATGTTGTTTCATAGACTATATGTTATGGTATGTATGCAACTATATATATATTATATATATATATTATATATATATTATATATATTGTATTAATATTATATATGGTTCAAGTTTTAGGGGTACCCAAAATGATTTAGTCTGAATGCTTCTGAATGAGAGTGGGGCCACCTCGAATTAATTTGGTGATGTTTCGTCAAACCAAGTCAAACCATGGAGTCCCAAACCAGCACACCCGCCCTCAAATTAATTTTACGCGTGGCTACGCGAGCTGGGAAAAGGGAAAAACTTATATAGTTGGCGGAAAAAAATAGATTGGGTGTTGATTATTGCTGAGGCTTTTCAATGGGTTTTCATTTCTCATTGTGCACAATCAATAAGATTCTGTTCCAAACGCACCTTTTTTTTTAATTTTAAATGCCACCCGCTTAGATTTAGTGTCATCATAATCATTGGGTCCTGTACTAGTACACCCACCCCCAAATTAATTTCACACGCGTCCACGCAAGCTGGGAGGAAGGAAAAACAATGGTTGGCGATATGAGAAATAAGTTGCATGTGTCTATGTTCCACACCCCAATTAATTAGAAGAAACTATTGCTCCCCCAGTCTTGAATAATTTTGCCAGAAATTAATTTAGGTGGTGGGAAGGGAACCATTTATTACATCTAGGTGGGGGGGAAGTGCCGCCGAGCAAATCAATAGAGGTACCTTGAAGAAGTAATGACCTTTGGATTAACACTTTATGAATGTAGGTGGGGGACCACTCTGGAGACCCTTTAGGAGGCAGTCATTGTTTACACATTCATTTATTGCTGAACATTTCAAACGGATTATGCTAATCCTAAACATATATATATTTATATTTAAAAAATACAATTAATAGATAAAAAAGAAAGAACAATATATACAAATATGATCAAATATCAAATGTATATTTATATATAGATATGTATATATAGATATTTATATATAGATATTTATATATAGATATATATATAGATATATTCATTATTTGTAAAGTGTGTAATTATATATACACACTATATTCCCGACTGGATTTAAATGTGTGTATTTTCTGCCCCCGCGAGGTGGTCCAGGGCCATGGAAGCCACAAAGGCTCGCAGTCGACCAAGGGCACAGACGGACAAAGGGCGCAGTGGCTGCGCGTTTCTTAGCCAAAGGGAGTTAACAAAATATGATGATTATAGGGGATGATGATTTTACTATCCAAGATGATGATGATTATATAAAACCCCTGTTGGTTGAGCATAGGGGATTATACTATCCAATATATTGGGGATTATTACAATCTAATAAGGGTTTTTGAACACTGCTCAATCATGTTTCTTAGGTTTTTAATGTGGGTAAAACAATGCCATAAACTAGCCATGACGGGGGAATGGTAAACATAGCACATATATTTATGGTGTTTTGGGGGATGATTGATTCACGTTTTACCCACATTATTCTGGTTTTATGGGGCTTTAATCATGGTTTTATGTGTGTTTCAGATGCTTGTGGCATCTGGCAGCTCTCAGCATGTTCAAAAGCCTCGATGTGCTACTTGGAGTATCGTCTCTGCAAGCCACGACATGGCAGTGGCGTGTACTGCACTGGAAAGGCAGCGATCTGCATTGCGAAGATTTGCGAAGTATTCTTCCTTTGCAGGAATCTTTTTCTGGTTGGTGGTTTCACACATGACTTTTATTTTCCATTTCATATATGGGATGTCATCCTACCCATTGACGAACTCATATTTTTCAGAGGGGTAGGTATACCACCAACCAGTTTTTGTTGCGAAGCATTTTGCGGCACTGGAATCAGTGCATCTGTGGAATGCTGCATATCTTTGGCTCAGGGTGTGGCAGCCAAACTTGGACATACACACAGGTCCACATGCTGGTTTTATGTGAGTGGTTTCAATAAATGTTTTTGTGGTGTTTGCTTGGAATTGTATGGAAAAATCGCAATCAAATATATGGCGATATAATTGGTATTAGTATTGGTTGATAAATGATGTTTGGTTCATGACTGGTTCGGGGGTTGTACGTCCCCATATACTGGCGATTGACATAATCCATGAACTGACTATCCCGTTCTTAACCATCCAGGATTAAATGAACGACAGAGAGTTTTAAACTCAGTTCTCTCGTGTTACACTTGCTCAGATTTGTTTCATTCTTGGAAAAATTGATGCCGTATGTGTCAAGATACAGCTTGGTAGAAACATTGTCCTCACAACTCAGCAGTCTTGACAGCTTCACGATTTTTCGTGATATAGTCTCTGACAATGTTTGGTGACTATGTGTTTTTGGCTTAAGATAAGATAAGATGCCTAGAAGCATTAGCCTAAACAAATGTAATAAAGTATCCCATAAGAAAACGGCTTGGAAGATGCACAAAAATGGACCACGGCGACTTCGGGGGATCAACCGTTATGCTGATTGCAGGGTCTTTCGTGGACAGTGAACATGGCGTTGGTTTGATTGTTGCTACACATTGGTTTAGTAATTACCTATGTGAAGGAGAGCATATATGTATATAATTACTATTGCCATTAGTTGCAAATGTTCTGTATCATTTTTGCTGATAATTATATCGAATGCCATGTTTGATTAGTTTCCACAATCCTCCGTTGGTTCTCCTCATCATAGTTATATACTCAGGATATCAGGATTCCCAAATCATTGTTTTACAATTAAATAAAGCCAACACTATATATATATTATATATATTTTTAAATATTACTCATGATATGCTTAATTATGTTAGTTATACGATGACTCTTTAACTCATAGAATCGTAAATCATATTAGTTGTATCTTAATCAGTTTAATCATTAACCTATTAATCATCAACCTCATGTTCACATCATTAAACAATAGTAACATCATTAATCAGTAATCAGTAATCATTAACATTAGTCACATAAGTGTTATTGATTGATACATTGCCATTGTTAATGAATTATAAATGGCAAATTATATTAAATTGCCATTGTTAATTGTTGATAAACAGTTATAAACTCCATAAGTATGTCACAATTCCCAGCAGCACCAGGCCGCTACGGCCTATGCTGACAGCGTCACCTTCCTCCGGAAGACGGTGCTGGACGCGGACGAACAGGTGCCAAAAACGTCACTGGGAGGTGTTTTTTTTTTGGGGGGGGGAAGGGGGGTTGTGGAGCTTTACTGGGTCTTTGGGCATCATTATGGCGATATAATTTATATATATATATATATAGGTAGAGATAGATAGAAAAAAGATCGACAGACAGATGAATAGATAGATGAATAGGTAGATTGATAGATAGACAAATATAAATAGATATATAGATAAATATTTATACATATATATGGTACCACCCCCCTTGAAACCTACCTTTTTGACATGTTCATCAGATGGTTGGGCCAAAAGGGAGTTACCTTACATACACGGTAAGGATTTCATTTGTACATATATATATATTCTAATAGTGTAAAATAAGCATGCTATTATAAGCATGCTATTAAGACTGATTGAACTTAACTTCAATGATAGCATTCTGGATAGAATGCATTCAGAATGCATTCTCTGCTAAAACCAAGAACTAAGATTCCCCCAGGACTCCTGAACAAATCTTAGAACCCCGAACCAAAACCAAGGACCAAGAACTAAGATGCCCCCCAGGACTCCTGAAGAAACCTTAGAATTTCCGAACCAAAACCAAGAACCAAGAACTAAGATTCCCCCCAGACTCCTGAGCAAATCTTAGTTCTTGGTTCTTGGTTTTAAATCTAAGATTCCCTAAAGACTCCTGAGCAAATCTTAGTTTTTGGTTCTTGGTTTCAAGTCTAAGATTCCCCAAGGACTCTTGAGCAAATCTTAGTTCTTAGATCTTAGATTAGGGAAACAATGCATTCTGAATGCATTCCTGTGGAAATGCATCCATCTTGTTTTCCCCAAGCCTGAAAAATAAATGAACACACTGTGCCAAAGCAATGTTGCATTATCTTGAAGGAATGCCCCACCATGTTTAAGGAATGTATCACTCTTGTCAATGGAAAAATGCCAAAAAGTAATGCTACGCTACAACTCTTTTCGAACTAGATTATTGTTTCCAGTGAATACTGCATAGACTAAGAAAGCTTTCTTATTGAAGTAATGCTGTGCCCTTTCAAGTCACTTTTCTTCAGAAGCGGCACTGTCAATCTCACAAAGGTAGCATTTGCGATGTTTTTGTTTAAGCAAAGATGGCTCACATTTGTTCATTTCAAGTATACACAATTACTGTACTGCCAAACCATTAGGGCATACGGACTCTAAAAGCACAATGTAGCAGTACCTGTGCCACATGTGCAGCATGTTCTTTTAAACATCCAACTTGTTTTTCAACAAGAATAGTGTCAATTAGAGAAAAACATGTATGTTCTTGAAAGTAATGGCTACATTTCTGAAGATAGTCTTATTTGATTTCAAGAGATACTGTATTTGATTGGAAGATGCCTTGTATGTTGCAGGGACTGTTTGTGCAACGTGTTTCTTCATTCCAGAAGTATTGTACTTAGTACGTTATGAAATTGGTTTGTGAATTAAGAATGCATATTTACATGTTGGAAAAACACTGATTGATCAAAATGAAGAGATATATTTTCAAGAGAAGTGGTTTCCTGCAAAGGAATGCTACCTATTGAAAAGGAATATTCATTTTGCTTAAGGAATGCTACACCCTTTGAATGAACGTGTTTGTTTGTAAAGCCTGCTCTTGCCACTTAGAATTGGTTGAATTGGTTCTTCAAGAGAAGGATGCGTGTTTGATCGTCTCTTGTAGTCATCTACATGTTTTCACTGCCTTTTTCAGGTTTGGGGAAAGGACCCAAAATTGAATGATCTGTTTCTGGGTTGAATCACTACTGAAGGGAAACTTTGCAGAGAGGTTGAGGTACTTGGAGGTACGTAAATTATACTTAAGACATAGTTTGGAAGGGGTACAAACTAAGAGGTCCTAGGACCTAAGACCCACACATCATCCAAAGTATTGAGCCACTGCAGTAGTACAGCAAGAGAGAAGCTACATAGAAAGGAAAAAAAGGCCGAAGAAATATCTACCGTATTGATCATCAAATAATATGTCTGCCAGATCTGAAGGTGTCCATAATTCAAAATTCATGTGTCACAAGAAGGAACAAAACAGTGTAAAAACTCATGTAAAGACTTAAAATTGACGTTTGGCCACAGCGCCGTGCGCATTCTGTCTATGTTTGAATTGAAACCCTTTGTTGGGAGCACAATATGGCAGTCGAAAACGCTGCAAATACCATCAATCAAAATATGTCACTGTATCTATTTACACATGAAACATCATAACTCATCATGTTCAAGCATCCAAAGTCTTCAAATAAATGAAAAAATGGTTGCTTTCGAAGGCAAAACAAACAAAAATCACTGTAAAACACAATAAACAATCGAAACCGGTAGGTTTCAGGCGGGGGCGGTTAGCATATATATATATTATAGATCAGCGACAGCTGGTTAGCCAATACATTCAGAATTATTGTAACCCATGAAGTTGGAATGCCGCTCTTAACTAGCCAAGCGTAGATGGAATGACGGAGGGTGTTTTGCTGGTTTATCTAGGATCAAGCTGACGATATTTTCATTGAGAATGGTATTCATCATGAACTTATCATTTTTAATTTGGTGATTAAAAAACAACCGTTGTCCAGTATACAACATCTTCGCCACTGTTTTCAACACTGCTCACATTAAAATTCAACGCTGCTCAGAATGTGGGTGAAAATACTTCAGTCCAAGTGATTTTGATTGCTTGATCGTACTGCTGTACCAACCTGGAGGCCAATGCTGGAAACCAACATGGTATCAAGGACAAGGACAATCCATTTGTATAGGTATGGTGTTTGATCATATGTATTTGATCCAATTGTCCTGGTATCATGGTGGTTGTACCAATTTTGATCGTTTTCATGAACGACCTGGAGGTTCAATCCATTTTCATGTTACTTTTCACGCGCACTTCATGCATCATTTTGCGTCCCAGTATTTCTCTTTGCTGTTGGTTGTTTTGTAAGTCGTTTTGCCAAGGTGTTCTCGGTGTCACCGGCCAATTAAGCCAATTCCCCATTGTTGGGCAAATAATTACCTTCTGGTAAACTAACATAACTATGGAAAATCACGATTTTTAATGGGTAAATCAACTATAAATGGCCATTTTCAATAGCTTACCAGAGGGTACCAATAATTCTCATCCAAGTTTCTGAAACCAACATGTTTCCTTTAGTTTGTGCTTCCGTACCCATTTCAGTTAGCTACCGGAAATCAAACATGGCAATGGAAAATCAACTGTAAATTGGCATGTCAATGGAAAAATCATCGAACTAAAACTTTTAACATTGAAAACTAAATGGTAGAATTTCCGGCAAACCATGTTTGATTGCCGGAGGGTACAACTATGGTCTAATAAAACACATCCCGAACATAATCCTATAGCAACGGTTATATACAAAATATATACATACATTATATATATATGTATTATATTTATTTAATATCCACTTGGTCACTCGAACTGCACCAGTAAATCCTTTGAAATAATTCCCAGTCCATGTGCTTGAAATTACAACAATTAAAGTCACTATGATTTTTTATTGTTCCTATGTTGTATCTATAATATCCCAAGGTGCTCAACCTCCAAATCTTCTCGCCATCCCCAGTGAGGCCTTGTGGCCCGAGGAGGGCTCCAAAGGTAGTGCCGAAGAGATTAAAGATGCAGCCAAAGCGCTGCAGCTGGCCGTAGCTGGCCCGAGACGTTGGGTGGTTGTTATATCTATGGTGAAAAAATGTGAAAAAAAAACATCAAAAAATAGATGTAGGAGATTTATACTATTTATATCAATCTATGGTGTTATATCTACGTATTGAAATATCAATCCCCCAAAAAATGATTTAGAAGCTTTAGAAACCATGGTGGATGTGATTCAAAAACTGAAATATCTATCCATTGGGAGAGAGCGGTGAAGTTCCTGAAGTTTTAATGGGGGATCCCCAATTTATGGATGGTTTTAATGGACAGTCCGAAAATAAAAAGTGGGGGATTTGGGGGTCCACCCTGACTGCGAAAAGAGCCATATATATATATACATATATGGTTATGTGATGTGAATATCATGGGAATAGGAGAGGGGAGAGAGAGATATAATATATATATATATATAAAGTTTATCAATGGTTCAATAGCCAATGTTCAAAACCCCTGTGGATTGAAGATCATATGTGGATTTTGTTGTGCAATATTTTGGGGATGATCACAATCCATCAACGGGGAACCCCATTTTGAACCAACCAGTCTTTGAAGGAACGACACAGGGTTTAGGTCACACTGCACACCTGTTTTTGGGCTAAACTTCTGGAAGAAACTGAGGTTTCATCCCCCAAATATGTAGTAAAGCAATTTTAATCTGGTTGGTGGTTTCAAACATTTTTTATTTTCCATAATATATGGGATAATCCTTCCCAATGACTTTCATATATTTCAAGATGGTTAAAACCACCAACCAGTAATTATATGGAATCTATGTTCTGATGAAAGAACCACAAATGTAATTCAGTAAGAAGATTTCGTTGAGGTGTCATCAGCAAGACGGTTCAGCGGTTCACCAGCAAACATGGTGATCAAATCTCAACAACCATGGGACTTTCACCAACAAAAAGCTGGACATCGACATGATTTTACCAATTTCACCATGAAATACCCTCTGGTAAACGTTCACATAGCGAACTGGAAAATCACCATCTTCAATAGGAAAATCAACTATAAATGGGCCATGTTCAATAGCTATGTAACAAATTTCCAGAGGGTATGGGGTTTTGAGCATCAAGAACATCAAACGGAGCTAGACTAGTTTGGTGGTTTCAATTCTGTGGAAGTACCATTACTTGACCAGACTTGACCCCGTGAGAGCCCGTTGGAAATGGGATCTGTAAATTGGTCATGTCTAAGTCTTTTTCATACTTAGTATAGCATCTATATCGTGTACATATATAATTACTGTACATATATATAATTATATATATATAATATATATATATATTATTATATATCATGATAGTAGTTGGTACATTACTACTGGTTCTTGATGATATAAGAATGGCAATTAGCTATCCAATCTTGGTCCATGCCTAACTAGTCATCAACCCAATGATAGAACAATGAGACAAGTATTGGTATATTTGGATTGGTGCAGCGTGCCGAAATGTGGATTCCAAGTGTGAAGTTATTTGCAGCGGCAACCCACATCATTCCCCAAAAAATATCTCAACGGTACAATGGCAGTAGTCTCCCAGATAGTTGAAAACACAATGTTTCCTAGTTTGATAGTAAATCAGCACTTGTTCCCATCCAGTTGAATAGTGTTAATAGACTGTCTGAAAATATTTCATGGGTTTTGGTCTTGTAGCTTAGTTCCGGACAGTCCCACCATGATCTCCGGATTATTTCCCATTGCATTCCCTTCATATCTCAGCGACATCCCCATCATATTCACAACATGTTCTTGCCATTCAAACATCATAATGTCATACATCATCTGTAAAAAAAAGTACTATACCATTCATTATTCATAACCCTTAACATACCCTATTCATACATAAGCTTGGTATATATACCGATACCCTTAATATACCATCGTCTCCCTGGGCCCTGAGGTCAAAGCGGCCGAGGTCCGAGACTCGTTGGCCTGAGGCGGTCGGTTGGTGTTTTTCTTCCTAGGTCTAGTCCAACAATAGAAATGATATAGAAATGATAGATCATTATTGAGATATTCCATGATATTCCATGATATTCCATGATATTCCATGATATTCCATGATATTCCATGATATTCCATAATCTCGTATACATTATCTCTGGGTAAATTATAACGACCTCACTGTGACCTCACTATAATCATTAGTAAGGGCAATCATCCCAAAATGGCCGCAAGATTCAGGTGAGTGAATTATTATAATTTACCCAGATAGATGAAAATGCTGAAGAATATTTGAAATATTAGGTGTAGATAGGTGTAGATGATAGATTGACATGGCAGCCCACAGATTTACATGGTAATAATTAATAAATCATGGATATCTTCAACAATAATATAAATATTTACAAATAATAGATCTACTTACAATCAGATCTATTTATAAATATTTACAATAATATAAATCATAGATCTATCAACAATAGATTTCTTCTCAATGGTGAACATCTATCCGATCTATCCACTGGAAAGAGCGGTGAGCCGAGCGATGGCATCCAGTTCTTCACTACTTGGCTCACTACTTGGGGAGCCAGTTGGAGCTACGACACCTGAGTTTCCCAACTACGATTGATGGTTACAATACCCATATGCTACATGTATGGTATATTTATCTACATTTGCCCTAATAATCACCCAAAAGTAGGTAAATATACCATACATGGAGCATATGGGATATGAAATCAATAAAAATATCAATCAGTTGTTTGTTGATCAAGGAGTGTTTTCTTGTAAAAAAGTAAGATGAGCAGCGTTCCCCCTGGGGATTGTCATCTGGCCGCCCATTCATCCCCAGTTTTAGCAGCAGAAACAGGTGGGAGAAACCATACCCAATGAGAGGTCTATGATTGAGTTTACCCGCTGTATGTATGTATGTATGTATGTATGTATGTATGTATGTTATGTAGTTATGTATGTTATGTAGTTATGTATGTTATGTATGTTATGTATGTATGTTATGTATGTATGTTATGTATGTATGGTATGTATGTATGGTATGTATGTATGGTATGTATGTATGGTATGTATGTATGTATGGTATGTATGTATGTATGGTATGTATGTATGTATGTATGTATGGGCCATGTATGTATGTATGTATGTATGCTATGTATGTATGTTATGTATGTATGTTATGTATGTCAAAACGACAGCTGAACATGAAAGATTGTGTACCGCCGGCAGACTTAAGCTTGTCCTTCACATCGGAAATCAGGCAGGTTGAAGCTGCTTTGACATCAGGAAGCTACCTGCCAGATATGGTTAAGATACCACGGAAATCTACATATGTTTCCGTAGCTGTGGTTGAGTCCCCCCCCATTCTAACAGTGTTTTTATATGTTTTTTATCACACAAATGTCACTACGCCCAGGTGACATTGCCCAAGTTGAAGATCCTGAATTTAACCAACAACACAGCGAGCCTCGCCCTGCGGCTTGGGAACGTTGGGATTGTTTGGGCCATTTCGGCACTGAGCTCACGGGAATTCCAGATTTTTTCCGATCGCCATATCAATATCTTTACTGCTTGGTGGTGACTGGAACCATGGAATTTTTATGACTTTCCATTAATATTGGGAACAAGAATCCCATGTGACGAACTCATGTTTTTCAGAGGGGTAGGTTGAAACCACCAACCAGACTGTGATAGACTGTGTTTAGAAATTCCCGTTGTTTTTTTTTAGCCCAGAATCCTCCGGTTGAACCAGGACGAGCATCGGCGTGCGATGTGTGGCCGATGCCTTACAAGCCAACAATGTCCTTGAAGCTTGGCTGAGAAATCAGGCTCCGGGTAAACAGCCGCAAAACATACGTATAGAAATTCCATAGGGAGTTCACCAAATATGGGGATGATTGAGATGATTGATACAATGTGAGGCCCCCGTTCGATAGCGCTCAGTTGGTGCCGATAACTCCAATAACTATGGTTTATGGTACGCAAATAACTATAGTTACTGGGGCGAATCTAAACCAACTTATAACTGGGGGGCCTCACATTGTATGATTGAACATGAAAAAAATGTGGTGGTTTCAAACATGTTTTGTCAAACATGATTTCCACGCATGATTTCGAAGCATGGTTGCCATGATGATCCTCGATGACGTATTGTTTGGGATGGATTGAAACCACCATTCGGACAAAAAGTTTGGGGCAAAAAGTCCAACCAGCAAACATGGGGGTTACAGCTTAAAGGCTTAAAGCAGATTTCGAATCAGTTGATTGTAATCGAGCCGAAAAACTTATAATTATAATATATATATATATACCTAAACTCGTAGACTGCCTACACCTGCAACTATGCCAACAAAAATTGTAAATTGACTAGAACTATTGGGTAAAACGCCATTCCTATAGATACTTGGAGGGTCTAGGTAAACATAATATTATAATATTATCGTTTACAAATATTTTATATATAATAGCATGTGCGTAATTTGCAGCCACTTAGAAAATCACCAGTCAAATCGTCAGGCTTGGCTTTGAGCCCCTTTGAGCTGTGGCTTGGGTGTTGTGTCAACTTAAAAGTCATTCACTGTTTGGCCTTTCGTGCTTCATTCGTGACTACTTGTCCTATTTTTTCCCTAGTCTTGCTGCTGCTGTTGCTGCTGCAGCTGTTGTTGTTGTTGTTGTTGTTGTTCCCGTTTGCGATGTCGGTTCTAACCGGAAGTCTTGCTGAGATCGCCCTCACTCTTTAGGGAACGGTTTGCGCGGCTGTGCGGCAGCCTAAAACCATTCGGGACGGTCAAAATTTAGGACTCAGAGGACCACACTTATTGTATTTTCATATATATGAACCATCATTTTCTGGGGTACCCATTTTCGACCCGTACCAACGTATTTGTATATATAATTATAATATTATAAATATGTATATATATATATATATACACACATGTTTTATTGCCTGTGTATTTGAACCAAACATGGGCTTGTGGCCATCAAAAATCGTTTGAAACAATTCGAGTACTGCAGAGATGTTTGCAAATCAAAAACAGTTGCCGAAAATCCATCTTTAACATTACCCATGACGGATCCATGGATGGTATATATGCTAACATAAAGGGGGTATATTGATGGTAAATGTTACCATATATAGCATACATGGATCCTATGGGTTATTTAACCACCATTTTGTTCTTTTTCCCAGTTCCACTGCCGAATCCCACTGCGACCCGGATCCTGAGGAGAGGCTCTCGCTGGACCATTGTGACTAACTGCCACGGCTGGTGGTCTGGGGAAACCAATTTCAGTAAGATCCAAATATGTGGTTGTCCTATTTTCAAGCTTTTTAAAATGGGATGATCCCCCTTGACTAATGATTACTAATGATTACTAATGATTACTATAGTTGTTTCTGGGGGATTAAAACCACCACCAGATGATGGTGCAATTTTGTGATTTCGAAATGCTCATTTTCCCCGATGGAACGTCATGGCACATTGTGATTTCGTGTATTCGGAGGATTGGAGCCGTGCAATGATGAACCACCCACGATAATTGCAGCTATGTTAGCTTCAATGGATATTACTACAAAGTGGGGCCCAATATAGTTAAGTTGGTTTATAACTACAATAACTAAGGTTTGTGTATCTAGAGTTTGCGGGGGATATATATATATACAGTACATAGTTAGATGGTGTTATATTCAAGTTTCAGTGGATATGCCTAGCCAAGATGCTCAACCACGTCCCGGAAATTGCGCTGACACGACGTGATTGGCAGGTCTTCCTTTGTAGTCAGGTGCACCTCAATGCTTTGAGTGAGGCAAAAGGATCCAACTGACATCTGTTTGAAAGCCAAAGTGACGACTGGGGTACCCTCTGGTAATTTAACATAGCAATGGAAAATCACCATTTTTCATGGGGAAATTCACTATAAATGGTGATTTTCAATAGCTATGTTAAATTACCAGAGGGTACCCCAAGTCACTTTGGCTTTCAATACTAAGCCATCTTCTGACTTGGATGATTGGTAGCCCTGGTAGCCCGAGTCCCCAACTTGGAGTCGACATCGATGATATTCTCCCCGGATCTGGAATGACTCACATTGCTTTAGCTATCTAATGCCCATGACGGATCCGGCTGGTGCTGGTTTTTCTATGCTAACATGACTGGGGGTATATTGATGGGATCCATGATACCATATATAGCAGCACCATGGATCCGTCATGGGATGTTATATCATTTTGTGAATAGCCCATTCCATCATTCCATCCACAACTCATTGAAAAATTGACATGTCCCCTCGAAAAAAAATGAGAGTTTGTACGGTACCAGGTCGGTAAGTCCAGGTAACGCCCTTAAAGAGAGGATAGAACAGTGATCTACCACTCTTGCCGACAACTTGCCGAACTGTTTTTTTTTAAACATATGTTCTTCAAACATGTTCATCTTCATACACCCATGACGGATCCATGGTGCTGCTATATATGGTGCTCCATGGATCCCATCAATATACCCCCAGTCATGTTAGCATAGAAAGACCAGCACCAGCCGGATCCGTCATGGGACATATCTTGCCAAATTGTTTCAAATGTTCTACCCTCTGGCAAACTAACATAGCTATGGAAAATCACCATGCTATTAATGGGAAAATCCACGAACTAATTGGCCATTTTCAATAGCTACGTTAAATTACCAGAGGGTACTCCATTTCTTTGGGAAGTGGCTGTAAAACCCCATGGGTTTTATCTTCCGCAAAAAGCGCGATCCAAGGTGATCACCGAGACCCGGACAATGGCTGCTACTCGTTGATTGTGTCCTTACCCGTGAACTGCACTTTGAGGTGTGGCAACAGCAGTGCAGCCGCGGTGACAAACGCGGAAACGCCACGGGAATGCTGGTTGAATCCCAAAGAAAATCCCATGATTTCGAAGCGGGAGTGACGATAGCAGTGATAGCGCCAGGAAAAATTGGAAGATGGTCATCCATGGGAATTGGATTTAAGATGTTCAGTGGGAATGTTCATGTGTGACCATAACACCATCTTCCAAGTGACCTTAATAACATCCATGGGATTTTCATGTAAACCCAAGTGACATCAAGTGACTGTCAGTATGTTCTTGGATTTCAGATTGGATTTATGTATGTTCATGTGTCAAAGCCATTGAAGCATCGCAGTAACCCAGCTGGTGGAGCCATTTACCATCAACTCGAAGTAGGTTTTACCAGGTGATCCCCACGATGATGCAGGACATTTTGACCGGCTCCAGTCGCAAGAAGCGTTGCTCTTTAGCGTATCTACAAGGTAGACTTCCTATTTCTCATAAATTTTGTACTAAAAAAATGGGATTTAAAAAAAAAAACTATGTTCATGGGTACTTGGGTCTATGGTTGCGCTTGCTCTAGATCTCCATTGTGTCTCTGAAGCAACTGAACCAGCTGAAGCGACACGTGCTCATCTTGTAGCAAGCCGTAGATCGAAAACCGGACACCTGAAATTATGGGAACGCATCATCGAAGTAGCATCCTGGCAACAGTGTTCGGCATATTTTAGATTCTTTAACACCTTTATTTGGGGATTAAAATCGGATTACTCGCATCATTCACTGCAGATTTTTGCAGTTTTCATAGTTTTCATCTGACCTTTCCATCGATTTCCAGCAGTTTTTTATGAGTTTTTGCTGCCGTGGTGCAGGCATTTGGGCTTGAGCTATGCCTTGTTGGGCTCCAACGGATTGATTCATTTGGCCAAGGTCGTTGCCACCAATGAGGCCATGGTATCAGTTGAACATGCGCACCATGATCATGGTATGTTTGCGCAGTATTGTTGTACTAAAAATGATGATCTTAAGCTTGACATAAGTATCAACTAAGTATCATGTATGTTACTGACTAGTAAATCATGATTGTTAAAATTATGATGTTGTTACTTTCATACGAACATACTAACAATGAAGATCACAATGATGACAGTACCTGCTCCTATGTTATCACTATACTATTGTTGTTCGTATCTTCATCCCTGCTACCGAAAAAAGGTCTTAAATGATCGGACCAAAGTTGATTTCTGGATCAAAAATGATCATGAAAACCAACCTTTTTCTGGCTGATCATTCGTCCCATGGCCATGGTGCCGCAGGTGCTGTGCAGTTTGAACCTCTCCGGGAATCTGGTGGATGAAAAGTCCGCCTCAGCCTGGAAAATCACCCTATGCTCCTTGGCCGGGGGGGGAACCCGGGGGAACCCTTGGGGAACCCTTGGGGAACCTGGGGAGCTAAGGGAGGCTGCGCAGATGGTGGTGATTTATAATGGGGAGATGACCCGAAAATCATGGTCACAGCTGTCAGAGAAATCATGTTTCAAGCCCTTTCTTGTGCATGTCATGTCTTCTTAAATTGGGGGGCGCTAGGTTCTTGGCCAGGGACTCTCATGTTTCCTTTTCCATCCTTTTCAGGTTGTGGGGTTAAACCATATTTTTTACCCAATCACATCAGAGCCTTTTTTTCCGACCATGACTTCGTATTGAAGCCCATGGTGACTTGCGGATCCGACGCATTTTAAGGAACCCCCACTTGTGGTCCCACAGAACTATGCACCAAGCGTTTGGTGCGTTTGATGTCCAGCACCAATTCAGCATGAGGCGGCAATCGATCACTGAAAAGTTTAGGAATGGCTGCGTGCCATATCGATGAACCTTGGCAGCCTTGGCAGATGGACAGGATGATTTTTAGGGCCAATCCGATAGGATGTTCGGAAATCAGAATCATGTATAACTGTTGTTTGTTTTTTGGAAATGCGAATTGATTCTAGATTCCTAGATAGACTTTGACTTGGTTATAGTTTGTTTTATTTGATTTGACTGACTTTTAGTAACACTTCCACTTGACTTTCCTTCGGATGCTTAGGAGGGGCCCATAGGTTGGAATTTCAGTGACTTCAAACGGTGTTTTCTATGGAGGTTTCCATAGTCATGTGGGACCCCCAATTGCTTTATTTCATTGAAAATCCTATCAAAATAGATGATTCAGGGGTACCCCCAAATCATCCATTTTAATAGGATTTTCCATTATAAACCAGAAAATGTGGGTACCTCCATTTTAGGAAACCCCCATATCTGAATGGTTGGGCCGCATTTCTTGAAGATGTCATGAAATATCATCACCGTGTAATTTCCTGGACCCCTTTGCTTCCCACTGGAACAGAAAAAACACCAAGAAGATGAACATCACAAAGAACAGGGAAATACTCATCCACTACAGAATCATGTTCTTGTTAGAAAGAAATGATAGTCTTTGATGATATCCACTACAGAGAGGTTACCCATCCACCCTCGGGAGTTGGCGTACTTGGTTGGGACAGGGGTGATTTATGACAAAATGCGAACATAAAATATGTATTGTATGTGTACGATATTGGTTGTAAATATATAGTATTACAGAAACCCTCAAAATGATAGAAACATGAAACATTCTATACTAACCAAAAACTGTGATATTACGTGCTGATTGTTTTGGTGGTTTGCTATATATTTAATATGATATGTATATACATCGATGTTCAGACCCATCGAAAAGCACCGGACCTTCGCGGCGAAAGTCGTCACTCACTGGATCGCTTGGACGACTAGGACACTGCCGGGGTCATCTTAGCTGAAGGTATTGGTCAGAATCAAGGCCTGGATCAGCAAAGCTGGGACTTGATGGGAATTGGGCTGTCAAGGCCAGAATCCAATTCCCAAAATGGTGTTATGTTCAGATGGTTTTTTTCTGTTACATAATGAACAATTGGGGCTATAAGATATTATAAGATTTATAATATGCTACTTGTATAAGCAGCCAGCATGGGATCTTAAGTAAGGATTCAACCAACCAAGATGTTTGGTGTCAAAATGAACCGCCCAACATGGAGAAATGGCCTGGTATTGTTTTTGAAGGCTTGCAAAACCCCAAAACCCTTTGGTTTTCAAAAGTGTGGATACTTTCGTGTTACAATTATCATGAATGCTACTATTGTATTTGCAATTTTGAGGATGTAGCGATGTATACCCTTTAACCACCCAGAAAAATGGCAAACTGTTCTCCTTAAATCTGGGGTGTCCAATGATGTGATCTGTAGCTTTTGGTCTCCCAAGCAGAGCACGTTTTAAGCATGTGAAAAAGCTGCAACATAGCCATATACTAAACAGTACAGTAGCAGTTATCTTGCGCATAGCAGCAGTAACAACAGAAATCGTAGCAGTAGTACAAGTAGCAATTCCTGATTGGTGTAGCGGCCACTAGTAGAAGGTAGAAGCAGTGAAAAGCATAGTAGCAATCATAGTATCAATCAAAATAGTACTCACAACTCACAGACACAGAAGCAGCAATCAATGTATTTCCTGATGTAAACCATGCAGAGATGCTGCTTCCAGCTACGGGATTGTAGCTTAAACTACCAAGCATGTTTTTTTGTCATAGATCTTAATATGTAGCCTTTGTTTGATTGTTATACGCTCTACCAATAGACCAATATGTTTGATCCAATATTGATGATTGCTACAGGTTTGCATTGGAAAGCAATGGTTTGAGACTGATACTGAAAATCGCCGGTTTGTTGTGCGTCCATTGGTGGCATATGTTGATCCAAAAAAGTTCCCCATATTCATTGCTCAAAATTTGACGTGTTTTCCAGGTCTTTTTGACGTCTGGTTGGTGGTTTGGAACCATGGATTTTTAATGACTTTCCATTCAGTTGGGAATGTCATCATAAATTGGTGATAATCCCATTAACTATAGGTATATCACCTGTAAACCATAGTGAAATTGGACTTATTTTCCATAATATATTGGGAATGGAATAATCATCCCAACTGACGAAGTCCTATTTTTGAGAGGGGTAGGGCTCAACCACCAACTTCAGATGTGTTCTCCAGGTTTGGAGTCCCTTTCCCTGCGCGACAACGCCTTGCGCAATACCTGCGCGGAGGCCTTTGAGGAGGCCAACTGGGGGTAAACCAAGGGTTTCCCTTAAAAGATCTACAAGCGGGTTTTCCACATCTATATCTGGTTGGTGGGTTGGAACATTTTTGATTTTTCCATATATTGGGAACAATAATCCCAACTAATATTTTTCAGAGGAGTTGAAACCACCAACCAGATATTAGTTGACCCTAGCCCCAAAAAGATATAGATGATATATTTCATAGACAAGTTGGAAACTCAGAAATGATGGGTAGATATCATCTATACCATCCTGGAATGGAAATGCAGTTCTCTTGTTTTGGGCGTTATATAAGCCATTTAAGCAGCAAACACCGTTTTCGTCCAGCCAATGTCAGCAATAAATGGAAATGAACAAAGCACAAATTGAAAACACTACGCTTGGGTATCTTACAAATTGAAATGAACGTTTCACCTATATGTCCTTCGCAACCATGCCCAATTGACTAGGCAACAGAAAATGGATGGTTCACCAACAGAAATGGATAGAACTAGTAACCAGCTGAACCTGCAACGTGGCAAAGGGGAAATCCTCCATCAATGAATATATATATATATATACCCATATGCTCCATGTATGGTATATTTACCTACATTTGGGTGATTATTAGGGCAAATGTAGGTAAATATACCATACATGGAGCATATGGGTATATATATATATGTGAAAATGATCGAAGGATTCATGGGGGATTTTCCAGCAAGCCATGAAGCGGATGACAAGACCTTTTTCGTGATCAAACCATAAAAGGTACAGACCCCACAGAGGTCAAGCAACAAACACCATGTCAAGAAAGAAGGTCAAAAATGCAGACCGCATGAAAATTCCTCCAGGGATCATGGACATGACATGGGGACTTTTTCGGCAGGACTTTTTCGGCATCGTATTTTGTTGTCTCTGCAAGTCTGCAAGTCAAGGAATGCAATTTTTGAAAGACATTGTGAAATGAATTGCTGCACGTTTCCTTTGTGTTCTTAGATGGGTTTCCCAGCATGCGCTTCCCCACAATGGATGCTACAGTTGTTCCAAGCGGTGACACTGGTTACAAAGCAGCATTTTTCACCAATCACTTCACCCTTTTCGAGACATTTCTTTCACTGTTGGATTTTTTTGCTAATATCATTGCGTTCTGTCGCGTCAAAGCAGCTGCGACATGTTAAGAGTGTGTGTGTGTGTTGATATTTTGTATGTCAGCAAAATGAGACAGTTAAAAATAGATTGCTCTCTCAAGTTGTGGGTATGTTACGCAACTGGACAACACACTTGAACGCTATGAGCTTTCTCAATCAGCAAGTATCTGAAACCCATAGTGATCTATACAAGTATAAAGACCACCTCAGCAAAGCGGTGAGTATTTTTTTCTTTTTGGGTCGCATATTTTTCAGCAGGTGGTTTTTTTTTGGATGATGCTATAAAATCACGGGCTACAGGTCCAATCCATGTTGTCCAAGTGTGGATCGTTGTAGGGGAATTTCGGAGGGTTTGGGACTAGCAGCGGTCGCTGGTTGCTGCTTTGTTTCTTTCCAAGAGCCTCAAACAGACTCAAACATTGAAACCCTCTGGTAATTTGTTACATAGCTATTGAAAATGACCATTTAGTTTGTTGATTTTCCCATTAAAGATGGTGATTTTCCATAGCTTTTTGTTAGTTTACCAGAGGGTATCCTAAACATGACTAGCCTGTCTGGGAGTGATGCCCTTCCTCTATCTTTTGTGAGGCTCCTCCTTGTTCCCTTGCCGTGCAAGGCATTGCTGCAGAATGGTCACCTCGTTCAGCTGAATCTGGAACTGAACAGCCGCTCGGGTAGCCGTTAAACTGGACCGATGACTTGGGTTCCAGCAAGTCATGTCGCAACCATGAAATGTTGAATGGATACCCTCTGGTAAACATACAAAAAGCTATTGAAAATGGCCATTTATAGTGGATTTTCCCATTAAAAATGGTACATAACTATGGAAAATCACCATTTTTAATGGGAAAACTCACTATAAATCACCATTTTCAATAGCTATGTTAGTCATTACCAGAGGGTAATTGGGGCAAACCACTGAAGCAAGTTGCAACCATCATCAACCATCTGGCTTCAAAACTTATTCAGCACAAACATGTATCAACGAACGTATGAACTTCATGAACGTTTGGATGAACATCCAGTCAGCTATATAATTGGTGCATGCCAGGCTACCGGGGGATTTGATGTTGGAGTACAGCTGTGCTGTGCACCAAGTAGATATTGTTGGTATCTTTTATCATCATTGGATCCCAATTGCAGTCTTGAAATGTTCATTGTGTTTTTTTCTCGCATGAGGTCATTGTCACGTAAAGCTCTGGTGACCATGGTGGTTGGCTCATTTTGCAGCAAGGAATCTGTTTGTTTGAAACAACCATATCTACCAGTTGGAATCGATGTTTGTTTCCAAATGGTTCCCAACTTGAAACCTCCAAAAAACAGAAGATATGTCACACTTGGCTACCTGTATAGCTTAAAAACATATTTTATCCTAGTGATTTCAGTTCCAGACAAAACAACCCAAAGCATGGCCATATTAAACGGTCTTGGGGCAATGCTTTCCATCCCTTTTTTTGGCTGCTGTGTGTTCGATACATGTTATTGACATTTGGTGAAATAGACGCCTAATAGAAATGTGTTTAGTGTATAGATATAGATGTGGTAATTGAAAAACGATGAAACAGGGCCGATATATTATATTATATTATATTATACTATACTATATTATATTCTATTCTATTATATTATATTATATTATATTATATTATATATATATTATATTGTATATTATGTATAATAGATTTATATTTATATGTATGTTTATTTGTTATTTGTATTGTATCTATTATTTGTTGTTTATTATCTCTTAAATGATATACATATAGTACGAAATATATATGTATAATTTAATATATTATAGTATGTCATTTGTCACACATGTATTAAACATATATACTGTAAATATTAAAGAAATAGATGTGGTTCCTTTCTGCTTTTGTAGTGTCAAGTTCGCCGAGGCATCCATTTGCGTGTCCTGTCGAAGATCAAGCAGTTGGTGCCATCGGGCAGCCAGGAATAGTTGGTACATCAATGGTCATGAGTACAGTATTCCTGATTAAAAATGATTCAATACAGTATACCATTAAAAATCAGCCAATTTAATACAGTATCCCATCTAAAGACCATTGGCTGATTTTTAATGGCTTTTTTCTTAGTTTAGCCATTGTTTAAATCATTTACCAGCCAATGGTCTTTAGATAATGATTAGTAATAATGGGATATTCATGGCTGATTTAATTGGATTATCACTTATTGATTCATTGATAATGGGATTATTAAATCCAAAAAAATCTTAAGTGATAATGGCCTATAATTAACGGCTATTCTATATAAATATCATTGGTAATATTGGGGGACCATCATTAATGGGATTTGATGATTAAGTGATTTCATTCGACCATCACTTATTGATTCAAACCTGTGACCTGGCCATGGAGGTTTTAGGTGGCAAAATCAGAAGTTTTAAGCGGAGGAAAACCCACTTAAATAGATATAACAGGTTTGATTTATCTCTATTTTAGTGGGAATCTATACGAATTAAGTTAACTTATATTTTTCATTTTTTTTGTGGTATTACATTATGGGTTGTACATGGCCACCAACAGTGACTGTTCTGCTGGTGGAGGCGTTGTCCATGCGGTGTCATCAGACATGGTTTGCTGGAAATTCCACCATTTCGAGATGGGAAAACCCAATACAACTTCCATTTAGAGGGATTTTCCATTGCCACGTTTGATTGCTGGAGGGTATTTGCCAGCCAGTTTTAGCTGTTTCCAATTTTGACCTTTCAAAAAATCCAAGATGACACGAATCCAAATTTTGTGGGGCAGCACAATTCTGGTGAACATGTGTCGATGCAGCTTACAGAAATCCCATGGACCAAAAAAATGTGGATGTAGCGATCATAGATTTGGGTGACTTGGAAAAAGTTCAAAAATGATCATACATATCTATATAATATAAGATTATCTATATACTATAAGATTATCTATATAATATAAGATTATATATAATATAAGATTATATACATATATACGTGTAGAGCATCAAGGGATACTGGTTACCACATGTTACCCGCAAGTCCCCAAACACAGGCTTGGGATGGCTTGGGCATAGGTCGAAAACATGAACTTTGCGGTGGTTTTGAAGTAGCCATCAGACCTTCCGATTGCCTAACTGAAAGCCTCGTAAAGGTTTTATTCAACCCTGAGAACATGTGTGATTTTCAAACCTTGCTGATTTTATGGCCATCACATTTGTCCATACCCTAGTCCATCCTATTTCCACCTTAACCATCATTGATGAATTTAAATCACCATGGAATCACCATTGAATCACCATGAAATCACCATTAAATCACCATTAAACTACCACTAAATCACCATTAAATCACCACTAAATCACCATTAAGTCACCATGAATCACCATTGATCACCATTGAATCACCATTGAATCACCAGTCGCCATCAAACCATTGACTCACCCTTTCCCACTCTCCAGTTGGATCGCAACAACAAGATTCGCGACAAAGGTTTGCCGGATCGCTACCGACGCTCGGTGTTTTCATCCCAAACTTGTCATCTGAAATGGGTACCCGGAACCGGCGAAATAGCCACTTGAAATTTTAATCCGGAAAAAAATAATATGATTATATATAAAACTGGTTGGTGGTTTGGAACATTTTTTATGTTTCCATATATTGAGAATAGTCATCCCAACCGACTTTCACATTTTTTCAGAGGGGGTGAAACCACCAACCAGAAAATGTGGGGCGGCGTATTTTCAGACAAATTTCAATGGCAAGTAAAAGCAGATGAACAGGAGAGCAGGAAGATGCAGGAAGCACAAGCAGCAAAACTCGGTGTGAACCAAAAAGAAAGGTGGGTTCGATTTGTTCCACTTGGTTTGCATCAACAACGGCCGTCTATGTCAAAGAAACAGCAGGTGGAAGAGATCGGAAGTGCTACAGGACAGGAGATGTTTAGCAAAAAACAACGCGTTTATTTAAAGGTACTGTATACCCTCTGGTAATTTAACATAGCTATGGAAAATCACCATTTTTAATGGGAAAATCCACTATAAATGGCCATTTTCAATAGCTATGTTAGTTTACCAGAGGGTAAACATCGCACACTTGTCTTCACCAATGTAGAGAGTATTGACAACATGCAGAGACATGGCAAGACGGGAGATTTGAGGAGAGAGGATGCGACATGGGACATGGGGATACTTTACCAATAGCATAGGTTGATGTTAAATGGGACCTGTTCAATGTGCGCAGGGTTATGTGTTTACCTCACCCTGTGTTATATATATATAATGTTATATAAACGACGCTTTCGCTGTGTCCACACCATGGGAATCTTATCCTTGACCTCAAGAGGCAGCTAAAGGTCAACCCAATGGCACCCATAAAGCGCCAGCACTCCTGACTTGTCCTTAAAAGCTGCACAGCAAAAAATGGTGCACACTCACACTAGCTACGTATATAGTGACGGACAATCACTTAGAACGTATTTTGGAAAAAACTTTCTGTTTTTTTTTATGCTTATTGGACGTTCTAAGTGATGAATCGTCTACGTTCTAAGCCTTACACTTCGAACGTCCAAATATCAAGATTCATCACTTAGAACGTACCGGGGAATTTAACACTTAGAACGTGTCTAGGTCAATGATGATAGTGGAAAGGCTTGTGAAATCTTTTATCTCTAAGTGTTGGATTCAGCAGCTAATTCCGTAGGAAACATAGACATAATTTCGTACCATTTGGCTTTTCCCTCCCATATGATTTGCAAATATTGGCGATCTTTTATCTCTGGAACAGTATACCCTTTGGTGCTTTTTGGGGGTTCTGATGTTCGAAGTGTTGGATTCAGCAGCTAATTCCGTAGGAAACATAGAAATAATTTCGTACCCTTTGGCTTTTCCCTCACAAATGATTTGCAAATATTGGCTATGAGGGAATTTTCGGGAATGATCCACTGGCAAAACTATCAATAATCATCCCAGCAACCCCCAGCAACCCATCCAGCAACCCTACGTAAAACGCACCAGTAAGTACCTTACAATATCCGAAGTGCCAGGTAAATCCCCATGATTTTCCCAACAAATAGCCAAGGAACACGCATCGCGGAGCTGACGGAGTGTCAGCCTGGGGGCTAAGCGGGAGCCATGAAGGAAATACCTCTGTTGGTGGTTGAAGTTCCTGGGGTTTAGCCAGTACAACTGGCTTATTGCGGATAAAATCTGATCACCCAGAAATACCATAAAATACCCAGAATATGATAAGATGGTTGCTAGCCGACCAGTAGAATTGGATGGGATAGAGGTATATACGGGCTAAAGCTGGGATATGTAATATATATATATATATATAATATTATATAATATGGATATGTCATACTATAACTGGGTGAACTAAGATGCTTCTCATCCACTTAGCTGGGTTAGCTCAAGGTGATTTTGTGATGTTTCTAGTCCATTGGAAACCCACCGGGGAATCCATGCAGCAACTCCAAGGAATGCTCGAAAAAAGAGGTCGGCAATCAGTAAAATGGATCAGATATCAAATGTGGGATCAGATTAGGAACTGCGTTAATAAGCATAGCTTGATTTAAGTTGGGTGATATCCCAACTTATTGAGGTAATTAAACCATATTAAACCATAGTTACACCATGAAATAATCCTAACTGCACCTCCAAGCGCTGTCAACAACTAGCACCAAGTACTAGACCCAAGTGCTGTAGCCCTCGGCATCTCGGCATAGTCGTCTCCCATAGTATTCCAGGTATCACTACAGGATGTACTTCCAAATTGGAACAACTCCAATCTGGGGGAGCCGCAAATAAAAGATCCATAGATCCGGCACTTTTGATCTCATCACTTGGGATGGATGGGAGCCAACCCAGGGCCCATGTCATTGTTGGTCACTCTATATAAAGATTACAGCCAGCACCAAAATCTCTTGTGAAAGATATGGTTTTATCCTTAAAATTGGCGGAGATGCATTAAAAAACAAACATGTTGATTGGTGAATGGAGGGAGCTGTTTGAAGCGATCAGGGTATCCATATTCCCGACATGAGTCATGGGGAGCCACTTGGAGCTACATTTCTTGTGTCCCAACCACATGATGTAATTATTTTGAGGACGAAAACATCAAACCAAGCATCAACTGGTTGGTGGTTTGGAACATTTTGTATTTTCCATATATTGGGAATGTCATACTCCCAACTGACGAAGTCATATTTTTCAGAGGGGTAGGTCAACCACCAACCAGATCAACCATGAGACATTTTTCAGTAGCCATTTTTTCGTCGAATCTGATGCCGCCCAAGGAAGGAGGTGGGCCGAATGTCCCAGGTCCTCATGAGGCCGGGATCCAAAAATTTGGATTTTAAACATCCAAAACCCTCAAAGAACCATCACATCATGAACCAGACAAAAAAGTGCCTTCATTTGATATATTATATATATATATTTATATGTAGTTATTTATTTATCTATTTATCTATTTATCTATTTATCTATTGATCAGTCTTTGGGTCATTGCTTGCGGTGTCGCGCGCGCCAAACCATTGCCACAATGCACCGCTTTAAAACCAGATCTGAGACCGTTTCAGCCCAAAAATTGTGATGTTCTTTGTTTTTCAGCAACTGTTTGTTGCTTGAGATATCAACGAGTTGTTATCAATTGTGATATCAACATGTTTTTTCTATTTTGTCAAGCATACTAATACTATATTAATTGTAGCCATGGATCAATACCTACAAATACATTTTTTAGGGTGCTGAACATCCATGTACCAGCTATTTTGATGTTCACCAAAGTACAAGGTTTTCACCAATCACCATATACTGGTTCTTAAAATGTCTTGTCATGTTTTCCTGCGGCAGGAATCGCCAAAAGAAGCGGGTTGCCCTCTGGAAACAAGCAGCCAAAGTGCAGGTACTCCAAGGGCAGTGAAACCGTAAAACCCCGAAACGGCAGATACTGTAGATTCATGGTGTTTCTTTCCCACATATGGATGTTAGTTTACCTAGGCTAATGTTTCACTAAATGGGTTGGCACAAGGGACTGAACGTAGAGAGATGTGTTGAATTAGATGGGACCCAATTCATGGAAGAATTCAATTGATTAAATGGGATAAATTGCGGTAAACCTCTGCTAATTTAACGTAGCTATGGAAAATCACTGAAATCACATGTTTTATACCTAGACCCTCCAAGTACCCATAAAAGTGCGTTTACCTGATAATACCTGATAATTTGCGTATTTTTCCCGTTTTGGGGTGGTATTTGGAGGGTCTAGTTTAGGCAGGTAAATCATCACAAATCATCAAGCTAAATGGACAGGCTATATTTAAAAATATTTAAAAAAAGGGTACTGTCAAATTTATGCGAAATAGGGACAAGCATGGCAAATGAGGGCTTAACCAGGAATTTTTGGTGGATGAATTGCGATATAGTCATGTTTTATGATATGAACGTGGTAAACCCAATAATCAACCCTTCCCACTTAAGGTTTATTATTGGGTCTACCACTGTGACTGGAAGATGTTTGTTTATTTTACCACCTTTTAACTGGTCGGTGACTGGGATGGCCCTGGCTTGTGAAAGGATCACAGACCACCTGTTTTCTTGCTCCTAGGCTATCAATATGGAGGTTTCCTAAAATGGTGGTACCCCCAAATATCCAAATTAGACCATTTCAGCACTGAAACCCATGGTCTTTGGGATGTGTTGGGGATCCCCCATGTTGAGAACTTCACGTATATTCAGTTTGCGTGACATCTCCGTTGGTTATTGTCCACCATTGTTCATGTTCGAATACCTGTGCGATTATTCGGTCTTTGTTTTCTGTAATTCCCAGCTTTCCATAGCTTTCCCGTCATTGGTTTCATTGGTCAATGGCCATTTCAGGAACCGATTCACTGGAGGTACCTACCATATATAAGGCCTATATAAGGCCTATGTAAAGGAATATCCACACAAAATATGGCCTTATTTGGTACAGTACCTCCATTTTAGGATTCTGAAATTCCCATTGAATTGGCTTTGGCTTTGAATATCTTTAAATTGGCGTACCACGTATTCAATAAGTCCGAACTGCGTCCGAGTGTTTCGTGTGTTGCTTTGCTGGGTTGCTGTGTCATTCCATGTTCCTGTAGTGTTGAGCCATACCCAAATTCACATTTGTGATGTCGCCATGCAAGCTGATGGGGTCCCGAATTCTATTTGCTTCAATCATCCTTTTAGAGTAAGAAATCCCGATCTTCCTACATGTTTTTTTCGATGTGCCGGGACCTGCCCAGAAGCTGAAAGATGAAAAAGAGGCAGATCGACAAAGGCGCGTTTTGTGGCTTTATGGCGAGCTGATAAATCCACGAACTAAACGGGCACCTATAATCATTAAAAAAAAAATATATATATACATTGATTATAACCCCTTCCCCCTAATACTAAACCACCTCCCCCAAATAATAAACGTCTCGAGGATCAGGTAGTTTTTATTATTAGGGGTTATCTATTAGGGTGCGAAGCTTCCCCCTCAATATAAAAACTAGTTTTTCTCTATTTCAGAATCGATTAGATTTCCTTTCAAAATCTAGTTAAAATGTTGCCAAAAATTGAATTTCGAATCTTTCCCCCAATATTAAATTAAAAACCCTAATATAAAATACTATTTTTTTTGTCCTTAAAAGACGGACCCTAATAGAAAACACCCCGGGGCTGACTAGTTTTTATTATTAGGGATGAAACCCTGAAATGGTAGCTTCATGTTTAAATTGTTTTCTAAAGGGGATCAATTAAAAATCAAATTGGCCAACCTCAAATTTCCAAACTTGGAGATGGACCCTAGTTTTTATTATTTGGGGGGTTAGTAGTAGGGGGAAGGGATTATAATCATATATATATATATACAATCATAAATCATATATATATACAATCAAAAATAGTATATATATAAGCATATCTTTATATATATATATATATGTATATACGTGCTGTCAAAAGATGGATTATATATCCATACTAGGGGTGACCATTCATTGACATGGGTTTATATATATGTATATCCATTATAAGGATTCCCATTGTTTGATGGATGACCATATACCTCATATACCATGGTTTGACCCTAGTGGAAAATCATGGAACTAAATGGGATATTTTTGCCATTGCCATGTTTGACTGCATGAGGGTAATCGTGGATATGTTTGGCCAGATCTACTGGGTGTATCGTTTTTGTAACGGGTAGCTTGAGGTGAGTAAAAATTGCGAGCTAAATTGAAGACAGATATATCAGATATGGAAAACACATATATATAGAATGGGCTAGCGCCCTGTGCCGCCGACCCCCCCTTTGTGGGGGTGGCAGGGCAGGATCAGTAAATAAAACCACAGGAGAAGTAAAGACTTTCAAGACCTACACGAAACAGACCGGGGCATAGTTTACAGGTGTCCATTTTGCCAGGGAAATGTGAGAAGCCATGTCAGGACGGGGCAAATAGACCATCGAACAGTCTGTGGGAACAAATTTTCTGTTCAGGATGGGGTTGTTACAGAGAAAGGCATAGTTTACAGGTGTCCAGTTTGCAAGGGAAATGTGAGAAGCGATGTCAGGACGGGGCAAATAGACCATCGAACAGTCTGTGGGAACAAGTTTTCTGTTCAGGATGGGGTTGTTACAGAGAAAGGCATAGTTTACAGGTGTCCATTTTGCAAGGGAAATGTGAGAAGCGACGTCAGGACAGGGAGAATCGACCATCGAACAGTCTGTGGGAACCAATTTTATGTGAAGGACAGTGCGGTCAGCAAGAACACACGGTGTCATGCGCACAGCTGCCCGGTGTGCTCAACTGTTGTGTGGTCCTCGCAGTCATGTGGGCGCATTGCGGTGACGCATGTCACGCCCTCGGGAAAACGATGCCAGATGAAACATTGGCACCTTCCCGACAAAAAGGCAAAGAAAAAAAGGAAATGAAATACTGTAGAAAGACTGCGCTTGCCGTAGGAACAGATGGCAATGGCAAGACCTCTGCAGCGAAGCATTGCCCGAACAAGAGAGGGCTATGTGCAGGCAAAGGGCAGGTTGCAATGCTGGAACGCTGACGGCCAGGAGCTTGGGGGAAGGTGCCGCGAGGAAGCCATGCAGCAGTTGGAGGATTGTAAGGGTGGTGGCAGGTGGCGCGAGGGATTTGGAGGGTTGTAAGAGTTTGAAACGTTTGAAGCCTGGTAACGGCAAGCTTGAATGCCTCAATAACAGAGGGCTATGACAAAGCAGGTTCCACACCTCCGGTGGAGGGTTTTAGGGGTTTTAGGGGTTTTAAGCATTTGAAGGCTGGCAAACGGCAGGCGCGAATGCCCTAACAAGAGAAGGCTATGTGCAGGCAAAGGGCAGGCTGCAATGCTGGAACGCTGACGGCCAGGAGCTTGGTGGAAGCTGCCGCGAGCGATGGTTTTTACGCGTTTTAAGAATTTAAAGCTTGGCAAACGATGTGTAGGCAAAGGGCAGGCTGCAACCCTGGAGCAGCAAAGGCTGACGGCCAGAGGGCTTGGTGGCAGCTGCGGCGAGGAAGCCATGCAGCAGTTGGAGGATTGTAAGGGTGGTGGCAGGTGGCGCGAGGGATTTGGACGGTTGTAAGAGTTTGAAACGTTTGAAGCCTGGTAACGGCAAGCTTGAATGCCTCAATAACAGAGGGCTATGACAAAGCAGGTTCCACACCTCCGGTGGAGGGTTTTAGGGGTTTTAGCGGTTTTAGGGGTTTGAGGGGTTTTAGGGGTTTTAAGCGTTTGAAGGCTGGCAAACGGCAGGCTCGAATGCCCTAACAAGAGAGGGCTATGTGCAGGCAAAGGGCAGGCTGCAATGCTGGAACGCTGACGGTGCAGGCAAAGGGCAGGCTGCAACCCTGGAGCAGCAAAGGCTGACGGCCAGAGGGCTTGGTGGCAGCTGCCGCGAGGAAGCCATGCAGCAGTTGGAGGAGTGTAAGGGTGGTGGCAGGTGGCGCGAGGGATTTGGAGGGTTGTAAGAGTTTGAAACGTTTGAAGCCTGGCGGTGGAGGGTTTTAGGGGTTTTAGGGGTTTTAGGGGTTTTAAGCGTTTGAAGGCTGGCAAACGGCAGGCTCGAATGCCCTAACAAGATCTAACAAGAGAGGGCTATGTGCAGGCAAAGGGCAGGCTGCAACCCTGGAACAGCAAAGGCTGACGGCCAGAGGGCTTGGTGGCAGCTGCCGCGAGGAAGCCATGCAGCAGTTGGAGGATTGTAAGGGTGGTGGCAGGTGGCGCGGTTCCACACCTCCGGTTTTAGGGGTTTTAGGGGTTTTAGGGGTTTTAAGCGTTTGAAGGCTGGCAAACGGTAGGCTCGAATGCCCTAACAAGACAGGGCTATGTGCAGGCAAAGGGCAGGCTGCAATGCTGGAACGCTGACGGCCAGGAACTTGGTGGAAGCTGCCGCGAGGGAAGGTTTTAGGGGTTTTAAGGGTTTAAAGCTTGGCAAACGATGTGCAGGCAAAGGGCAGGCTGCAACCCTGGAGCAGCAAAGGCTGACGGCCAGAGGGCTTGGTGGCAGCTGCCGCGAGGAAGCCATGCAGCAGTTGGAGGATTGTAAGGGTGGTGGCAGGTGGCGCGAGGGATTTGGAGGGTTGTAAGAGTTGGAAACGTTTTAAGCTTGGTAACGGCAAGCTTGAATGCCTCAATAACAGAGGGCTATGACAAAGCAGGTTCCACACCTCCGGTGGAGGGTTTTAGGGGTTTTAGGGGTTTTAGGGGTTTTAAGCGTTTGAAGGCTGGCAAACGGCAGGCTCGAATGCCCTAACAAGAGAGGGCTATGTGCAGGAAAAGGGCAGGCTGCAATGCTGGAACGCTGACGGTGCAGGCAAAGGGCAGGCTGCAAACCTGGAGCAGCAAAGGCTGACGGCCAGAGGGCTTGGTGGCAGCTGCCGCGAGGAAGCCATGCAGCAGTTGGAGGAGTGTAAGGGTGGTGGCAGGTGGCGCGAGGGATTTGGAGGGTTGTAAGAGTTTGAAACGTTTGAAGCCTGGTAACCGCAAGCTTGAATGCCTCAATAACAGAGGGCTATGACAAAGCAGGTTCCACACCTCCGGTGGAGGGTTTTAGGGGTTTTAGGGGTTTTAAGCGTTTGAAGGCTGGCAAGCGGCAGGCTTGAATGCCCTAACAAGAGAGGGCTATGTGCAGGGAAAAGGAGGGTTTTAGGCGTTGAGGGGTTTGAAGCTGGCAAAAGCAGGCCTTCGATGCCCTAACGAGGAGAGGGCTATGTGCAGGAAAGGAACGCTGAACGGCCAGGAACTTGTGGAAGCTGAAGCGAGGGATGGTTTAGGGCGTTTTAAGGTTAAAGCTTGGCAAACGATGTGCAGGCAAAGGGCAGGCTGCAAACCTGGAGCAGCAAAGGCTGACGGCCAGAGGGCTTGGTGGCAGCTGCCGCGAGGAAGCCATGCAGCAGTTGGAGGAGTGTAAGGGTGGTGGCAGGTGGCGCGAGGGATTTGGAGGGTTGTAAGAGTTTGAAACGTTTGAAGCCTGGTAACGGCAAGCTTGAATGCCTCAATAACAGAGGGCTATGACAAAGCAGGTTCCACACCTCCGGTGGAGGGTTTTAGGGGTTTTAGGGGTTTTAAGCGTTTGAAGGCTGGCAAACGGCAGGCTCGAATGCCCTAACAAGAGAGGGCTATGTGCAGGGAAAAGGGCAGGCTGCAATGCTGGAACGCTGACGGTGCAGGCAAAGGGCAGGCTGCAACCCTGGAGCAGCAAAGGCTGACGGCCAGAGGGCTTGGTGGCAGCTGCCGCGAGGAAGCCATGCAGCAGTTGGAGGAGTGTAAGGGAGGTGGCAGGTGGCGCGAGGGATTTGGAGGGTTGTAAGAGTTTGAAACGTTTGAAACTGGTAACGGCAAGCTTGAATGCCTCAATGACAGAGGGCTATGACAAAGCAGGTTCCACACCTCCGGTGGAGGGTTTTAGGGGTTTTAGGGGTTTTAAGCGTTTGAAGGCTGGCAAACGGCAGGCTCGAATGCCCTAACAAGAGAGGGCTATGTGCAGGCAAAGGAGGGTTTTAGGCGTTTTAGGGGTTTGAAGCCTGGCAAACGGCAGGCTCGAATGCCCTAACGAGAGAGGGCTATGTGCAGGCAAAGGAGGGTTTTAGGCGTTTTAGGGGTTTGAAGCCTGGCAAACGGCAGGCTCGAATGCCCTAACAAGAGAGGGCTATGTGCAGGCAAAGGGCAGGCTGCAATGCTGGAACGCTGACGGCCAGGAGCTTGGTGGAAGCTGCCGCGAGGGATGTGCAGGCAAAGGGCAGGCTGCAACCCTGGAGCAGCAAAGGCTGACGGCCAGGGTTGGTGGAAGCTGCCGCGCACATTTAAAGCCCGCGAACTGGAGGATGACGCATGCCAGGAGAAGGTTTACGCGATGTGGTTTGACCTTGGAAAGCTAAGAAGGAAAAGTTCCACACCTGCGGTGGTCCCAGGCGCCGCCCCGGCCTTGGCGAAGGCCGGGGTCGGCGGATATATATATCCTCAAACCACAGATGGGGTAGGTATTTTACAGAAGTTGACCCCCCAAACAGGCTCCAAATGATCAGGTTGAATACTGTGAATCCATGATGAAAGGCATAAAACATACCATGGCCATCCATGGCCCAGATTATGCACACAAGCCAATATTTCTTCGCAGATTGTGGTGCGGGGAAAGCCTTGTAGGGGCAGCAGCACTCACCATTGGATTTTGACCATCCAGATTGGCTTTTGAGCAGTGAATCATTTCTGTAGATCAATATATATCATGTTTTTTATATATACAATATATATATATATCATGTATATCATGTATATCATGTATATCATATATATCATATATATCATAGATATCATATATATATATATATATATCATGTATATCATATATATATCATATATATCATACATATATATATCATATGTATCATATGTTCCATATATATCATATATATCATATATATATATATATATATATATCATATATATATATATATCATATATATATCATATATATATATCATATATATATGATATATATATATAGCATATATCGCATATATAGATATATCATATATATATGATCAGATATGCATACTAGATGTGAACTATATATATTATCATATATAGAGAAATCATATTATATAGTATAGTTATGTATACATATATATATATATATCATTTATATATGAATATATATATATATAAATAGATATATATATTTATATATATACACCATGGATATAGAGCATATATATTATACCAGATATCTATATATCATATTATGTATGTGTTCATGTATGGATGCAATGTAATGTTAAGTAATGTATGAAGTATGTAATTTTCTGTAGTATTATGTAATGGGTATGTATGTAATTGTATGTAGTATGTAGTATGTTGTATGTATGTATGTTATATGTATGTATGTAGGCATGTATGTATGTATGTATGTATGTATGTATGTATGTATGTATGTATTAATGTAATGTAATGTAATGTAATGTAATGTAATGTAATGTAATGTAATGTAATGTATGTATGTATGTATGTATGTATGTATGTATGTATGTATGTATGTATGTATGTATGTATGTATGTATGTATCATTGTAATGAGTTTTACAAACAGTATATAAAATCAAATGTATATATATATATATATATAAAGTTTGCTTCTTTGGGTTACCCAAACTTCAGCCGTCAGGGAAGCTCAAGTGGAAGATCGCTTGAATGAACTGTTGGAGACCCACGAGCAGGTGGAACAGGACGGTTTTCATCGTGTGGAGCAGGATGTAGCGGGTAGACCGGGCATGTTTTTTTGCACAACACGTGTTCGACATATGTAGTATCATTAACTATAGTAGCATCATTAACTATAGTAGTATCATTAACATAAGTAAGAAATAGATTATAGTAGTATCATTAACTATAGTAGTGTCATGTTAACCATTAACTATAGTAGTGTCATGAAAATAACCAGTGCTTAAAAGAGAAATTACAGATACCAGAGACAAACCTCTTGTTCTTGTTGTTGTTGTTGTTGTTGTTGTGGTTGTTGTTGTGGTTGTTCCTCTTGGAATGTGTGTTTTCAAATGTTAAACCATGGGAACCCTCAAGCAAGAGGATTTGGGTGGTCAATGTGGAGCACATGGATGGTTTGCAATGGAAAATCCCATTCGAATGGATGATTTAGAGATACCCCCATTTGAGGAAACTTCCATATACTGGCATGCCAATATCACTTGGCATGTAAAGAAGCTGCAACCGGAAAGTTCCTGAAGTGCCGAAGCGACCAGATTAAAAATTGAAAGGTTTGTCGATGTCCCGTAGCCGTGATGCAGTCGTGGCTTGTAGGTCTGTAGAAATTGCGTGCGATCCAACTACACTGTATTGATTGGTTCGAAAATTAATAATACGTACATAGTTTATGTCAAGAATTCCATTCTTTGGAAAATTGACTTGTTTAAAGTGGGAATTGGATTTGTTCACGTGCTTGATATGACAAGCATACGGAACATTTTTAGGGCACAACTTGGTGCTGAAGACGTGTGCAGCCATACCCTTGGGGCTCGGAGCGCTAACTGAGCCAATGTCAGTTAGCTCAGTTCCACGGGGCGAGTCGTCGCTGGTTTGTGAGATGGATTACTTATATTCTGTGGGTTATAACCCTGGTTATTTATATGGGATAAGTAGGATTAGTGCACTTATAACTGGGGTTATAACATGTTATAAACCACTTGCTAAGTGGGATCAATGTGAATTTCAGGATCCTAAAATGGAGGTACGTTAGTACCATATGAGATCATACGGTAGGCCTAAAGAAAGGCCTTATATATATGGTAGGTACCTCCATATTTAGGTTCCTGAAATTCCCATTGATTACTTAACGGATGAATCTAGTCAGCCCCAAATTACTAGTGAGTTATATAACTAATGACTTAACATGTTTAGTCTAATCGCCTTTTTACATGCTCAACGACGAACTTCCTGTATATTTGCATGGCGGCTTCAAATTCCGGACAGTGATTATGGATGATTGTAGTATATTAGAGTCAGCCTCAAAAAGAGAGATTTTCGCAGAATGTCCCACCACTTCAACTACTTTACTAGGTTAACCAACTGGATGGCTAGTTGAATCCTTTTTTTTTTGTTATTTTTTGTTGCTATAAATAGTAAGATCTGCTAACCAGCGAAGAGTTTTTCATTTGTTGCCACCTTAGACTGGGGCCTTTTTGTTGGATTGTCGTTGAGGGGATGATTTGGGGTAGCCCATGGTAGCCCTATGACTGGATGATACTGGATGGACAGCTCCAAATGAGGAAAGAAGATGACCTGATATCAGCAAGAATGGTGATTTACTGGTTGGTTGTTTGGAACATTTGGATTATTTTCCATATATTGGGAATAATATAATCCCAACTGGCGTTCATATTGTTCAGATGGGTTGACACCAACAACCAGTTTATAATCCATTGATGATAGTTAAGTCGACTTAACACTACTTAACACTGGGTTATCTCATATTCTTAACACTACTTAACGCTGGGTTATCTCAGATTCATGTGGGACATGATATAACTGGACAGAACATGGTATTAAACGAAGCCGACATTTTGGGGTTATATTCACCAATGAAAATTTGGTGAATACTGGTAGCCTCACCTAATACTATGGGAGATTGTATAGGTGGGGGAGATTGTGAAATGATTATATACCGTAGGGATATCCGTAGGTTGTGTTGTCTTATGAAACTTCTTCATGAAATCTTCTAGATTTCTAGTCTCGATGAATTTTGATGTAAGTCATCTCAATTAGGATTGAAGTAGCCTGTGGCTATGCAAAATGTCCCATGTCTATACAATATATATATATAAATATATATATATATATGATTTGCATGGATTTATCTATGAACAAATTTTGATTTTCCGTAGCTTTGTTAAATTACCAGAGGGTAGACGATTGGTTGATTCTTGGCCAACTCCAGCTGGCTTGTGACATCCCCAAAGGCCAAAATTAAAATTGACCCGCGTTGCGGGCGGTGTCATCAACCATGGCTTGCCGCGCCGCCGGTTGGGATGCGTTTTTTTGATCGTTGATTTTCCCGTGAACAAACACTTAGTTCATCTTAGTTGCATAATTTTCCATGTTTTTTCATTGAAGCTCTGATATTGAAACCTCCATTTAATCATTCTCGGGGATCCGTTGTGCAATCGCCACACCGCGTTGCGCGGTGTCAAAAGATCTGGCAGAGTGAAGTTAGGGTGACATCTTGTGATTTTTTTAATCTCTTTTCATTTCTGTTGAAGCTTAATCATGTTCAAAAACATGGGAATCCCAGAAACAGGCACCAGGCGGTCGTTCCAGCCATACAAAGTGTCAGCCCGCCCAGTCATCGGCTGTTTTTTGAAGCCGTCCAACTGTAGCTGTGTCCACTTATCCACCCCAAAATCATTCCGAACACAATCCACAGAAAAAACGGTGAAGTTAGTTGTAAACCATAGATTAGCTGCATATATATATATATATATATATGGGTATATGGGGTATCACTTTCTATCCACCATCAACCCCGGTAGCTTTTTCTTGCTCAACGGCACTCCCGCAACGCTGGAAATCGAGCGTTGTTCACGGCATATGGAAGCGCTGGAAATCGAGCGACCCGAAGGAGAGGTGACCCAAAGAAGGTCCCCTCTGGGAGTGACTGGGGCCAAGATTTGGTCCCCAGATGTCGCAAAGTTGGCTTATACTTTATAATATACAATGTAAGACATATTTTTTTAATACTATACATATATTTGTACAAATAATATCTATACATATTTTATATTATATGTATACTTGTAATTATTATTATGAAATATTGATAAATAATATTGTATAGTACAGTATATAATAATATAGTATTATGTGTATCTATATATGATTTGTATAAAGTTACATATACATATATACATGCAATATGCATACAATATACATATATACTTTTTTGCATATATACATATATACTACAAATATTATACATATATACTACATATATTCTACATATATTATACATATATCATACATATATCATACATATATTATACATATATCATACATATATCATACATATATTATACATATATCATACATATATTTTACATATTATACATATATCATACATATATTATACATATATTATACATATAATTTACATATATTATACATATATACTACATATATTCTACATATATTTTACATATATCATACATATATCATACATATATTATACATATATTATACATATATCATACATATATTATACATATATCATACATATATACTTTTTTTGCATATATACATATATACTACAAATATTATACATATAGTATACATATAATTTACATATATTATACATATATCATACATATATCATACATATTTTATACATATATCATACATATATTATACATATATCATACATATATACTTTTTTTGCATATATACATATATACTACAAATATTATACATATAGTATACATATAATTTACATATATTATACATATATCATACATACATCATACATATATTATACATATATCATACATATATCATACATATATTATACATATATCATACATATATTATACATATATTATACATATATCATACATATATTATACATATATTATACATATAATTTACATATATTATACATATATCATACATATATCATACATATATTATACATATATCATACATATATTATACATATAGTATACATATATCATACATATATTATACATATATTATACATATAATTTACATATATTATACATATATTATACATATATCATACATATATTATACCTATATCATTCATATATTATACATATATTATACATATATCATACATATATTATACATATATTATACATATAATTTACATATATTATACATATATACCTGGACTCCCCAACGACCCTTTTTCTAATTTGATTGAGCAAACAGTAAAATCGAACTGTTGCTTCGCATGTTTTTTGTTGGGATCTTCAGTGCTGTGGATCCGAAGGGCCCGTGTTGTTGCCACCAGCTCCTCTTCCCTCGCCTGTGCTCCAACTGTTGCCATCTCCCTCCGGGGTTTCCATTGGAAGTGGGTCGTCAGTTTGGTGAAGACCTCCATGTTCCCTCACAAGTTCTATCAGATTCTATCATTTGATTATATCACTAGGTGTTGTTGGTTGAACATATTAGTTGATGTTTCTCGATCCATGTGTTGAACACTTTTGTTTTTTTTCTGAAAGTATTTGTGCATGTACTTAACAAAAACTACATTTACCGCAACATAGACAAGAGCGGAACTTTCGCTTGCGCATCGCCCAAATGCACAGCGCACGTTTGTGGAGGCTTTAGACCTGCAGTGCACTAACAGACTGCAGGGCAGTGACTAGGAGGAACTCTTTCCACATCATAGAGTGAATGCCAAGACAAACTACATCAACATAAGCTGAAACCACCTGGACCTAGACCCTCTGATTCATCCATCACAATAAAAAACCTCGTATTGTGTTTTGGGTTTTGGTACGTGTTTCCCAGGTCCATTCGACGAATCCACAGATAATCTGGGACCGTTTGGACTTTCAACCGATAATTTGAAAACTGTGAAAAATATGGGATCCCCACAATGAAATCACATGGAATCTTCCTGACTTCTGTATGGATCTGTCTTGAAATCTCTTGTCTCCACTGGTGTTTGACCCGACCTTGTGAATAGGGGGGCTCGGGGGGCTTGGGGGAGGGTTAAGGACGCATGAAGATTGAACTCATCGACCCAAAATCCAGGTGAAGAGTGTCTTGTTTGTTGCCTTGGTGTCCTTTACCTTGGGCGTAGTCACCTTGATTTTGTTGGGACCTGCAGAACCTGGCTATCCGCCCAAGTATGGCCAGATTCCGGAGAAGACCATCTGGTGAAGCCCGCCAGTTTTCGGTCAGTTTTTGGACGGTTCAAACAGCTTTGTTCGCTATGTTGGGGGATGATCAATCCATTAATTCGGGATAAACAAAAACACGGTTGATGCTTCAAAGCCTAGAGATCTGGTGAATGTTTAAAGTTTAGTTTTGTGGGACTAGGTTTTTTCAAACATACCATGCTGTGATTCCGATAAAACTTGTTGGCTGTAACATTCCATGCTGGGATTGGTTTATTTATTGCTTCACCCAAAGAACTATGGGAAGATGATTTTGCTCCCCTGCGCCAGGTTTTATTATGACAAGGGATTCAATCCCATGCCCAACCGCTTAGTGGATCTATGTGTGCCTTGGTTGTGTTTGTTCAACCAAAACTTTGTGTTTCTTTTTGTTCCAATGGATGTTCACTGGTTTTTGGGTTATTTGCCTTTGCCCTTCTCCGAAAACGGTTCCAATTGCCAGAAGTCAAACTGCAGATGTTTTTATTATTGTGGTACAAAGATGAAAAGATAAACCAAATTCAAAGCAAATCAGTTTCGACGGGGTATGTTCATCACCACATATTGAGTACTACTGGTGGTGATCATAACAACCAATAATCAGAATAATGTTTCTGCGTATGTTGATGTATTAGTAATCATTAGCGACTTGCAAAGAGTCCCAAGCAGATCTGGGATTTGCAGGGTTGAGGGGTCCATCGTTCCTGTCTAACATACGGACAAAGTGGGATTGTCATCAAATGTCATGGCAATTTGCGTGTATATGTATAATTTAGATATTGACACACAGTGTTGCATTCTTATGTATTGTTATTTATTCTGCTATCAATCACATATGCTTCATGAAAGGTTGTGAAAAGACTATCATTTGCCCCGGATGCGTTGCCTCTGTCTTTTTGTTGTTAGTTTTGTTTTACTTGTTGATAACTTATAATATACATTTATAATACCAGACATGGAATGTGTACAACCTTACTTTTGTCTCGTCCGGGCTTCAGATCCAAAGCTTCTGTGTCAACAATCCGGACTGGAATTTCGAGTTCATCAGCGACGACAATGTCTTAGAATACGTGAGTGCTGAGATGTTGCCAATGGCGTATGGGACATGGAAGACAACAGCCAACAAAAAAGAGACTCGGCCGGGAATCATTGTTTGTGTGTTTGTGTGTGTTTGTTTGTTTGTTTGTTTGTTTGTTTGTTTGGTTTGTTTTTCAGAGGGGTCACTGTCGGCGAATATTCCACATTAGTCCCTGGTACCTACTCCATTGCTAGATGTTGATTTTCACGAAAAGGTACCCCCAAAACATACAAGGCCTCTCAAAGGGACTCCAGATACCATGGGGGCTAAGCCTCCTAAAATTGTGCGGTACCTGTTGGAGGGTACCTTTATACTTCCATGTTATCTTTGAAGTGGGACCATGCAGAGCCTGTAGAGCAATACCAGGCACCAAAAACCATCACCAACCCTAATTGCTCCAGGTCTTACAATATACAGACCTACACAAACTTGTGGTGAATGCTTTTTTTGTTGGGCTAAAACTACCTTGAGGTGGTTTCATGATGTTTGTCTGGGCTACATTTTCTCAACACCATTATACGGATGAGTCAAAAATTAAGCATTATGGGACCACAGATTGTTGTATTGTATATATGTGTAAGCATTTAATGTACCAGTAGTAGCTGGACGAGGCGGGGCGGAAGTTGCCTTAGGGATATATATAAAAACCTTTCTCATCTATAGAACTTGCATGCGCCGTGCACCAGCCAAGCCCGTGCGTGCGTGCATTCTGCGAAAGTGGTGTCCTGCTGCACATGTCACATTTGAAGCTCCACTTCGCACTTCACACTTCTCACTGCACTCTTCACATTCCACACTTCACACTTCACACCCCACACTTCACACTTCGCACTCCAAACTTCACACTTCACACTCCACACTTCACAGTCCACAGTCCACACTTCTCACTTTCACTGCTTTCTTCACACTCCACACTTCACACTTCACTCTTCACACTGCACTTTTCGCGCCCCACTTTTCACACTGCACTCTTGACACTCCACGCTTCATCTCATCTGAGCTCTTTTCACCTTATCCCAGCTCACCTCTTCTCATCTCATCTCTTCTCATATGTCATCTAAACTTTCATGAATCACTTCCCAGCACAACTACTAAGGAAGCATGCCTCGTGCGCCAGCGGGGGCCGTGCGTGCGTGCTTTGTGCGAAGCTGTTGCAGTGTTGTTGTCCAAGAACATGACCTGCGCGCGACCCCGGTGCAGTGCAACGCCAAGCAAACACTTTCCTCACACTTCACATTGCACCCTTCACACTTCACACGTGCACTTCAGCTCAACTCATCTCATCTGAGCTATTCTCATCTCATTTCATGTCTTCCCATATGTCTGCTACGTTCTTCTTGGCTATTTTCATATCATCTGAGCGCAGCTCAAACTTTCTCATCTCACCGGAGCTAGTTTCAACTCATCTCGGCTCTTCTGCACGTCAGAAAGCTTGAGACACAAGGCGCAACAGCCGCAACAGCATCCGGAAATTGCAGCTCCAAAACCGGAGCTCGACGCCACAACGGTAAAAAGACGATTTTGCAGCACTTTTTAAAAGAACTTTTAAAAGGAAAATTACTAGCGCCAAACATGAAAAAATCTGCTGACAAATCACTGTCGCAGCGTTGATGCAGCCACTTCAATACTATATACGAGATCCAGCTGCAACATTCATGCAGCCATTACAATGCATTTTGCAACATCACGTGGCTAACCCGCATCTCTCTACGCACATGGCAGCACCAGATGACAACAATGATGCAGCCATTCCACTGCGATCTGCAACCACAGATTCAAGACACGCCATAGAACTACGCACACAGGAACAGCCACTCGCTGCAGAACACAGAGGAGGAACCAATTCGCACATGAAACGTCCCCAGCCGCACCCGCCGCACACACGAGGTACCTTTCATCGCCGCCTGCAGCCACTTCACACGGAAAAACACAAGGTTTCATTTCGTGCTCCGGCTTCCTCCCCAAAACAAAGCCCCAGCAACACTCATGCAGCCATTACACTGCATTTTGCAGCATCACGTGGCTAACCCGCATCTCTCTACGCACATGGCAGCACCAGATGACAACAATGATGCAGCCATTCCACTGCGATCTGCAACCACAGATTCAAGACACGCCATAGAACTACGCACACAGGAACAGCCACTCGCTGCAGAACACAGAGGAGGAACCAATTCGCACATGAAACGTCCCCAGCCGCACCCGCCGCACACACGAGGTACCTTTCATCGCCGCCTGCAGCCACTTCACACGGAAAAACACAAGGTTTCATTTCGTGCTCCGGCTTCCTCCCCAAAACAAAGCCCCAGCAACACTCATGCAGCCATTACACTGCATTTTGCAGCATCACGTGGCTAACCCGCATCTCTCTACGCACATGGCAGCACCAGATGACAACAATGATGCAGCCATTCCACTGCGATCTGCAACCACAGGTTCAAGACACGCATGGAACTACGCACACAGGAACAGCCACCCGTTGCAGAACACAGAGGAGGAACCAATTCGCGCATGGAACGACCCCAGCCGCACCCGCCGCACACACGAGGTACCTTTCATCGCCGCCTGCAGCCACTTTACACGGAAAAGCACAAGGTTTCGTGCTCCGGCTTCCTCCCCAAAACAAAGCCCCAGCAACACTCATGCAGCCATTACACTGCATTTTGCAGCATCACGTGGCTAACCCGCATCTCTCTACGCACATGGCAGCACCAGATGACAACAATGATGCAGCCATTCCACTGCGATCTGCAACCACAGATTCAAGACACGCATGGAACTACGCACACAGGAACAGCCACCCGTTGCAGAACACCGAGGAGGAACCAATTCGCGCATGAAACGACCCAGCCGCACCCGCCGCACAGACGAGGTATACCTTTCATTGCCGCCTGCGGCCACTCCACACGGAAAAACACAAGGTTTCGTGTTCCGGCTTCCTCCCCAACACAAAGCCCATGCAACATTCATGCCAGCACAATGCATTTTGCAGCATTCCCTTCATCACCACTTCCCTTACTCCCGTCTTCCCATCGTCACCACTTCCCTTCGTCACCACTTCCCTTCCTCACCACACTTCCCTTCCTCACCACTTCCCTTCGTCACCACACTTCCCTTCCTCACCACTTCCCTTCGTCACCACACTTCCCTTCGTCACCACTTCCCTTCCTCGCCGTTCCCTTTCGTCACCATTTCCCTTCGTCACCACTTCCCTTAGTCACCACTTCCCTTCATAGCCTTTTATTCTTTTGTGATGTATTGTGACACGTCCCAAAGTCACTTTTACTCTTTTGCGATGTATTGTGACACTGAACCACCCTTCATTGCCTTATTCTTTTGTGATGTATTTGTGATGTATTGTCACCACTTCACCTTTTATTCTTTTGTGATGTATTGTGACAGTGAACCACCCTTCATTGCCTTTTTGTGACACTCAACCACCCTTCATTGCCTTATTCTTTTCTGATGTATTTGTGATGATGTATTGTCACCACTTCACCACCCTTCATCAATGTCAAGTCTCACAATTCTATTTGTCCGTACCTCGGAAGATTGCTTCCCAACTTCCTTTGATTAACATGTGTTAACCATCGAAGTATTGGGGTATATACCCATTTTTGACCCATACCCTTATTACTTAGTGGCTCGTGGGGCTCGTCACCGTAGAGTCAGCCACTTGAGCGACCGTGACTTGGACCCCGGGTTTTTTGGGCAGTATGAACTGCCCCTTGAAGTTGAAGACCTTATTATATATTGCGTAACTATCTGAGATAGAAAATACATATGTTTTTCTATGTTTTTCTTACATACCACCATTAATTATCCACCATTTTTCGAATTGGATGCCACTGTTCTATCTTTGTTATGAGCTGTTTCTATAGGGCTCTTTAAGGAAATCGAACCGGCCCCAGGACATGGTGATGGCAAACCTTTTGGCCATCTACGGCGGAGTTGCTGCAGATGCGACGATTCTGAACTTTCGATCGCTGAACGTCCTGTGGGACCACATGCTGCGGGATGCTGCGGATGCCGTGATCTACTGGTACAGATACTGGTCAATCTGGGAAAGAACGCCAAATCGCAAAATGGATGACTGATTGGTGGTTTGGAACATGAATTTTATGACTCTCCATACAGTGGGAATGTCATCATCCCAACTGACTTTCATGTTTTTCAGAGGGAAGTAGGTATACCACCAGCCAGATGATGATATTGATCATTGGGGATGTTAAACACTGTTGTAAGAGATGTAGAGGATGATACGGACATGATCACAGATGCTCGATTTATCTTGAGTTCAAGTGGATCATGGGAGTGCACAAAATGGAAGAACATGTTTGCGCATCATGGGATGGCGATGGTAACGGGGATCAAAATATGGGTGTGATTCTATAAGTGGGATACGTCATGTATTTCCATAAAATTGCAATTTATCCGGAAAAAATGTGATTTCCCGTTAGACAAACCCTTCCGGATGGACGTATCATATACGTGTCATTTATGGGCTGATCTTGTTGTGTTGTTGGACCCATCGCAACAAAGCAAACAGACGCAAACATGGACCTTTGGGGTCAATACTGGTACCTCTAACACTCCCGTGATGTAATATCTCGAGACTTATGTGAACATATATGGAGGTGTCCTAAATCCCAAAATGGTTACTCCTAAATCATTTTAGATAGGATTTTCCATTGTAAAGCATCCATTTTGGGGATCCCTCATTTATGGAACCCACCATATAATTTCCATGGCTATGTATCAGGGCCATCTGATTTTTTGGGATTGTGATGGACTATGAACAATCTCCAGGGATATCTTTGCCCATTACCCTCTGGTATTTAGCAACATGGCAACTTAAATTTTCCCTATTTATCGATGATGTTCCCACTAAAATCACAAGTCTTCATAGCTTGGGGATGTCGAATTGACATGTTTGACACCGGAGGATCTGCGATTTAATTACTATGGCTTTTGTATATTTCCAGCCTAGATTTGCAGGGCCAATTGGCGCGACTGGATCAATCCCTAAACCCATCTTGACCACATTTATGTATACCAGTTCTAAGTATATAAACATCATCATATATAGATTGTAAGCGGTTTGTATAATATATGATTATGCATATATATATATTAATATATACATATATATATATATATAAACCAGTTATGATATATTATATATACACCAAGTTTTATATGAACCAGCTATATATAAACCCTGTTGGATTACGGGATTTGTTATCCTACAATATCATTAAGTAGTATATTAAACCAGTTCATAATACCGAGCCAACCAGGACATCCCAGGACCGGATATCAAAGCAAGAAATCCAACAGAATTTTTGCACGCTGATTTCCCATGAGTTTTCGGTGGTTTTCCCCATTTTCTCAGATGATTTTCCCATGGTATTCCCAAAAAATGCATTATTATCCCATGTATTTACATGATTATTTACATGATTATTTACATGATTATTTACATGATTATTTATGATTTCCCATGTATTTCCATGATTTTCCATGTGTTATCCATGTTCCATCATGTTCCCTCATATCTCCATATTGGGCGAATGGTTATGCCCATGGATTATCATGGTCCCCAGTCATTCCCAAATCATCCAAATTAGCCATTCCAACATTCACCCTAAAATATCATTATTAAAGAAAAACATTGAATTCTACATGTTTTGATGTTTTGAATTATGCATGTTCGATTTCCCATCATATTCCGTTCATATTCAATTAACTTGCCATTCATTTTCCATTAATTGTCCATGAATATAATATATCATGAACATCCCATCAACATATCACCAACATCCCATCAACATATCATGAACATTCCATTAACATGTCATTACAATCGCATAGATATCCCATCATTAATATATCAGTCATATCCCATGAATCTCGCCCTCAACCCAGGACTCACCGAACCCTGGGCCTCCGTTGACAGCGCGGCCGCCTGGTTCTTTATGGCCCGCCGGGACACGGGCATTTTCCGTCGCTATGCCCGCGACATCCGGAGCCACTTCGGAGACGTGGAGCTGGACGCATCGCGCGTGGGAGGCGCCCAAAAACCGGCCAAGCTTTGTGAAAAGATGGTGGAATTGACCTGCAAACTGGGTGATTCCATGGATAGAGTAGGCATTTCCAACCTTGGATGGGTATTTGAATAGTTTGTTGGCGATGGAAAATTCCATAACCAGAGATTCCCCACCTGGCAAGTGAGGGTCTCTAGATTTTAAGGTGCAACTCCTTCCTCCGCCTTCTCCTCTGCCAACTCGTGACTGGCATCAACAGAAGCCATATCGCGAGCTCCCAATGCAGCTGGGCCGCGATAGAAAGCCAGAGCGTATGTCAGATAGCCATAGATAGCCAGAAAGAATATCAGAATAGATGCCAGAGCGTATGTCAGATATAGAATGCCAGAATAGATGCCAGAAAGAATTTCAGATAGAATGTCAGAAAATATGCCAGAAAGAATGTCAGAAACTATGTCAGAATAGTGTGTTAGGGTGGGGATCACTCGAAGAATGTTTTTTTTTGTGTGGATGATCAAACATTGACCATGCGTTGTTTTTCACAATGTTTCATCATCAAGAATTAGGATGAGCCATTGACATGTATGAACGGGACAGCGACGGGTCATATACATATTATATATAATCAACGGATATGCCATTTTTATAGGACATAATAGGACATATTAAAATTTGAATCATCAAATTCCGGGGTGCCTTACTTTCAGACAAACCCACATCATGAAAACTGGTGGAGTGGACCTGCAAGAATTGTGAACTTGTCAGCTTAAACACGAGGTTTACCTATAAAGATATGGGGATCAGTAAGAAATTTGGGGTCTACCGATCTACCTTTAAAAATGGTGTTACTTTTAAAATTGGGCGTTTCACCTGCCAGAACAGGGTTTGAAACCAATGAACATGATGAAAATTGAGTTTGTATTTATCCAATATTGTGTACCTCCCAAGCATACATGGGATATTGAGAACCAGCCTGAAAACCCGGCAATGGAACATCAAATGACATATATTTCTTGGTTATCCCATGTTTGTACATTGTACATCAAAGTTTGGATTTTCCGCCATGATAAATTTCCAGATGTCCCGTCCCCCGAAAAAAAGGAACTCACCATAGTTGGCAATCCACTTGCTTGAAAGGAAAGCCTGCATGACATCTTTATTGGTGGTTCCTAAAATGGGAGGGGGTTACTTCAAATTATACACAATTAGACTATTTGTGTATTGAAACCCATGGTTTTTGATGTTTTTAGATTTTTTCGGGGATCCCCCATGTTAAGACGCTCCTCCATCTTATTTATTTACAGCTAAGAATCTCCAGGATTCAACAGTAGAGTTTATGTATCCCCTTCATATCCCATTAAATCACCGTGTTCTATCAGTATCCGACAATATTCCCATGTTATTTCTCCATAAAATATATCTTTTCATCCCCCTTCTGAATGGCTAAGTCACCATGTGTATATATATAATATCATCTATTCCATTAATATCCCATTCTACCCCTATGCTGTCATCATTTTGAATGGTTGAACTCCTATTACCCTCCGGTAATCAAACGTGGCAAGTGGTAATCCCCGAACTAGCCGTGGAGGTCTCTGGGAAATCACCACCGATTTCTGGTTGCGGGGCCATGGTCCGCCATGGTCCAGGGCCATGGAACGGCCATGCTGTAGGTCATCCTTACCTGGCCTTTGCAACTAGAAGTCTGGAGCCCATCCTGACGGAGATCAACTCGTCCTTGCCGTTGTGTATGAACGATCCCACCAGGACGTGACGACGTGTTACAACGAGACGTAAAGGCTGAAGCGGCTGGAGAGATGCCAAGAAAAATAGGATTTAAGGATTTAAGAGGAGGTAGCCATTAAACATGGAACATGGTGATAAAATAGGGGTATGATGGGATACTCATGGAAAATCATGGGATATTATAGATATATACATAACTGTTTAACTGGTGACTTAAGCAGCAAGAAGGAGGATATCATTGAGGAGACGGCCCAATGTGTTGAATGATTTACATTGATTAATCCTATGGTAAGAAAAATGGCGATTTGCCATGGCTATGCGACAAATTGCCAGAGGGTAAATAACATTTTTTTTGGTGTTTGAGATTGTTGTTTTACCCTAACTATTGCCAAATCTTCAATACGTTTGGAGTCCCATCTTGACACTATTCGAGGCGACGATTGAAATGGGCGACGATCCGATTGTTTTTTTGTTGGATTTATGATTTATGTTTTGACTTTCAAATTCAAGACATGCCTGTTGTTTCACATCGCAAGGTTTTCTAGCAAGTTTCAAATCATATAATATCAGGATGTTTCCTAGGAAGACATACCTTATGCTTCACATTTCAAGACATGCCTGATGTTTCAAATTCTAGTCCGTCTGCCCTAATATTAATCACTCTCCAGAGACCATGGTTTAGTATCGGATAAGAACACATATGGGAAGATAAAAGTGAGGGTGTTAATATGATAGTGATGGGCTTACAGGTTTTGGGTGGTCATATGATGTTGAATCACGAACCCGTGAGGACCTCTTGGACTGAATGTGCCACCAGTCGAAAATATCACGTGCAAAGCAATGAGGATCTCAACAATACTAAGCGCCGTGGTGAAACAGCAGACTGTTTTCTCCCTATCTTTGGAGTTGCCATTATAATATTTAGGCCAGCCACCCAAATTGTGTTTTGTTTTGTTTTGTTTAGTTAATCCCTCCTAGAAACCCTTGACTTGGGGTATATCAAACCTGAAAGGATCAAGTCTTTTGGTCAAATTGGTCAAACAATCATCGTCTGTCTGATTTCTCTAATCATGTGTTGCTACATTACATCATTAATCAAGGATACTTGGGGGTGCATCCCACTTACTAAAAAGGTTATACCCCCAGTTACATATGGAATTATCCCCAGTTATATACATGGGATTATGGGTTATATATATATATAGAGAAGTTATATATAGTATAAATATGTTTTTTATAAATTACAAACCCCTTAAGTGGGATCATCCACGTCAAGTAGGATCCCCAGTTGGATTTCCCCCATCTCGGTCGTCATGTCGCCATGGCATCGCCTAGGGTCGTCTTGTTGGACCCCAACGACCGCCGGCATGGGCCCCAGCTGAACATCGACGTCCTTTGCAGCGACTGTCCCATTCCACACTTCTCGGAGCCTGCGGTGAAGGAGCTTTGGGAGCAATATCAGTCGCGAAAGAGCCACTTTTCTGAAGAAAAACTTGCATTTTTTGGGAAATACGGGACTTGGAATGTTGGTGGTTTCAAATGTGTTGTTGTTGAACACCAAAAAAAATGTAGGGCTTCGTTCAACTAAACTGATTTGCGAACAATTGTTCCCAACATATTTTGGGACAACTATATACCCCCCATCTAATCTCTTGTGTTTTCAATGGATGAAGGGATACATGTTGGGATGTAGATTGGTTGATCCCAGCCTCTTTGAAATGGTTCATTTCGGCTGTCCCGAGATTGGGAACCTATTGAGGTGACCCATACTTCACCATGATCAAACTCTCTTCTGGCGGGGGTGTCTTTGCAGAAAAACACCCGGATCTGTTGCTGTTGAGTGACGAGGATGAGAAGGAAACTGGGAGTCTTGTGTTTTTCGCATGCATTTTTCATCAGCAAAAAGCCAGTTGCATAGATCGTACACAAGCCATACAGGTATGAAGGTGAAGTAGGATGATGGTCCCTTCAACATCCTTAAACTGGATGGAACATCAACCATGATTGAAACTAGCAACAGATTGAAACCCTGAGTTGCGTGGTAAGATAAGCGGCGAATTCGCTGGAATCCCAGGACCAGAAAAAAAATATGTCTCTCGGTTTTGTTCAAACATGAGGAAAATGATGACCACTCATGGGATCTTGGGATGTTTTCTATGATTGCATTTGACTGTATTTGGACAAACCTAGGTTAATCTTGGATGGTTAGTTGAATCCTTTATAATATGTTGCGATTTCAATAGTAATCTCATCTAATATCTACGAAAACCAGCTAACAGCTCTTCATTTTTTGCAGGCTATCTAAGATTGGCAATGAAACCTTAAGTTTAAAACCAAGTGTTCAGGAGAATATCATGAGCAAATGGTTCAAAGATGCCGGTCTCAAGCTGAATGGCAAGAATGCCTGCGCTGCCCAGCTCAAGAAACTGGCCAAGCAACACCACGAGGTTCACGACCTGGAGGACCCTGCGATCTGAACGGTGCGAAAACAATGGGGTGGAACCTCGCCAAAATACATGGTGAATCATGGTTTGATGCCCAGGCAAAGATGGTATTTTTAGTTCAATCCAACACAAGTCACAGGCCACGATAAGCTTGATGAGTTCTTTGGAACCAAAATTGGATGACCAAAGTGTCTCCATCCGCCGGTACCTCTGATCCTCGGCCCCAAGCTTCATTGAAATAAAAACAACGCACCGCGTTGTCTGAAAAAGCGCTTGCTATTATATGGTCAAGATCAAGATAAGGCACTCCACATGTTGGATAGCAGCCAGAGATGATGAGTCGCTTTGATGAGAAAAAAAAGTTGGTTTTGATTCAGTCTCTGGGTTTGCGCATCTCTGAAGTTTGGGATTCATGCCTTGCTTGAAGCCTTGCTTGAGGTATCAGTTAAGAAGCTAGGCAGATCAGATGGAGTTTCTGATGGCCAGAGGGGAGCATATGGCTATGGGTTTTGATTCTTTGGGTACCCCAAAATTTAGGGAACAACTCAAATTTCATGCTGAATCAAGATTTTCCAGATCTGATTTGCCTTTATTTTTACACTATTTTCCAGTATCGGGGGTAGATAACTGGGTAGATCCGTGTTGGAGAAAAACAAAGGCCGGACATGCCATGGTCATCCCTTTGTTGAGATTGTGTAAAAAACCGTTATAGCCATGAAATCGGCGAATCCCACGATTTTTTTTAATCAGTTAATTATGGGATCCATGTATGCTATATATGGTATCATTTACCATCAATATACCCCATTTATGTTAGCATATATACCAGCGCCATGGATCCGTCATGGGTTATGGGATATTGTCAAATGAATGGCCCATAGTACAAGAATCCACAGAAACCCTCTGGTAAACATACAGAAAAGCGACATAGAACATGGCCATAGAAATAGTTGATTTTCCCATAAAAAATGGTGATGTTCCATAGTTATGTTAGTTTACCAGAGGGTAATATAAAGGAGATTATGGTCATGGCCCCATTAGTTTGATCTTCATTAAACCATGACTATATAATTGATTTTTTTGACCGTGGCACGTGAGTCAACATGTATTCCGCTTCCGGCTCAGGTTTGGATCATGGTTCGAGAATTCGACAAACGATGTCTTCCGGGTGAAACATCCGGATTTTTCTGGGAATTCAAGTCAAAAATTGAGAAGCCCTGGCTGATCCTGGCTTAAGTTGGAGAATTAGTTTTACTCGTAGATGTTCAAAGACTGAAATTATATACGTATATATATATACATATATACATGATACATGTATATATATATATATATACACATATATACATGATACATGTATATATATATATACATATTAAATAGATTTATATAGAATATGTCATGTGTGTCTCTTGTTTTTCAATCCGGACCACTACACGCGCCACAAGTGGCTCTGGTGTTTTGCAAGCCATGGATCCATAGGGACGGTCAGTTTTCCCAGCAATTTGAAACCTGGCATTACAACAAAAAATCTCTGCTAAACAGGCAAGATAATATATATATATATATGATATATATATATATCCCATAGGATCCATGGTGCTGGTATATATGCTAACTTGATGGTAGATGTTAGCATATGTAGCATACATGGATCCTATGGGATATATAGATCAAAATGGCAACTGGAATTTCACTACTGCGAGACAATTGAACCCAAGTTTCAGAGGTAAATCATTTGCAGATGATTCTCCCTTCCCGTTTTTGACGAACAAAGGGTAGCTGTTCATTAGTATCACCACATCCATTGACAGTGAACCTGTACCATGCGGCGACGAGAAAGGGCGCTTGCCAGCAGTGTGCACCCATGGTGTTGGCTGGGCTTGGGGCCATTGATGTGAACCTAAGGTATACCCTATTCCATACTTTGTTCGTAGGTGATCCCAGCTTGCACAAACCGAAAAGGGAAAAAAAAACCTGGTGCAGTTGCAGTTGTGTCTAGTTCCCCGTTCTTGGCTCTGGTTGCCGCTGGTTTCTCCTTCCAAATGGATAAAAATATTGTTTTATTGTTGGATCATGGTGCGCGCCCAATTGTCAGAAGCAGCCAGGTTTGCTTCAAGTAAAATTCATGTGCAGAATCATCCGGACAGATTGGCCACCACGAAAGGATGATTTGACAAGAAAGCTTGGAGAATAACCAGATAATCCGTGGTTCTGATTGGGGGTTGCAGTTGGGTTTGTGAATTGCAGTCAAACTATGAGATTTACAGTTCGGGCCCCTGGGGGTAAAACATGTTTGTCTCCAACCCGGACGTTCCCACCACTTATATATCTTCATAAGTTCGTAAGGAATCAAATCTACCCCACCCCTTCTGTACAATATATTGAATATGATATGAGTGCCAACGTCTTTTCATAAGGTATCAAATCCGCCACTACCTCTGAAACAATATACTGAATGGGATATTAACTTCATCTTATCTTCAACTTAGGACCAAACCTGCCACTATGAACAATATCTTGAATGGGGTATGCAGCATATACTTACATGTTTACCTGGGCACATGGACATATGCAACCCCTCCACAACGCAGTCGGGCGCTACCCATGGCTGCCACGGATAGGAGATCGCGTTGCTGGAGGGGACATTGAAGTCCCTGCGCGCTGAGGGAGCGCAGAAGGCGGGCTTTGCTCTCGATGACTGGGCGATGTCTGACCAGATCCCAGTGCTAAACCAGGTTTTTTTGCACAGTGATTCTACAGTAGTTGCAGAGCTTGTCCTTTTAGCCTTGGTTGATCAACATTTATAAATACTGGGAATCCATGGTTGAATGCCCATATTTTTCACAACCAGGGGGTAAATGATGGCACATCTATGGGAGATGATGGGAGTGATCCTACATTTGTCTTGGTGCTATGGGCTTACAGATGTACTGTGTCGATGGTGTTACCCTCTGGTAAACGTATATACAAAAAACTATGGAAAATCACCATGTTTAATGGGAAAAATAACTATAAATGGCCATTTTCAATCGCTATGTTTGCTTACCAGAGGGTAACATGTTGAACTGTTGTCATTTGTGGCGGGAAGAAATTCAGTAATGCCATGACGCCCTGACGCCCCGTGTCCATGTCCTATATATAATTGAAGTCGCTGCCATGTTCTTGATTCATGTTTTCGAGCTTGCGGAAAGAATGCCAAGGGTAAAACATGGTAAAACCCCCCCAACAGATGTGCTATATCCATCTATACCCATACTGTGCTTTCAACAGTGACATTCGATCCTTATCTGGGATGTATGGCTATATTGAGTAAAAAGATGTTGACTAAAGATTGGGTGGACCCAAACCAGCAAAGGCGCAAAGGCTTGGATGAAGAGATCATTGGCTTGGAATTTAAGCAAGTCTCACTACTCTGCGAATGATCTGTTGAATGATCTGTTGAATGATCTGTTTGATGTGTACAATGGCACCCTAACAGCCTGCTTGGTCGCAGATATCTTGGCCAACAGGTCATAATCTGCCAGAAATTGTTGTCGACATGTTATCGAGTGGATATGTTCTTCAACATCTTCACTCAAACAGAATTTGTCGTTCACATACAAAGAACCAAACACGTGGAAAGGGTGAAAACTCATCAAAGTGCAGCCCTCCCAGTTTACTGCACCAGCGTTCTGAGGGTGAATCAGAGAATGGGATGGCACATGATGGCACATGATGGCACCTAATAGCCTGCTTGGTCCTTGCTTTCATGGCCAACAGGTCACAAACTGCCAGAAATTAGCACGGGTCCAGCAGAACATTAGCACAAGGTTCAGTCCCAGCATGAGATGGCACATGATGGCACCTAATAGCCTGCTTGATCCTTGCTTTCATGGCCAACAGGTCACAAACTGCCAGAAATTAGCACGGGTCCAGCATGAAGTGGACGTGTTTTCTGTACAGCTTCACTCCAACAGAACTGGGTCTTGACACAAAGGCGTGATTCAATACGCAGTGATAGTAGGGCAGACGTGATAGTAGAGCCAGGTTGGCTCTATTGATTTCCTTTATCAGTGGCCAGTCACTGAGATTGTCGGAACATGTCGGAACAATAGCCACTATCTACCTGAGTGAAATCTATAAATACTATGAATGTAGATTTTCCAAGTCCCAAATCCCAAACGTTCAGTCCGAGGGTGAATCAGAGCATGAGATGGCACATGATGGCCCATCATGATGGCACCTAATAGCCTGCTTGGTCCTTGCTTTCATGGCCAACAGGTCACAAACTGCCAGAAATTAGCACGGGTCCAGCATGAAGTGGACGTGTTTTCTGTACAGCTTCACTCAAACAGAACTGGGTCTTGACACAAAGGTGTGATTCAATACGCAGTGATAGTAGAGCAGACGTGATAGTAGAGCCAGTTGGCTCTCTTGATTTCCTTCATCAGTGGCCAGTCACTGAAATTGTCGGAACATGTCGGAACAATAGCCACTATCTATCTGAGTGAAATCTAAAAATACATATAAATACTATAAATGTAGATTTTCCAAGTCCCAAACGTTCAGTCCGAGGGTGAATCAGAGCATGAGATGGCACATGATGGCACCTAATAGCCTGCTTGGTCCTTGCTTTCATGGCCAACAGGTCACAAACTGCCAGAAATTAGCACGGGTCCAGCATGAAGTGGAAGTGTTTTCTGTACAACTTCACTCAAACAGAACTGGGTCTTGACACAAATGTATGATTCAATACGCAGTGATAGTAGAGCAGACGTGATAGTAGAGCCAGGTTGGCTCTACTGATTTCCTTTATCAGTGGCCAGTCACTGAAATTGTCGGAACATGTCGGAACAATAGCCACTATCTACCTGAGTGAAATCTATAAATACTATGAATGTAGATTTTCCAAGTCCCAAATCCCAAACATTCAGTCCGAGGGTGAATCGGAGCATGAGATGGCACATGATGGCACCTAATAGCCTGCTTGATCCTTGCTTTCATGGCCAACAGGTCACGAACTGCCAGAAATTAGCACGGGTCCAGCATGA